TAGTAAGCATGTAAGGCAGGTAAAATAATCCGTAGCGTCGATAGCATCGGCGGAACTCCTCCGGGAACGGGAGGGGCAGACCACAGCGGCGACGATCTCAGCGTCAAAAAGACGGGGTTGAAGTCCGCCAGAGCGGTTTCTTATTGGGGACCCCACGATCGAATGACCGAGCCAAGACGCATCTTCACTCGTTGCAACATAGGTATCTCAAGATACGTTACTGCTTATTAAAAGCCATGGCTGCTGGTCCTATACAAGAAGGGGTAATATGGTCCTTGCTTCCTTGCTAAACACGTGCAGGGTACGGCGCTGGGCAATAACACAATATTACATATTGGAAGTGGAGGAAATTATCAAGATTCAAATCTCGCTCAAGGCGGGCGGTTCCCTCTTAGGGCGTAGTACTGTCCGGTGTGCCCACTTGATTAAGATCTTCCATCGCCGGCGATCTTTCAGGAGGAAGGGTTTACCGAATCACGAGGGGCACAGCAAGGGCCAAATTGACAAAGTGACAAAGGCTGGACCTTCTGGACCATCTACAGCATTACGTCCGTACCAACGTCATGCGTGGTTCAAGGATACTGTCTTGTCATACGGCGGAAAATATCCTAATTCGTGTCCCGACACCTTGTTCGAAACTCATAGTTGTGCTTCACCTTCGCTGAGAGACTGGCGTTAGAGTTCCAGAGGTTAAGAAAGTTGGATTACATGGTATGATGGGCAATTATTAGGGCGTCCAGACCCCTGAGGATTCCCCGGCTAGAAGCCCCATCGTGAAGATTGACTACGACGACGCAATTGTTTGAGGCCAAGGACCCTTGGAAGCTTGGCTCGCGAGGCTGCAAGGAATGAGGTGGTCTGAGCGGGTTGTAAAAGCAAGGGATTACTTAACCGAGCGACTTTGACGCGATGATATCCCAATCCCATGTCTCGGGATCGCACTAAGGTCTACATATTACTCACAGACCACGCGAGCACAGATGATGATGTTATGTTTGAGCGCTCGTGGGAGACAGGGTTCAAAACATTATGTTCGAATATTAAGATCATATCCCGTATAATACTATCGCAAGCATTCTGGAAGTTATTTTACTCTGTAGTAAGCCTAGTAAATCCGACTGAAGTGATGGCTGTTGCCGACACCATAGGATTGGGACGCCAATCTGATACGCTACGGCGCAGGCAAGGCATTAATCCCATACGCAGTAGGCAAGCCATGTTAATCAATAAGTCCATGCAGAACTGTAGTAACGTTTGACGTTTGTTGCGGTGTGAATAGGCTAAATTAGGAAAGTGGCATAACGTCGCTCAGATTGGTTGTTATTGTTGAAGGAGATGAAAGAGATCGGCCATACGATGAACAGCGAGAGAAGAGTGTGGCTCACGGCGGTGAGTTTCGAAGGGAATGATAATCATCTTCTTCGTTCCGCATTCTTACCACACCTTGTCCAATCTGCCGACTGCCATTTAGGACTTGTAGATTGGCGAGGAGGCAGAGATAGCCTCTCTTCTGAAAGCGACCGAAATAATACCATATATTATTGCGCTTATGTAGTGTATTAAGTGTATTGGGGGCTGGGTGTAAATATTGTATGACAATATTATATGACTGCAAAATGTTAAGTGGCCACTAACAACTAATCAAGAGCGAATCAAGAGCCATAAGCATCTAAATGTTTTTGGATTCGTAGTCATCTGAGATGAATCATATTTATAGAACAAGACAAATAGCGTCTTAAGGTCTCCAATGACTCTTATCGTGAGAAACATTTACTACGTATATGAGAGGAGTGTGGTGGCGGTACGGAATGATAGGTACCTAGACCTAGCGGGTACATTCTTGGAATTTAGGTGATATACCGCGGTTCAAGAATATTCCGATCTTCCGATCTCAGTTCGATTGCTTTTTAGGTTTACGATACATGGGTACATTAAGTTAGGTAAAAGGTACGTACCTAATAATATGTAATACAGGTACCGATGGCGCTTTGGCACTTTAAACCCTAGGCGTTTAAACTAATTTATCTCGTTTTAATCCTAGCACATTTACATTTCCCATCTTCCATCACCAAGGTTGACTGTTCCATATACGTCTATTACTCAGTACAGTTAAAATAGATGCTAACGTCGATTGCGTACATACTATGCTAGCATATATTGACATCCCGTTTCTTGCAGGCTGTTGGCTTATTTCAGATCTGAGCACATAAGCAGTCAGGACTGTATCTCGTTCGTGGATTGGCCCAGATGCCCTGGACGGACAGCCTCACTTCTCGGCAAGACATCAGAAGGCGCCGGCCAATCTCGTCGAATCAATCCTTCATCCCTTTGCCGTATTACGAGGCTACTGCATGCGGTTGCCCATGCCCGCACCAAAGAGATTATTTAATACCACCCACACTGTTCGGAGATAATCCCTCACTTCAAGGCCACAACCTGCAGCCTCGAAAAACCTGGGGCTCCATCAGATTCATTACCGTCCACACCCACCTGTTGCTCTTGGCCAATCATCGTCACCAACGGCTAGGGAGGTCTCGTCTGTAGACCCTCGGGATGCAACGAGAAGTCTGGGCGCCATTGGACACTTTCTTGCATTTGCTGCAATGCCACCGCTGCCATTCTACGAATCCGGTATCGTTACCGCCACTAGTAAATTTTCTGCAGCTCTCTAAAATTCGGTCGGTTAGTTAGTCGTCAATTCAGAGAGCCCCCGGAGGGCGAAATAGCAAAGCGCCCATCTCCTCTAGTGAGTAGTCAGTAGCACCAGTAGTACAGCATCGCCAACGGCCGAAGCCCTTCCATGAAGAAAAAATGAGAGAATCTTAAATGAAGTAAAAATAAAAATATGCTCAGTGCTCGCGCAATATCGAGCGCGCGGGTACAAGCGGCCCCAGCGAACATCCCTAATGCATCGCCTTTGCCGCTTGGCTAGCAAAATGGCTTAGACATCAGCTCATTTCCAGCAAACGGCATATTTGCGGCGGCAAAACCAGATCTAGACAGCCAGAGACACAGCAAACAGCTGCTATTATGCAACGAGATATACCAGGTACTCAGCATACTAAATCGCTGTGCCGTAGTATACGGGTATGCCGCACGATTAGTCCGAGAAATACCAAGACTCTGCTGTAAGTACGAACAGGAACAGCAACAGCAATACCAGTCCGTATATGTAGATATCCTGCGTTTTCACTCTGCGAGAAGACGAAAAGGAAAAGGAAAGATTAGTCCACAAACCAGATAATTAATGCACACGGGATACACTATTACCAGTGTCAGTCTATGTGGGCAGATTATCGGATTGTTCTCTCACAGACCAACATACATACCTACATAGTCCAAGGTGCGACATAAACAGAGACACCGATCTTGCGCAATGGCAAGCCATTGGCCAATGTAGCATTAATCAGATGGGACACGAAGCAGTATTTGCAACAGAAGGATTACTGGGCAAATTCCTATGTATTCAAAATGCTGGTCTCAGATACTCTGCCATAGCCGGGTGACCTTTATGCATTCTCTTCAAGAGTTTTAGCAGCGACACAACTGTACGGAAGAGCAAAGCATACGGATCTCCATTTCCTGAGAATGTTCCCGAGTCACAACGCTGGCCTTGGCTTGGACAGCCGTCTACTATGTATTAGGTACTACAAATATGCACGAGGCGGGAAAGAGGGAAAGAAAGTTTGCCTTAAAACAGTTTTTTACAAGCAGAGATCCATTTATTCAGCAGGTTTGCTCGAGGCGAGCTTCATTTGAAAAAGGAAGGGGAGAAAAAAAGGACGCAATCTTGTTAGACGTTTCCATAGTCTCTTCAAAGTTTGACGAGAAGAAGTGTTTCTTGTTAGCCAAATCAAGGATCTTGCCAACCGCCCGGCGTCCCAATGGCAAAAGAGCAAGAAAAGTCATGCGAGTCACGGGTCGCCGATTTATGACGATTTGCCCGGCCAGTGAGAGAACGGGTGTGTAAACTAACGAGATGAAAAAGAGGTGGAGGAGTCAGCAGCCTGTACCAGTCTTTCCAGTCTCTATCAACAAGATCACACGCACGCCCCCCTTCTCTTCGGCTCGGTCTCTAACTAGCTCGACTGGGATCTTGGGCGTGGTATTAGACATTGGATATGGCTCTATTAGGGTAGCAGTGGCCCACCTTAGGCCGTTGAGTGGACCATTTATTTTCGTGTGTCAGACCATCCTTGTCTTCGTATATTACGACGAGCCACGAAGATCTTGGTCCTTGTTCGGGCTGGGTTATCCATCCCTCCCAGTGGAGCGCCCTAGAAGCACTGGTCCCATTCTTGACACCTCCCCTTGCTCCCTTGCTCCCCTTCTCCTGTGAGCTCCACCCTCGCCAGGCCGCCTTCACAGCTACGCTAGCGCGTCAAATTCAAGAATAGCGCATGCGTGGGAAGTGGCACCAGTAGGTCAGACATGGATGTGAGCTGGCTATTGATCACTGTGGATTGAAGAGTCAAGCAGAAGGTGGCCAGAGGTGGCCAGGGCTTTTCTGCTTGAGCCACTCCAAACACGCAAAAGACCCAGGCCCCTGATGCCCGCTATCTCAATATCTACATCAACCTCCCTGTCTGCACCTTGCTTCAACCTCACATCGTTCACTACCTCCGTTCATTGCAAAAGCTACTCGCCCTTCCACCTCACGACTACCATTTCGAACTCGGATTCGTCGCCATAATATCCGTCGCCATCAACATTCCCTTATTCTACACTACTGGCCGTCGACATCCGGCCCCTACACGGCGACTTCTATACTAATTCCATGGCCCGTTAGCTCGACGCCATCTACATACGACCCAGGAACATAAATTAGCTGCAGCCCAAGGATTTTCCGTGGATTTTCTCTCCCAGGACATTGCCTTTTGGTTTGAGGACGTTGTTCCAGTAGAGAAGGCCGTTTTCTCTTGATTCCTTTCCTTATCTCTGTTGCCTTTTAAGATCCAGTCCCGGTTTTACCAGGAAAGGACCATAATCTGTCGCATACCATGCATAATGTGGCAGCGTACGGGTATCCCACGCCTCCGGCATCCCCCGCCTACGACAACACCAAGTGTGCCTTCCAACAACCACCACTAGCTGTGCCTCCTGTTTGCCAACCTCGATACACCCCAGTTGCCCCGGAAGATAGACTAGGAAAGTTCCTTGGAGAAAGCCTGCAGTTGATAGGAATTATTGGAACCGGTGCCTATGGCGTGGTCTACCTGGCGGTCGACGTCAAGACTGGAGTCCGATATGCAGTGAAGACGCTCAGCAAATTCAACGCAGACGGATCACCTCTGGATCGACGGCAAATTGCCTTTCAGCACCGGGAACTACGCTTACACTATATGGCCTCGGCGCATCCCAACGTTGTTTCCATGCACAAGATTGTTGACGACCCGGATTGCATATATGTTATCCTGGAGTATTGCCCAGAAGGTGACCTTTTCCTCAATATCACAGAGAGAGGACAATATGTGGGTAAGGATGCATTGGTCAAAAGCGTATTCCTGCAGATCCTGGACGCCGTTGAGCATTGCCATAACCTGGGGATCTACCACCGCGACTTAAAACCCGAGAATATCTTAGTTTCGAACCGGGGAGACACGGTAAAGTTGGCAGACTTCGGCTTGGCGACCTCATCAGACCGGTCCGAAGATTACGGATGTGGTTCGACTTTCTATATGTCACCAGGTAAAGACTCGTCGGGAACCTTATTGCTTTAGGGATGTACTAACTAGTTCGTTTTCTCTTACGCAGAATGTCTGGACCCATCATCCCGAAGGCCATTTTATTACTGCGCCCCAAATGATGTCTGGAGCCTTGGTGTTATCCTAGTAAACTTGACCTGTGGTCGTAATCCGTGGAAGCAAGCCTCCTTTGAAGATTCCACATATCGTGCCTACACCAGGAGTCAGGATTTCCTACGGACTATTTTGCCATTGTCGGATGACCTCAACAATATACTAGGGCGGATATTTACCCGCAACCCAGACCACAGAATTACGTTACCAGAACTCCGGAACAGCATCCTCGCCTGTTCCAGATTTACGATTTCACCTAATGCGCCTGCCCCCCAGGCAGCGCTCCCAACACCGCCCACTTCACCCGGGCCCATCGAATACGTTGACTGCGAAGAAGCCATTGTCGAAGACTTGAGCTACGATTCGCCACCATCACCCTCCGCTTCGGATTCCGATACGGAGTCCATATGTTCATCCGACGATGGATCTCTTACCTCGAGTGTTTCGACTATCGACGACATAGACGACGACGACTTCGTTATCACGGAGGATGAGATCCCTCCTACCCAGGAGCCCCAGTTGTATGATTCAGAAGAATCAAAAGTTATGTTTCCACAGGAGTTTGTCCCGCAATACTCGGGCCCTATTGAGCCTTGCCAGCCTTGCGCAGTTCAAGTTCCTGTGCAGGCTAGCTGTGCACCAACCAAGTTCGCCTTCCCATATTTCTGGGAAGTGGTGAATAGGTACACACAACCTGCGCCCATACATTCCATTCCTTTCCACCCACAAGTTCCTCTTTTTTCCCACTTCCAAGGCTGCTATTAGCTGCATTGATTATGTGTAGCTGCCCTGTTGCCCTTGGAGGCATTTTTACCCAAGGTCATGTTGGCTTGTTTTACCGGATACCTGGATATAGGCCATTAGGAATATTATACCATGGATAGCCTAGCCACGGATCCGGACCCCAAGACCTAAGGATATAAGCTTCGACAAAACCCATTCAACCTGATATTACGTTTATAATACATATTACATTGGAGCCGTGGGAATATATCTGGAAATCCATACCCAAAAATGGAGCTTTAAAAAAGTCGCGTCCACAAACGCGGCGCATTTTGGGAGCATTTTTATGCCCTTCGAACCTGTACTTACTTCAACGTCATGTTTTTTCTTTGTTTATTCAGCGTGGAGTTGGTGGATGATTTGAGAGATGAGGATCAATCCATAAGACCGAGGACCAGAGGAGCCATTATCTTATTTACAATCCGGGACTGACACGGGAAAGCATCATTACACGGCGCAAAACATACAACTGGAGATGTTTGAAGCTGGGAGGCTATTACTGCACAAACTTGTTATTTTCTAATATGTCGTTATTTTATTGCACGGGCTGCATTCAAAGGGGGATATCGATACTTTCGCTTGGATGATACCAACGTTTTTCTTTATTATTGGATACACAAAGGCATTATGGATCTTGAATTTCGAGAGCCATTGGGAAAAGTTTATCGAGACCAGTCACGGAATGGATATGAAGCTGGATTTTGAATAGACCAGACGGGGGCCAATAACCCACCACATACCGCGCCCAACAACATCTGTTGGCGCAGAATTATACGTTCTACCTATGGACACCGATCAGATACGGTGATCCTCTTGGGAGCCTTTGGAGACGAGAATACGTCTATAGGCTCTCAACAAACCAATACAATGTTTTTGCGGACAGTCGCAATAACCACCAAAATATGGCTAGCTTTATAAACTTGCGCACAAGTGACAGTGCTTCGTGATTGTTGTTGTCCTTAGGCATTATGAGAAGTCTCACTAACTATTCGCTATTGAGGACCCTAGACTAACCATGTCATAGATGTCTGAGGGTCATCATATCCTAGATACCTAACTTTGCTGCTACTGGTGAAATCCATTCTCACCTCAGCCCTTCGAAACGTTTCCTAGGACAGCAGGACAGCAAACCACCAAAACATGCACAACACCATTGATGATGATGAGAATACTGACATCTGCATCAGAGGAGTTGGATGGCTTCACGTTCGCTACGCTGATTGGGCGAAAGCTGCCGACGCCACTCGCCTTACTTTTGCCAGGGCAGGGCTTGCGAGTGTGCATCGACTTGCAGATTGCTCTGCCTTCATAATCACATTTCTGCCGTCGATGCAACGCAAGCCTGCAAGCCTGCAAGCCTGCATTAGCCTTCTACGGTCGTCCTAAGGTTGCGGAGCCAAGAAGAAAAAAAAATGTTCTCTCGAGTCTCCTTCTGTCTTTCTTTCTCATCCCCCCTCCCCCCGTTTTCCCCATCTCCTACGGCGCCCCGACCGCCCTTCCTCTCAATTTTCCCTCTGGCGCTTTGTTTATTTCGCTTCCCGCCTCGTCTCGTCTCGTCTCTAACCGGCCTGTCCGCTATGAACCCAAACTATTAGGTAGGGCCCAGCCTTACGAAATTTGCTAATTTGGCGAAGGCGATTAAGGCCCGTCGGACTTGTCGACTAGGTAGCCTTGGGCTTGGCGACTACATCAGACTAATACCTTTTTATTTGGTTATTATTCCGTACTGCTTGTCGCTATGTATGTTGTAAGTTGGCTAACTGCGCTCGAGGCTTGCCTGGATCTGTACTTGGTCCCTTTCTCTCTCTCTCTCTCTTTCCCCCTCTCCCTTACCAACAGCCCATTCATTCTAGTATCTCATCTACTGGGCTGCTACGTACTATGCACGATGGGAAATGGGATGGGATGGGATGGGATGGGCTGTGGACTATGGTACGGCTCCCCGTTTTTAGGCGCAAAAAGAGCCAGGCGCAGATCCTTGGTACTTGGAAAATTGTCACGATATGGGGCGGTCCCGGCATCATCACGCTACATTACAATACCCAGCCCAGCCCAGCCCATCTCGGCTACTGCACGGTTGGTTTAAATGAAAGGGAAAGAATAATAATAAGAAGTAAGAAAAAACTAGGAGCCCAGCCTTATTTGCGTTGGACGCAGTGTTGCGCGCAAGTGTCAAAGACGTGCAGTAGCTCGGGGCGCCGCGCGATGCTTTCTCTTTCTCTTTCTCTTGTCTTCCATACGGAATACATACCTGGGGGGGGGGGAGGATAAGTGGTCGAGAGAGAAATCTTGTTTACCTAGGTAGGTAGGTAGGTAGGTAGGTAACGTATGTAGAGGAAATATTGCGCCCTCTCTCTTCCGTAGCATTGTAAAAGGTCATGGATTTCCCATGTTGCAGTGCATCTAACTAACTCTTCTATACTCGACTCTGCCTAGCGCGCTCCCGGCGTGTTGGTGTGTGGGAAGGGAAGTGAAAGTGCTATGCAGCCCTTTTTTTTCTTTCTTTCTCTTATTCTTCTTCTTCTCATTTTCCTTGATTTCTCTTGCATTTCCCTTCGTCTCCCTACCGTCTCGCCTCAAGCGAATCAGCATCGACGGGGTCCATGTCCCTAGTCCGAAATGCGTACATATGCAAGTCGATGGTTTGGGTATGGTGATGGGTCGGCTTCCCTTACTTCTACGTGGTGATTGGACCGATAGCCTGGGTTCACTGGCACATGGCGGTGAAAGGTCTCTCTGCCCTCTCTGCCCTCTCTCTCTCATGTCTTCGTGCTTTGCGCTGTGTTCCCCCCCCGTCTTCCGCGTCCCAGATTTGATTCCTCGTTCCTCGAGAACCCCTCCAAGGCTTCATCGCGACTGGGGGACCCACACATTTCTGTCGTCCTCTCATCGAAGGGCTGTGAGGGGTGATATTGGGAAGAGGTTTGATGAGATGTGGGCGGAGATTGGATCGAAAGGCTCGAAAGCCTGCTTACGATCACTGTCACAGTGCCGCCTGCTTCCGAGTGGAGAGGCACAATCATTTCGTACAGACAATACTACACACATGCTCACACATGCTATTGTATTGCTATTGCTATTGCTATTGCTATTGCTATTGCTATTGCTACTGCTAATACTAACGGAAGACTCGATATTATGGAGTACATACAGAACGTACATACAGAGCGTACATACATTCGCATAGGTCCTTAGGTTCGCATGGCGCAGGCACCAAAGGCGCTCTGCATGGTACTTGTCATGTTTATTTGCCAGGACACAGGCCCAGACGGAACCTATCATTCGTCAACTTCCCATCATGTACCCATATTGGGATGTTGTCTCGACCGCTACGTATGTATGAATGTGCTCCGTAACGCGTGCCTGACTAGGAGGTAAGTAGGCCTAGGTAGGTAGACAATCGTACGTAGAAGGTAATGGAGCCGGCGAGAACAAGACCCAGGACCCGAAAATAATGCGCCAAAGCAAATCGGGGCGACGTTGCCGGTCCTGATCTCTACCCAGGTCGGTAGTCTCGCGGTTCGATGAGGGCATCGCCAACCCAAAAAGGTGGCTCGCAGCCCTCCACACCGCAACCCGCTGTCAATCTCTCTGGGTAGGTACCCGTAAGGTTTAGCTGGCTTTGGCCCGAGGCTGGAACGAGCAGCAAGAGAGAGAATTTACATACGCCCACATGTGTGGGGGAGGAGGGGACATGCGCACGTAGTGACGTGGTCCCGTTCGATAAAGGGGGAATTATTCTACACTACTTTGTGATATTGGGGCGGTGCAAATCAAATCGCTCGATCTATGATCTCCCCGGTCGTGATACCCATTGGACTGGCTGTTCGTCTCCACAAGGAACAGTACGAAGTACGGTTACCGTACAAGGAAATACAAGGAAAATCCACAGTCTACGTAGTTTCTTCGAGTCGTGGCACCTGATCCTGCTCAACTGCGTGTCATCTCGATGCCTCCTACGCTGGGGGGAACTACGGTACGCTAAAATAAGGACTGTCATTAGGGCTGTCCATGCGTTTTCGGGCCTCATCCTGCTAGGGAAAACATGCTAGGGGCTAGGGAACAAATCCTTTCGAAAGCACAATTTATCGGAACGGGGACACTATCGTCGAAATCGACCCTCATCAGGCGCCTGAAATCTCTTGTGATGTATGTCTTTGTCTTGGGAGAACACTTCGACCTCCACCACGTTCCCAAAGTAGGCTATTATTCCCCACTGACGAGTCCTGATCGGGTCAAATACGTTCCCAGACAAGTAGTTAAGCGGCTCAGTCAACAGCAAGGGGGCCTAATAATGAATGATTGCGTGTCTCTTTTACCCAAGGTGCGGTGACTAGGTATTTACATGACACTTCAATAGAAACTCCCAATTCTGTCCGTATGTATTGTTGTGCATGCGTCTCCCCCCTAAGCGACTAAGCGAAATCATGAGAGGCAATTATATCAAGTCTTATTGGACCTCTCGATAAGTTCCCAGGCAGAAACTTGTAGTAAGCAGAGATGTGAGGGCGTTCCACGACATCCGCCTATGGTTGTAGGTAATATTTGTCTCAGCACTATTCATGCGTCTATGCGTCTAGGCGATGGTATCGCGCCCTAATCCGTACAGGCTACGGCAATGAATAAGCGAACGACACGGCGGGAAAAGGATTGTCTTTTCCCCCATCTTACAGCGCAGCGGACGCTAGGCTTGGGTTATGTTTCCGCTCCCCAGGCCGATGCGGAGGCGGTGGAGTTGCGTAGCGGAGCCGGCGACACGGTCAAGATCATCGTGTCTCGATATTATTAGCGTGGCAACGTATAGTACAAGTCTTATATATATGTAACCAGGCCGGGGGAGCTCTCCACGCCAATGGGCCGCCTTTGTTTTTGGGGAACACGAAGACCATTGCGGCTCCGTGTGGGCTGGACATGTTTCGGCATATTTCATCCAATCCGTATCTCATTTCACGAGCTGTTTGACACATGGGCCTAGATCACCATCACCATTCTGTTTTCGTGTCAGGCAGCGTTGTTGAATTCGAGAAAAGTAACAATCCCACCCCCTGAAGGCGTTGGTCACGCGCCGAAGTGAAATTCTTGTGGGTGAGACCGAGACGCACAACTGTGTGTCGGGTCGAAGCTCTAGGCTTTCTCTACCAACCATCTAAACTAAGGGGGTAGTGGGATGGGTAAGACAGTTTTGCCGTTCATAAATTACCATATACCCTACTACCATCTCAGCCTGGTGGTCACATACGCGTGTCCTTCGTTGGGGCTTCCCGAAACCTATCATGGTGTGTAGTACGCGCTGAGGCTGAGTGTCTTACAGTAGTCTTATCCGGCAAGCTTCATGTCTCGAGACTGATTGGTCCCAGCAATCAATCAACCGCCCGAGGCTGCTGTAGAGCCACGTATGTAATATCCTATGTCCCTTAAGGGTCATCAGTTGCCCATCCGCCTAGCCATCCGTCCCTATCATCGTGACATCCGGCATAGCCCTGCGTCTGTTCGCCCGTTGAAGGTTCCATACCTACTTGCGCGGTATTCCCTCAATATGTGAGACCAATATATGTCTTTGATGACGGGGAGACATGCGCAACAACGACAACGTGACATGCCAGATTTGCTTATTCCTGTCTTGCCCTTCGCCCTTCGGCTGAGACCCTACAATCAACGTGGCCCACTCAGGGTTCATCCATGTCTGGAACCGGAAAGATGGGGAACCCGGTATCATGAAGCAGGAGGGCAGTCTTATTCCTCACGTGAAAGACATGTGGGATTAGTCTGTGGATAAAAGAGGGCGTGCGTGAGTTGCCTTGCGCTATCGACAGTAGGATTGACGATCGTGACAACAATATGGTTTAGGGCTCCATCTTTGCAGCATGCTCGATATCGATGGTGCCCGCTCCAGGCAACACAAATCGCGGAGTCTATTTTGGTTCCTGCGCGAACCGGTTCGCAAACAAGTCAGGCTCGGCTCCATAGTCACTGGGTCCCTCGGGGGGGGTGCCGGTATAGCCACACTCCGACTAACAGCTCACTTGGTATGCCCTAGGTATGCGGGTTAGTAAATAGTGTCTACCATCGGGCACTTTTTAATCGCATCTAGATTCGGCCTGAAGCTAAACACTTAGTGTAGGTAGCTCTCGCGAGCCTCAAGTGGGAATTCTCGGTGACCGTTTTCACCCCGTCATTCTCACACATCATCTCTGCGGGACCTCCCCTAGCTTACTAACAGTTAACTACTTCTTGTCCGTCGAGATGCCATGTGTACTAGTTCCAATTATCAATACGTTCCGGTCGGCGATTTGTTGGAGAACAGAGGCGCTGACACAGAATGAGAGTTTCCCCAGTAGAGTTGTCAAGTGACAACTCAAAAGCCTTAAGGTTTTCCTCGTGGGCCATCTTGTCAGTTGGCTTCGGATACTGTTGCCGTGAGCGGTGAGTTTAGTGCTCGGAACGGTCTCGGATACTGTGGGTTCTGGTAATTTACAGTTGAGCTCACCGTAGTTATTACGCTATAGCTGTAGCTAGCTAGCATCGCTCTAATGTCACTAGTAAAGGGGTACAGCATACTGGTGAACTGGGCGAGCTATTAGGTGTTAGGCCAGCCTGTGTTAGTTAGGCTCGAGTCCCAGCGGTGCTGTACGGCAGTTATCTTGTCTTGTTGTTAGTCCATTCTAGCGCCGTACCTCGTACGTGGGTGTCTAATAACCTCTTAATACATATTTACTGGAGACGTTGCTTGGTTATTTGTCAGAACCATGATCTAGTTATTTCTGGCGCTTCCGCTCGTAATTAACTTGGGGTTGGGCAGAACATCTGGAAGAAATCTAGCCATCGATGTATCAACCTTGGCCTCACTTTCCGCACTCCTCCAACCCAGTAAGATTAACTGACTCGCGCCGTCGTGAAAACGGCGGGAGTGCTGCCGTCTCCTTATCCGAATAACGGATCGCTCGGATCCCACTAAGACGGTAGTAGACCCGTCGAGGCGCGGAACTGTGCTTAGAGTCACGATTTGTGGCGGGATTTAACTGGGCTGGTCTTAGAGAGTCAGATAATAGCGGAATGCTGCGAACCACCGGTAAGGGCGGATATTAGCTTTGCTGAAAGCTCACCGAACCTCGACCGAAAGAGAGCCGGTTTGAGGTATATGTTCCACATTGCATACACGAAGCTTCTAACAGCCCTACGATCTTAGTGTATGAGACCGTGACTCAAGAGAGGTATGCTATAATGGGGCTATATGCTACTAGCATTACTATGTACCGGCATTTCACAACCAGCTCATTACGCAAGCATTCTGAAATTCGCAGTCACAAGTGGTTCTAGAACCCAGTACCAACAAGAAGATCAGCGTAGATAGGAGGGGCGTTGAAGTATCAATAGATCCATAATAGAATAAGATAAAAATAATAAAAAACTACTAAACTATTGGTAACGATCTAAGTGGATCTCAGAGCGTCAGAAAGGAAAATAGCAACCCGGATATCGCCAGCGCCCCTAGATCCCTTCGCTCGGTCTTTCTTTTTCGCGTCCGACGTTCTCTTTCGTACAAGGAAAAGCTCCTCCACCAACACCTGCCCCTATTCAGTAGGTACCTAGTAAGGAACTCCCCCCCAACTCTCCGGCGTTGCTAGCGGTCGGCTGCTGCGCCTCCGTCTAGTCGCTGACCTCGATGGGGCCGCCCGGGACTACGGGGTCGGGGGTGATCGGACCGCCGGGGAAGCCCGGGAGAGGGAAGAAGGGGCCGCCGGGAACGTAGTCGTTGTCGACGACGCTTCGCTTGCCGGGCACGAAGGTGGTCGTGGTGCCGTCGGGGGACTGGATGATCTTGATGCCGTACTTGGTCAGGAGCTCGTCCTTGATGGAGGCAATGCGCTTGGCAACAGGCTTGGGTGGGTTTGTGCCGAAGTTGTGGATCAAAGCCTCATACTCGAGCTCTAGGGCCGTGATGTGTGCCTTAACGGGGTCGGAGCTGCCGTCGCCGATTCCGATCGTGTCCTGCCGCTTCTTCTTGTCGGACGGGTCAAGGCCGCCCGTGATAGGCGGGAGGATCACGACGGTGCCCTGGCGCTTCTTGGTCGACGGCTCCAAGCCTCCGGTGATGGGAGGTAAGAGAGTGAAGGTCGGCGGCGGCGGGCTGCCTGATCCTGGGAGCCAGCTGTTCGGGTCGGGAACGATGAAATCCCTCTGCTCCGTGGTCTTCGACGGCTCGGAGATGGGGGCTGCGGAGGCCAAAGCCGCGAGGGCTAGGGCGGTAATGCCAACGCGGTACATGGTGAACTACTTTTCTTAGCGAAGATTGAAGTATTAATCTCAGCTAATATGCTGTGATGTATATCTAGATGATTAAGTATTTGATGTCGTTGCAATTGTTGCTGTCGTCTGTTTGTTATTCTCAAAACATGCCCTGATCGTCGCCGTCGACACCCACATTTATACAAAAGCCTTCCGGGGCAATTCGTCATAACCCCCCTCCTCCGCGAGAGATAAGAAGAGTCTAGTCGTTCCCTGGAAACAAGGTTAAGTTCATTTATTGTTAATATCGATATATTGGAGCTACGGCGCGGCTGGGCCTTAGATAACACAATATACCCGGGGAGAAGGGGATTTTAACCGGGTCGAGTCCTTCTACCTAACGAACCACCCACGAACCACGTATGGGAAGACATTTTCATGACGCTTTTTAAATCTGCATTTGCCGGTCATCCGCTTATCTCGCCGAGAGCCGTCAATCATGGAAAGGGAGAGAATTGTGGTCATATCCCTTTCGACTCGAGTGCAGGCTGATGTCGCCAGAAAGGAGACATCATCGCGGAGTATGCGCTAGACGTGGGCGTTTAGCAAAGCATTTGACTGTTCAAATGAGCCGGACCCTAAGACGATGACGCTCACCGACGGCTCGAGATTCTCTATTTTTGGAAGCGTCAACTTCTAGAACTCGTCCTGGTTGAGTGTTTAAACCCTTTCGCTTGTGTGAAGCTATCCATCAAGCAATATAACCAAAGGCTCCGACCCAAGCTACTGTGTTATGCAGTAGCATAGCAGGTGGGTTCGAGATAGTCTTCGCTATATAGGGGAACATCTTCAAAGTGTCACGATATGTTTAGCTTCATGCAGGGGACTAGCAAGATTGAAAGGACCGAGAATCTGGAAAAATCTGGACAAGTCTTCGAACTGGGGATTGAAGGAAAACTGCACTGCACATAGTCCGGAAGCAGAATCGGGAGACTGGCCGTTCGAGGCTGGTCTGATAGGGAATATTCTAGGGGTACTTGGGCTCAATGGTCGAGGGTCACGCCATTAGATCAATGGTTGATATAAGGCTTCGTCGCCGCATTGGGGTTGGGAGCTGGTGGCTCGTCCCGAGAATTCTGCTTCGGGAAAATACGATATGCCAGAAATAGATCCAGCGTGACATCGTCTGTTTCCAGGGTCCAACCCTTTTTTTGGAGAACCGATATTTGAAGCTTTTCACCAAAGCTTGTGAAACGCCATTCGCAATTCCAAACGAAACACCACTTGTCAACTGACGCAACTCTTGGGATAGTATATTGCTTGACATGCGGGGAGCCGCAATCCGTCTGCGAATGCACTACGACATGGTGAGGCTGGGATCGCTGTATGGCACCGTACGTAGATAGCACGGAGACCGCCAACAAGTAGGCAAGCGGCCGCCCATCGAACGATATAGATCAGATCTAGAGCGTCGGTATCCAATCGCCGTTTGGTCTTCCTCGTGGCTTTTGCCAGTCTAGAGTGAAATCGTCGTAATCTTGACATCAGGTTCGGCGACCCGGGTATGCCCACATGTCTCCCGACGTTGGGGTGAATGGCCGACTGAGAATCTAGATTGCGTCGCATACCATCCGTCTGGGGACGGAGCTTAGATGGATTCCTCCTTTCGGAGCGTCTTGGGACTTATGTGGCATTGGACGGTTCCAGCTCACCACGGACGTCTACTGGAACACCCCGGCGAATGCTTACATAGTAAAAACGCCGACTTGAGGCCTAGCGAGTAGCACCAAACGCCGCAATAGGTTGCTTACATATGCCTCGACCCCCTTCCAAGCTTCGAGCCATCACGTCACTGGTACCAAACCAGATCTTGCGGGTTAGTAATGAATTCATCCGCTATCCTACCTTGGATTTAGTTACGCAGGCCCTGTCAAGCTGTGCTTGCAAGCTGCAGCATAGCACGCGACCATGAGCTATTGATAGCGTCAGCATCTTCATAGGTTTATGTTTCTAAGTTAAACTATTTCCTCTTCCCCCTCAGCCGTGAGAAAGGGGAACAGAAGAAGAGCTAGAGTCAGGTCTGTTCTAAATATGAACGACAGGGGTCTATTGCCGTAGGGTGTATCAGTTATTCTCATTTTCAGACTGGCCTAGAACTAAACCTAAGGGATTTACTGTTTCCTGGGTAGTGACGAACATAGCGGATGATTGAATTGCGAAGTGTAGCTGGGTTGCTTTTAAAACAGTCAACACATCTCTGTATACCTGCTATAATAAGCCTGGACCATAAATGTCTTTGGCAGCTGAAAATAGAGTATTTTGGTATTAGAATGATATAATATTTCTGTTCTGTCATTGTGGTCTCAAGCGTCTCATGATGATCTTATCCTAACTCTCGTGGTGTCTTCTACTATAAATCGAGATAGGTAATCTTCTATTCCTTGGGAAGCCCCTAAGTGATAAAGTAGTACGAACCGTTTCATGCTTCAAGTTTGACTTAGTACTATGTATAGTTAAGCCAAGCATGAACGAACATTCACGAGTTAAGCTCGTCATTTCCCACGAAGTTCATCGTTAAATTCTCCAGTAAGGTTAGATTGTTACCTCGTAATCGATATCCTTTTCTTCGTAATTTCTCTGTCTAGTGTAGGCTACCTTACCTAAAATTAGCATCACCTTCGATACCTACTACTTTTTGAAAAGTCAAACTAGCCAAGGAATACCTCTACTCGGATAAAGGGGCATAGTATGCCGGCGTACGTAGGCCATAGAGGAGCGAATAGGGCCTCGCCATGGGACATTTATCTGCCGACTCCCCATTACTACAATTACGATGATAAGCAAGCTGTGACGGTTATATATTGTGACCTTGGCGATCACTCCGAGAGAGAGGCCATAGTGAGCCTTTCGCCAGAAGTATAGTGTAGCTTTCGGCCTAGTCTCAAGAAAGAATATCTTGTATCCATCCTATATGATGGCCCAACAGAAAATACTTGTTGAGGCCCCCAAGAAGTCGACTTAAAGCTCTTTAGTTCTTATCTAAGTCTATAGGCGTCGGTCTAGGAGCCACGCCTAGATTTCCCTAGGAGAAGACCTTCATAGTAGTTTTTGATGAACCTGTCCTGGTAGGACCCCTATAGAGCACTGAACGAGAAATCCCGAGTACCTAAAGATCTATTATAGACAGCTACCTCAGGGCAGGGGATGAAGCGGCCGGCTCCGCAAGACTTTTCAGGGCCATTACCTTGCCACTGCTTTGATCAGGTTTCCTGGAAAATTGATCATGAGCCAAGCGAATCTTGTTTGAAAATCATATCGAGCCTCCCATGAGCCTTCCATTTGTATATTTCTTCGTACAATCAGTCCATGGACAATAAGATAGTGGCTTGAGTAGCACCACATCTCGCATCCGACTTGTCATAGGCAACTAAGCGCGGATGAGTATCTAAGCTACTCGTAAGCGGGGATGTATTATCTACACCGGTAGATGTTAGCTTAGATTTCTATAGTAAGACTGGTATTATCTTGCTTCGCTTTATAGTTAGTCTCGAAAATAATACTTTCCATGAAGATAGTGTGACACATCTTCTTAAGTAAGGGGCCTTGGCATCTAGTTCCCGGTCGAAATCGTTTAAGGGAGAATCTATTAAAACAGTTTTAAGAAATCTTCTGCCGTTAGTCCGAACATAGGCGGAAGTGACGCGTCTATTTCTAGACACATATGTTCTGGTTTTGGAATAGTGCCTAGCTTTATACATATAGCGGCCTTGTTCGAGTCTCCGTTGAAGCGGTAGATGGTCAAATCCATGCTCTCAAGGAGGGAACATCGCGCTTAAAGTCGAGAGATGCCCTGTACCTAGGTAGGTATTTAAAAATGAAGAATACGCAGTGGCGGCAAGTTACGAAGAAGCTAATTTAGCCACTAACAATTTTGGTATGATTAATCTTGTCTGAATACTGAGAAGATTCAGGGCCTGTGTGGTCAGAGATCGAGAGCTATAAGCGTGTAGTAGCCTGCTAAGAGCATCAACGTCCGCGTATATTCCATAGGGGTCTAGAGGCCACTTATGGAGAGTTCCTGATCGTAGCGAAGCTTCAAATAGCTTGAACCGGCCGCTCAATGCCGTCCACGATGAGCTTAATAGTTTAGAAGAGGAAGGTGACAATGGGAGTGCGCCGGGCCCTATTAGACGCTCGGGGGCGTATAAAGCTCAGGTAGTTATGATGAAGACCTCAAGACACGTTTAACTTGATCTTTAAAATAAAGATCTTCGATGTGATATAGGTAATTGTTGTTCTCCCTATACTTGTTGTCGTCTTTCAATTCCCTCCAATATAGGATAACAGGTACCAAGGAATCAACACAATTAAAACTATATTTCATAGAATAGACCACTAGCCATTCACCAGAGTTTATTTATTAGCAACAATAGTTTCTTAGTCAACAAAATATTTTACTATGGCACAATTAAAGCTTCAAGTTGTTTGATATAAGACGTGCACCTTTTATTCACATTCGATAGGCCCGTGCACTACCCCGGATCCCCGCAAAAAAAAAAAAAAAAAAAAAAAGTTCATAGGAATTGCAATACTTAGTACTGCTAATAAGATAATGACATCGCAACTAGCTGCTACAACTACAACTACCTCCTAAATAGGTCCTGGGAACTTCCAAGTCTACGCACCATGCACGGCCGTGCGACCTCTTTCCTTCGCCGGGCTATGCTCTACGGTAAGAGATATATACCTATATATACCCACCTAGACAACCGAGTCTTCTTCCGTCTCTAACCCATAGCACAGTCCCGGCGTCGTCAACCCGAATGCTAACCAAATCCCTCGGTCTCACCTGCGACACCGTCGTCTACGACCTCGAGGACTCAGTGCCGCCCGCCGCAAAGTCCGAGGCTCGCGATGCCCTCGAGCAGCACCTACGCGGTCTACCCGAGCGGCCGTCCTCCATCTCCGAGATCGCCATCCGCGTCAACCCCGCCGGTTCTTCATTTCTACAAAAAGACCTCAAGCTTGCCGCGTCGTCTCCTCTCGTCAACACAGTCGTGGTGCCTAAAGTTACCACCATCGGGGACTTGAGGAATGTTTCCCACATTCTGAAGAACCTTGAGAATAACCAGTATAAAGAGACGCGCGCCAAGCCCATGAGGCTTATAGCCTTGATCGAGTCGGCACGCGCTATAATGAACCTCTCGTCGATTTGCAGAGGGCCGCGCCTTGACGGCATAATCTTTGGGGCCGAGGACTTCGCCCTCGACCTGTCGCTCACGCGGACGCCGGATTTGACCGAGTTCTTATATGCGCGGTCTGCCATCGTGACAGCCGCCCGGTTTGAGAACATCCCTAGTGTGATAGATCTAGCATACACATCATATAAAGGGGAGGACGGGCTAGCGGGGCTAGAGCAAGAATGCCGAGGCGGAAAGGCCCTGGGATTCAATGGCAAGCAGTGCATCCATCCTTCGCAGGTCGAGACGGTGCAGCGGCTCTTCTCTCCCTCCGAGGAAGAGGTTGAGTGGGCTGTCAGGATTACCATAGCGAACGAGAAAGCCGCAGCTGCGGGAAGAGGGGCTTGGACTCTGGATGGTAAAATGATTGATGCCCCGGTTTCCGGTAGGGCGACGGCAGTAGTCGACAAGGCGCAAAAATGTGGCATAGATGTCGATGGACTACGAGAAAAATGGAAAGATCAAGAGCCTGAATAAACCACCTATGAATATTAACCTTGACAAAGATGTGAGTGCACATTGCGATATGGTACCAATATATTGGCGTATAGTATTTATCAGAATCGAGAGAACTGATTTGGACGCCAGAAGCTTGACATTTCAAAACTCTCCTCCTCAAATTCTTCCAACGGTTGTGTGATACCAGGTAAAATCTTAGGAGTACCAATCCTGTGCTGGGTATACGGCGCCTCAATATCTAAACCCTCTTCGCATAGTTTAGTTGTCCTTGGCCTTCTTAGATCAAAATAATCAGGATCGAAATTAGGAGATAAGTTGAGAGGTGTCTCCTTTTCCGTATTGTAAACTATGGGCTGCTCGTGGGATAGTCCCGTATCGAGCGAAGATGGGTCTAGCGCTGTCTCCTCTAATCCTAGAATATCATAACCGCGGGAAGGGAGTTGCCACTGTGACTCGTTCTCTATTCTGGCGATAAATTCGGCCATAGTCTCAAGTTCCTGTGATCCCGTAAAATCTCTTTGGTACGAGCCTCTACTTAACCTTCCTTCGTCTTGATTTACATAGGTAGGTGGATTTGTGCTTGGTCGTAATAAGGTAGCTCCCTCTCCTACTATAGGGGCTAATAGCCTTTTTTGAGGTATCCAGGGAACGCTATTGGAAGTTAACAGGGTACGTCCATTATTGGCGACCGACTCATACAACAAAGCCTGGCTACAACTTTCGAGGGATTCCTGGGAGTCTTGTATATCTTTATCATGATCCATCACATGAGGAACTTGTGAAAATTCCAAATTGGCTGGAGTCGTGTTCTGTCCCGGTGCATTAAATTCCACGTCGGCGCGGGGTACGGCGAGGGAGGCGTTTCTACTATACGGCATAGGTGGGGGAGGCATTGCATCCCTAGAAGCTACAGATGCTTCGTCGCTCGCCTGCTGTTTCTGTCTCTCTAGGCTTTGATCTACGTGTATAGCCGTCGTCTCGGGGATTTGGTGAATAGTGACAGGCTTGCCATCTAAGCTACGCGGAATCCCAACATGTTGCCTTGAACTACCCCTTTCAATAGGAGTTAGACGAATTTCTCTAACAATTTGCTGACGGTCAATATCATTAGAGATGTGTGGTATGTGCAGATTTGCCTCTCCTTGAGACCTAGACGCATGGCGATCTTCTGTTATTTGGACGGTTTCTGCCGACTCTGAGAATTTAGGGGGATCTTCGGTCATTATAGCTTGATCTCGATACCTGACCTTGCGAGATCCATTGGAACCTTGATGTATATTGTGATGGGCGTCCTCCGATTCCATGTGGCGAACGTTACATGCTTCCGTCTCGATTGTCTTTCTTGCTGTACTCGACTCAGTTGAATGACCGTCGTATGAGGACATTCTAGTATTGTCGTATACCCCTGTCGTTATTAGATCTACTCTCATTGATTCTGGAATAGTTGTTCGGATCGAACCTGACACATTTGGGCTCGAATGATTGTCCCTTTCATTAATACGCGGCGAGTGGCGACTACTGGACCATGTTAAATATGTCGTATCTCTGCCTGCGTCTTTTTCATCTGGAATTGATCTGAGGGAATCTGGTCTGATAGGATTGACGGTCTCATCGTGGGCTCGGGATATGTGGTTATGCTTAGCATATCCATGACGACTTGGAGACAACGACCCAGGAGGGTTTCTACAACGGGTGGATGTGAGCTGTTCAAAGTGATGTCCTATTTCCCGATACTTTCTACTAGTATCCGGCTTATGAGGCCTTAACCCGGGAGTATCTCTATCGGTTTTGTGTGGTAGGAAAAAGGAAGATACTTCCTCCATTTCTCGATCCTCTCGTCGTTTGTCCCTCACGCGGGACTTGGATAATACTTTTGGTTGAATGTTACTACTCTGGTGCTTTAGAAACTGCATGTCAGAGAAGGTTAAATCAGATACTGTTTGCTATTAGGTTCCCGCAACTAAATAATTTTTTGAGCATATCCTTACTTGGCTGTTTTTTCGATGTCCTTCCATTGTCAAATAGACCAGGCTTTAGATGTGGTTGGACCTAAGCGTAATTTAGACCAATACCACTCACATGTGACGGGGTCCTTACCGTAATACGGTCATTAAGAACAGCATTAGAAGTGAAATTATTCACCACATTTTTGCTAGATGCCATAGATTTTCTCTTGTCGACTTTCTTGCGCTTTTTACTCCGGTGATTGCTATGATCTACGGCACTTCCCTCTTCGTGATTTCGTTTTCTTTTCTTCGTTTCATATTTGTCTTCCCTAGTCTTTCTTCTGGGTCTTTTCTCAAAGTTGGGCCCTTCGTCTGCATGAGAAATGGTCGACGAAGCATCGAGATGCACTAAATCCGCATCTCTCGGGGCTCTGGCAGTTAGAGTATCCACATGATCCCCTTGAACGGAGCCAGGGGTATAGCTAGGAGGCTTCGTAGTATTCTCAAAACCACTGATAAGCGAACTATCACTAGGGGCCGTCCGCCTTCGCGTAGACTTTCTCGAATCCTTTGGACCCGAAGTCTCAAACGGAGAGCCTGATTGGTGCATATAATGACTAGGAAAGTCGTGACGAGGACTCCATCTCGGATCTACACGCCTAGGGCGTTTATTGTATGGGGACGTCGCATCAAGTGGTCTATACGGGAAACTATTGCCTGGGATTTCTTTTCGATGTCCTTGTGACGTACTAGGCCAGGGGTGAGGATCTGGCCTCTCTGTCTGCTCTAGCCAGTTTTCGACAATGTCATAGCGTGGTTGCGGCTGCGGCTGCGGCTGCGGCTGCGACGCGCTGGTTGACCCTCCTAGAATCGAATTGTCCTTGTGGGGTTGGCGTGGACGTTTCAGACGTGATCTATTATTGGGCATTTCGTACGAGTTGTTTCCGCCACGCGGCCGATTATAGCGACAGCAATGATGTGAAGAATAACGCGGATGTGGTATAGAGGCCTCCGAATAGCTTATCTCAAAGTGTGAGTTGAAACAGCAAAAGGCTCCTGAGACAAAGCAAAGATATTACGTCAAAATGGTAGGTCTACATATTGTAAGCCTAAGGTATAGTGTGGTAGATCATGTTCAAAGCCATGGGAAAGCAACTTTAGACGAGACGAGATGCGTGGGGACTAGGTTGTGTTGTCGGCAGGACGGTTGGAATATCCCAGGGCTACGGAACCTAAGACTTAGCTCAAGTTCAAGTTTATGCAAGTGATATTAGGTACATACCTATAAATTACTAAGCGTATACCTTTGTCTAAGTAGGGCGAGGCATGTACATATTATACATACTATACGTATTAGTAAGAAGGAGCCACCTCTTCACGTGGGGTTTGAGGTTATTACCTCCTGGATTTTCACTCCTAGGTCGGGTATGCATACCTAGTTCATGCATGTATCTAACTACATGTGCGCGTACGTATTGGATCCAATGATGGATACACATTGAGGGATATATTGAAGTAAAAGATCGGGTAGACACATGCATTAGCTATGTAAGTGCGGATGGAGACGCATACATGTGGGTAGCTTGATACTCTGTCGGAACCGAGACCCAGCGGTCCAGGTGCTTGCTAATGTCTTTGGTTGCTACCAAATTTCCAATATTTTGAAATCTAAGTATTCAATCTACATGTGAGATATCCATAGTTAGTCTATAATTAGAACTCGGGCGGGATCGGCGCTTGCTCTTACTTGGCAAGTTTTCATCATTGATCTAGCCTAGATTTTCATAGTCGTCATAGGTTATCATAAGTGCTAAAAATGTTACGTGAAAATTAATGGTTGACGAGTGTGTGTTTTGTAAGAGCCGCATGCGATGTCAGCGGCGTGTCGTGCATTGTGGGTAGTAATGTTGTTGTTAAAGACCAAGCTTCAATCCCAAGACGTCTGAGAAACCTTGCCAAGAAGGCCCCTGATTTCCCCTGGATTGGGAGTTGGAAATCTCAACCCGACTGGTCTGATTGGTCTAATTGGTCTGTGCAACCCCGCAACGTTCAGGTATGCCCTAATGTAAGTACCTTAGGTACCACTAGGTCCTACATCACTGCCCAAGAGGTACACTAAAGAATTGGAACTCTGAACCTTCACATCTTGGCAGCTCTGATATTGCCTAACATACACTACAATCGATACCACATGTCAAGCGTCTACTTTGTCTCTGAACGCCGGGGATTGGTGATTGCTGATAAACTTCTTCTTTCAGCTTAGGTCCAACGCGTTTCATTACCCTGTGTTTGTATTCTACCCAAGGTCCCCCGAGTCAAGGGATAGATGGATGGATATTCGGAGCGCCAGCCGGCCCCATTAACAGGTCGTACTAAACGACATTTGCAATTACATACATACAGCCTTACGCATCTTGCAAGCTACTTAGCTGTAAATCTTCTTCCTAAGTGGACTCGGCATTTGGATCAAAATTGCTCAATGATCGACTGCGACCTCCACGGCTGCATACAACGTCGCATCCCATGCGAACAAGCCTTTGGGTACGCGGAACGCATCTTGTATCGAATCTGAGCCGAAATGCCTCTACTATTGGGTTCCTATTTGTTATAGTCGTTGGTTACTACCATTTTCTGTCTACCTCACCTTAACCGCATGTCATATCCCACATTCCATACTACCCTATCGTCTATCATGGGTTTACAGCTTACCCTTTTATGAGCAACCGAGACGTGTCCACAGAGCATATATAGCACATGCTAAAAGCATCATTATTCTTTAGTTATCTCATCATAGTACAACTTTATGTATGGCAGTGGTACGGAGCTAGACTCAGCTCTCTTCACCAAGCAAATAATATCAAGTCATAGGGATTGAGAATACCTACATGACAGCATCACCCAAGGGCCGAGTATAACGATTGAGGACAGCTATGTGGGTTCTAGTCCCCAGGAGATAGTATTTCGACGTTTCACTTTCGTCCACAACTAAATGCAGCACATTTTCCTCCTAGTTCGTCTCGAATTGTACCAGGATAATCGGTGTCTCTAAGTTGGCTCTTTCCGGAGCTCTGCCGTGTTGCAAGGTCTTGAAGTACTTCAATGAACTTAACTAACTAATATACCCCCCATCTTAGAAAGCAGCGTAGTTTGTATTGTTCGTACGATAGTCTTCAGCACTAACGCAGGGTCTAGCCTTGCGGATAAGCAAGCCCCTCGGGAGACTATGGAGAGGCGCTATGTTCTCTCGCATTACTTAGCCAAGCAAATAAGACTTCCTGTTTTGAACTGACGTCCTGCGGCGATTGGTCGATCACAAGTCAGGGGTCCAAAAATGGCACCCCTGCGTGATTGGATATCGCGCTTTTCCTCATATTCTTCGAGCTCGTTACAGCTATTTTCAGGCCCAACAAGTTTTAACGAAGAACTATTCCCATAAGGTCCGAAAATCATAGGCTAGAGATATATGGCGAACAGACTATGGCATTCTTTTTTTAGCCCCCAGGCAAGGATTACGAAACTCTAGTATTCACTATTCACTACCCAAGGTGACGGACGTGAGACCTTGACAACTACGATCGGCCGCACTTAAACGAGAATAGGTAGATGTGGAGTATATCCTACCATGTAACCTACCTAGGTATGTAGTGTAGTCGGAGTAGATGCTTCGCAGATCGTTCTCGAAGCCGACACGCCCCCTTCAACCGCATTATGTCGAGCAACTTGGGCTACGCGAAGCAAGCATATCGTTGATTACTGGCATTCCATTTTAGGATAGAGCCGACTTAGCAACTCGCCTGGCACATGTAGTTTGTGCCGCGTGGAGTCTCATACCCTCTCCTTAGGGCAATTCGAGGTCACTTGCACCTCCTCTGTTTGATGCTTGTTTTGAAGCTATCCCTGCTGACTCCCTCTTTCTTCTCTTTGCTGGTGGTGGGTATACGCTTGTTGAGTATTGCGGTCTGCCTACCTCTACCTAGGGGCAAGTATAATATATTGTATAAAATCAGGCGGCCTCGAGTACATAGATATCTTTCATTCCTCGTTCAAGCCAACAGATACTGGTCGATTTGTCACTGGAACGCCTCCCGAGTTACTTTACCAACTTTTATAATCCTTGCCTAACCGGCCACCTGGATCTTGCATTTCGTACATTACCTATCAACCCTGCCGTCTTTACTGTACCGAAATACTAAAATACCGAAATACTTTTCACTTCTTTACCCTTGCGCCTATCAGATACGTCACCTAGGCCCTGGCATCTGCAAACCTTCCGGCACTGGTTACTGGTCAAGTTTGCAAGTCAAAAATAAAGGCAACAACGATAGGTTTGTACGATTGCTGCTTAGGATTCTAAAAGAACGTTCGTGCATCTCTTCCACTCCCGCCCCTGCCTCCCGTACAATTAGTGGGCCCAGTAGTTCCTTCCTCCCTTGCTGCTATCTTGCAGATTGCTCCTCCCACTTTGTTTAGACAATACCTAACGGCAGCCTCACGTACCTTAGGTATATGTGTGCAGGTAATCACTACCTCATTAATCACTACATATACCCGTGTACTTTTACTTCAACTATCCCGATCCGCACATCATTATTACGGATCAATTATTAACCTTATTTAATACAGATCTATCTACCCTTTCGAGTCGATATCTTCAGTCAGCAACAATGTCGAAACTATTCATCGGGTATGGTAAAACAGAGTTCCCATCTATTATTTACTTGGCTAATCCAAATGTTCCCCTCTATATAGCGGGCTCGCATGGCACACTGAAGATACCACGCTCAGACAGAAGTTTGAAGAATTCGGTCCCGTTGAGGAAGCGGTATGTGGTCCTATTACTATCTCTCTAGCACCCGCACTATCTTCGATATGGGGGTCTGGAAACCCTACCGAGACTTTGATTCAGGACTAACTGAGTTGATATTAGGTCGTCGTCAAAGATCGCGACACTGGTCGAAGCAGAGGCTTTGGATTTGTCCGATACGTGAACGAGGAAGATGCACAGAAAGCTATTTCGGGCATGAACAACGTCGAGTAAGGTGCCACGTCCCATTCTTTCGGGGATTGATCTAACTAAACAAATTAGATTCGATGGACGATCTATCCGTGTCGATAGAGCATCTGATACTGGTCCTCGAGGCGGTGGCGGACGGGGTGGTGCGTACCCGCCTAGGGGTGGGTACGTACAGCAACCTCAGATGCCCTACGCCGCTGGCCAGCAGGTTGCCTACGGGATGCCGAACCAGGTGATGTACCCACCGGCCTACGGACGCGGAGGAGGTTACCCGCAGCCCGGTTACGGAACACCCCCGCCTCAAGGTAAACACATAAACCCCTTTAGAATATTTCAATTTAAACCAGTACATGTTTAGACTAACCGAATCTTATAGGTTATGCACCCTACGGCTATCCGGACCAGCAGCAAGCGGGTCAACAGCCTCAGCATCAACAGCAACCGCCTCAGGGGCAGCCGCCGTACCAGTAGAACTACTGTGAGCGACACAGGGGGGTCTCGATCCAAATCCCAACACCAACATTATGCAGAGTTGGCATCTACTAGAAAACTGGCCCAAAAGGCACGCTCGTTATCGGTGAAATTGGCGCTTGGAGGTCTGATGTTCCCACAACACCCTTGACACTCCTTATGCACAACACGACCAAAGTGGTATTCCCCATTTGTCACCATTTCATTAAATCATCCTCAACTATCGAGTCTCTATATCTGAGATGGGAGGATTACAGTGAGACATACTCACTAATGTACATACATTCGTTCGCCATCTTCTATTCGAGGCTCTGTGGCCCTTATGATTAACGTGAATATCCACGTCATCTATCATTTTACGAGTCTACGAAGGACTAAAGAAGAAAAAGAAAAAGAAAAAGAAAAGAGATGGGAGAACTACTTGAGGATAAAGAGTTCGACCTTCTCGAGAAGAAATCGGTATGAAGTCGATCTCGGAGGGGGATAGGGGAAGGCAAAGCCGGGAACGAACTGTAGCAATAGCGCTCAGATCAATCGACATGATTTCCAATGCTTTTCTCTGTTGAAATTCTTGACCTAAGTACCTAACGTAATTCTCTACCTCGACGACTAATGTTTACAACATCTCTTCCCCTCTGTAAGATATCATTCACGCCTTCTCCGTCTCTTCCTGCTCGTCTACGCTGCTCACTTTCCTAAACTCGTGCGAGACGGGATGTTCAAAGCCTTCTACCTGTAACTGGCCCTCGCGGCGCCTGCGGTCAATCTCACGCACGCGATCCGACAAATCCGTGACGTGAGCGTCACCACTCTCTGGGCTTAGCTCGTTGAGGGCCTTTTCCAGACCCAACAGGTAGTCCCTGTTCAGACCGCTGGGACCTTCGCTAACGTAGATGTGCTCGGCGAGGGCCTGCGGGTCTTGCGGTCCCGTGAATTGGTCATTATCGGGGGTGCCGATATAGACTAGAGTGCGGATGGACGGCGACCCGTCCGCCGGATGGAAGGGCGTATAGTGGATCGTATACCCGTTGATTTCCCGGATGTCGAGGTACTCCTTTACCTCGGCTACCTTGTCTGCTTGGATTCGGTACGCGGTGCCCCATACCTTCTCGGGCGCTGAGTCATGCGCATCGACGAGGGATGCCCAGAATGATCGCTCGATGAGAGTGACGACGCGGCCGGGAGCTTCAGGTGTGCCGCGGTGGTCTTGACTGGAAAGTTCTTTGATGTTAGGAGATGATATAATCCACATGTATTAAACTCGCTGGCCCTTGTCGTCACCGTACATCTACACTAGGTTGTATCGATTTAATATCCAGGGTAGATTAAGCTTACCTTGCCTAAAGATATGTCAGCCGTATACTTCTCAGCTAAGCAAAGTGAAGGAATCTATACATACCTGCCAGAACCGCCTAACATAGCCTGTGACCCAACCAGGTATCCGTCGATCTACCGAACAGTTTCGGTGAGTTTAGGCCTTGGATATATATGTTGACGTAAAGGAAGTGAGCAGTGAACTGCTTCAGTATAAGACCTTACCATAGTGCGGAGGGGGTTTCCATATCAAGCTTCTACAATTCTATAAGTAAGGTTAAGCTACAAAGCTAGGGAAGCATCCGAAAGGATAACGCACCCATAACCGAAGATCCAGAATTCGCCCGTTTCAGGCGGAGCTCCGTTGACTGGCATCGTTGATATTCAGGTCAAGCTTCCTCGTCTACCCTTCGCCCTCTTTCGTTTCTATAATTCACGCACGCTTGCTCGAGTTATTGTCTATGGATCCAACTAGGTAATTAATAAAGCCCTTAACAAAGCTCTCCAGATATCGTAAAGACTACCTACTCTATCCGTGAATAAGAGTCATCGTCGTTCAATTTGACGGGAGTCGGAAATGGTACAATAATGCCAAGCTTTTCGTCTTTTGCGGCTTCCTAAGCCATCGGGACTGCCGTCTTTTGGCGGGCGCGGCTCCGGCCAACGGAGCATGTGCTACACAGTACCAACACCGTACATCTTACTTACCTAGACCTTACATACATTAGGTACCTATATGTAGGCAATCCCGCTCTTATTATCCCGACAGTCCGACTAGGTGGTTCTTATTTTTAGCACTTATGTACCCTACGTAACTGGACCTGAATCTACGTGTTGTAGGTACATGCTGCGAACAGCTGCAGCTAAGCTCCTGAAATTCGTCATTCAGGTATTACCTAGTTGCGATGAACGTTGGAAAAGGCTAATGACATCGTATATTCCAAAAACTGAAAAGAATCTCCTGATACGTGACCTCTCATATTATTATTATTTACTCCTGCAGCATCTCGAAACCTCACGCATATAATACCTATGAAGCATGTATGCATCCCGTGAAGATTTAAGAATAGGGGAAGCATGCGCCTCGACTTGTATTACAGACCGCAACAGCTTGGAGCTCCTGTTTTGCTGCGCCATACTAGCTACGTATTATCGCATAGACTTGCCGCCATCCATGGAAGGTGTTGGGAATGACAAAAGAAGATGCTGTGGGTTCAGCGTAACCCACTTTGTTGTAGGCAGTAAGATACCTGAGGAATATTAACCGGGATGCGGGACGGGACGGGACCGTCATGCCTGAGCCTCACTGGGGAAGCTGAATCTATTCTAATCCTTTAGAAGCTTTTGCTCCCATATAAGTCAGCCTTCGAGAAAGACTTAAGGTTCGCCCTGTTTTAATTCCCCAGGATCTCTGCCACCTTCGGTCAAGATAACGAATAATCGGATTGATCCGACGAGTTATTACGTACCTAATGGAGTACGTATGGATGCTGTGGTAGACGATGACACAGCCCCGGACTGCCCCGCCGCTCAGCATCGGTGTGAACTGTGTGATTTTGATCGCCAGTCTGATGCCTGCGGATCTTTAGTATCAGTCAGACGGACACTAGCGGTGCCGGATATCCATACAAACCCATCCAGTTCAGACAATCTTTACTCTGGAGACCAAAGAAAACAGCTTGTTAACAAAATACCTATCCGATAACAAATACCCGACTTACGGTATTTGATACAATAAAGCAAACCACATTACTTTTTATTTTTTCGGCAGCCCCTAAGTTGTTATTAGTTAGCTCCTTTGGGTCTTGGGTCTTAGGTCTTGGGTTTGGCAGATGCAGCCCTAGAGTTAATCCTCAACCAAGACTTTTAATAATTACATCCCAGCCAAATCCTCAGCACTATCTCTTCCCTTTTGTCTTTCTCAAACCCCATGATCCTTGACTTTCCTCTTTTACCCCGATTTTTTTGCGGCTGAATCTAATTTACTCTTTGTCCGCTACGTAACGAACTGGGTTGCACTGCCGCTTATTACTCGTCCGACACCTTTCCCAATTTAACTGCCTATCCCACATCGACATCCTATACAAAAAAGAAGCTGGACTGCGCTGCAACTACTCGTGCCACGCCCCACTTAATTTTGGTTTCGCAAGCGAGTACCAGTCTTAACTGGTGCTTACCACTATTATCCACACATCACTATTATCCCCATTATCATTACAAAAATTCATTTAACCTTCATTTTTAACGTTATATAATTCGAAATTTTTTTTTTAAATATATTAAATTTTAATTAATATAATAAAAAATTTAAAAAATTATAATTATAATATTTATATTATATTATATATTATATTTTAATTTTTAATATAATTTTTTATATATAAATATATAAATATAAATATAAATAAAATTAATTAAAAATATAAAAGTAATTTTTTATTTTAAAATAATTTTTTATATATAAGTTATATTAATTTAAATTATAAAATATTACGTAATTAAATTATTATAAACTTTTTTTAAATTTAATATATTTTAATAATACGTTTATATTATTTTTAATAAAATAAATAAAATAATTATTAAAATTCTAAAAACGTAATAAAATTGTATGAAATTTAGTTTAAATAAATATATTTTTTATTTTATTTATATATAAATGGTTAAAAAGTTATAGTAAAAAGTAAAAAATTTGGGGATAATTGTGGTGTGTGGATGGTAAGCACCAGTTAAGACTGGTCATGCTTGCAGAACCAGAATTAAGTGGGGCGTGGCACGAGTACGCATCCTCTCCTTGTTCCATATAGTAAACAAGTCTCGCCGTCACTGCTGTCCTTACCATCTTCATTCTTTACTACCGGTACTAGTCGATTCTAAACTCTAGAGCGACGTAAACAGCAATATACACAATGGCTTACAACAGACCATACAATCCGGACGAACTGCCAAGGTGAGTCGGCGCCTAGTGCTATTATACCCCGCCATCGTCATCGCTCAGAACCGCGATGGTCTGGAGTGAAGGACAAGGAGGACATTGCCATCTCGTCAGATGGATAATAAATATTCGTCTCATTTTCATGCGTGACAGCGATAGCTAATTTATTTTTGAAACCGCAGATTCGCAGAGCCCGACCAAGTACGCGCACGCACCTCCGTTGAACCCTTTTTCTGCCCTATGTTAACCCCTGCGCGAGCCCCTCTTCTATCCACTCGTATTCGACTGTAGATAACTAACTTTCTTCTCTTCTAGAAAGGCGGCGCGCCTCACCCATCCTCTCGCTACGAGTCCAAGCCCCAACCGCCTGTTCCTAGCCCCCGACACGACTCCCTTCCGACTCGTCGCACAGATACAGGACGTCTGACTCCTACTGGTTACGCCCCGAGCGGTTCGAGCGGTTATAGCAATAATAGTGGTGTCAGCCACAGCAACAGCTACGATCACGGCTATAGGCCGAACCTACAATCTACTATGTCGCCGCCACCTACCGCGACCGGCCCGCGACCAACGGCCCATAACCGCCCACCTCCTGCGAGTCGGCCGCCTCCTTCTCCTACCCCTCAGGAAGGCGCTGCCGATCCTACTCTGCTACCATTATTCAAAGCTGTCGATAAGAACAGTACGCCTTCTTAGCCTAACTGTGTTTCTTTTCCCAGATACTAACCCCTTTCGAATAGACACTGGTCAGCTCTCCGAAAAGGAACTATCGGCCGCTCTCGTAAATGGCGACTGGACGGCTTTCGACCCGCAGACGGTGCGCATGATGATTCGTATGTTCGACAGTGATCGATCGGGGACGATCGGATTCGATGAATTTTGCGGACTGTGGTCATTCCTAGCATCGTGGCGGGCACTATTCGACCGGTTCGACGCGGACCGCAGTGGCAATATTAGTCCGGACGAATTCAGCAATGCCCTTGTGGCCTTTCGCTACCGCCTCAGCCCCGGCTTCGTCGACCTGCTCTTCCGTACCTACGACAAGCGTAACGAGGGCGTCATGAGCTTCGACCTCTTCGTTCAAGCCTGTATCAGCCTTAAGCGTATGACCGACGTCTTCAAGAAGTACGATGAGGACCGTGACGGTTACATTACCCTCAGCTTCGAGGACTTCCTCGTCGAGATCTTAAAACAGCTCAAGTGAGGTTGAGACCGGAAACTTCAAGCTGTATGGCTTCCCACGGAATTATTAGTAGGGGGTGAGCAAAGCCAATGATGAGGATTGCCGTATTTATATACGCAATGGTCTGGAGAACAGATGTTACCTGTGGGGCTAGCAGCAAGTTCAGGAATACGTTGCCGAATACGCGCCATTTATTCTGCGTAAGTGTAAGCAATCCAAACTTATGTTTCTATGGGCGGAGAGAGGATATGCATTCGAGGAATTTCGTTATGTGAGCTATCATGCTATCTCATGGGAGTTTTAGAAGTAGAGGCAGAGGCAGGCCCGCGGATCTTATTGTTATTCTCGGTAGATACCATCAACCTATCATGGCCACAGGGATGCATAATGAACGAATTCGTCTAACAGACGAGAAATTCTTTTTTGAGTCTTAGACTTTGCGATTATCTAATATTATACGTTGGTATAATAACGATGGTAGGTATCCCTCTCTTGTTCCCGAAAATCCGTAGCAAGTTTTTGGCTTCGAATAGCAACGCCGGTGACTTTTTCTCTCCATCCATGCCTTTCCCTAATCCTAAGATACAAGAAACCCTATTCCAAAAATAATATGCCTAAATGGTTCATTAAAAATGACAAATGCGTAAAGACTAATTTTGTCTGCCCTTGGTATCATGTAGAAATTCTTCTCCCGAAATACGCCAGAACCCGACAAGCTAATGTGCTTAAACATAAGAAATATCGTCCTAATGACAGACGGTTACGTTGCCCTGAACGAATGGACGAGCCTTTAATCTAGTAACTTCTTCAAGTAGGGGTAGCCACGGACCTAAATCTCAAAAAGCCTCCTCTCAATGACTTCTTCGTCTTTAGGCCACTAGATATCTTCTCATTACGGGCGTAGATTGGTCTCAGGCTGCATTGGCTTTTCACCTTGACATTCTGACGGGCCTTCGCGTCCCTGATAACCCATTGGTCATCCGTATTTTCCGGAGAGCACCATAGCATACCGTTTCCAGAGACGACGACTTCGTCGCCGCTGCCGAGGCGCATGATTTCCGTGGTGACGCCGCCGATGCTACTGTTACTGCCCTTCCGTGCATGGCCTAGTTTCTGCTTACCAGGTTTCCCTTCTTCGCGCGGGTCCAAGGCGCCTTCAACTTCCTCGCGCCGCCACCGTTTCGTCTTCAACATCGCCGTAGCGAGGCCCCTGACATCTTTTTCCCCGTCATGCGCGCTAAGCCAGATGCGCGCGCCCAGTCGCGTCGCGATCTCGGCACCGGTAGGTACGCCCGCGCATATGTTACCGCCGAGCCACCACGGATTTGTGATGCTGTCCATACAGTGCAAGAGGGCCGTCAGTGGGAGCGCTGCTTCGGCTACGAGATGCGATGTGACGTAAGGTGCGATGTAGTCGTATGAGATACCGTGAGGCGAGAAGAGGACTGAGATGGGACGGACCATACCGGTGGAGGTGGCGGGGCGAAGATGGTTCTGGAAAACGGACCGTGGGAAAGAAGTGTTTGGGCTTGAGCGCGCCGGAGAGGGGAGTAAGGTTGACGCGGACTGGACAGAGCGCAGGGAGCGTGGTGATACTGGTGGGGAGGGCGGGAGGAGGAAAGGATTAGGGGTAGATGAGTTATTCGTAAGTGTCATATCCGAACCCTGCATAATAGGCGTATTAGGGGTCGCAGGTGGTGAAGGCGGTTTCGATATGGTAGGGATACCAAGTTGTAAGTGATGCATTGGTGGAGGTCGATATGTTATACCAATTGCGCCATGTAGACCAGCTAGGTCGCGTTTCTGCGGTATGAAGGCGACGGTGACTTCACCCCCTTGACCTCCGGGCGTCACGGGCGGGACGGGAATTCGCACTGCTGACTGCTTTCCTGTCAACCTCGGGTCTTCCCATCGCTCTATCGTCCGGATCTTCTCCTGGTCGAAGTACTTCCAACTCTTGATCAAGCGTGCTGCTGCTGGTTCGGCAAGGATGATCGTGTTTGTCCCGCTTGCTGGTAGCTGCCGGAGCGTAGCTTCATTGCAATGGTCGCTCTTATGTTGAGTGATAATAACGAGATCCGGTGGAGACGGGAGCTCCGAGAGCGAGGATATGCATGCCGGGTGTATGCGAGTCGTAATCGAGATCTTAGAGTGAAATACCTTAGAAGATCCTGTTATCCAAGGGTCCAGGAGAACTGTGAACGGCTTCGGCGTTACAATACGCTGTGCGAATTCGGGGATGATGGGCTCGAAGGATAGGAGAAACGAGGCATCGGAGTTGAGGTTCTTTATGGTTAAGGCCATTGCGGATGTCGACGTATCTGGGGGCTTGTCGTTTAGACTCCCTCTTAAGGGGGTTGGAAATTGGCTATCATCTGTGGTCAAGAGAGCTTAAGGGCTTAAGGTAATGAGGGATGAGCTGACTTCAAGAGCTTCAAGCGGAGGGATAAAGCAGCAAGAGAAAGTGATGACGAAAATGAGAGTTAAGAAGGATCTAGTCTCAGCCCCGATTAAAGAGGGGGAAAGTGAGCTGTCTTACCACGGGATGGATGGATGATGAAGTAATAAAGTAGGCGTACGAAGGATCGCGTGGGAGAGGAATATTTGTTAAGACACACAATCAGGTAATAATCGAAGTCCTCGTCAAACATCGATCGATGATCCAATAAACTCACCATGTGGTATTAGAACTATAATCAAAAGTCAAGCTATACAAAATGTCCTTGTCCGCTTTCCCACTCTTACCACATACGTACTAACACTTGTTGTGGAGGGAGAGGACATGTTTTAGACAATGGGTAGTCGACCATGTTTCACTTGGTTCGAGCTGGGGGGGATGTGGCAGAGTGGATGCGAAGCTGTAAGCTAAAAGATCTGCAGATGGAGAGTGAGATGTTTCGGTGTTTTGTCAAGTCTAGTCTGTACGACACCGGTTGGTATTAATGCCGTCTGGACCGTGCCCCGTACTTTACACTTTCTTTGACACTTAACTACCCCAAATTAGAGACCGCGCAGGTTAGGGGCTTGCCATTAAGGGTATTTATTGTCTCTTGCTGATTGGTCAACCTTCCAATTTATAGCACAGAAGTGGCTTCGGGCTCCAACGTTCAGGGTCTTTTTCTTATCCTAAAATAGATATTTCTATCGAGTATTACACGTAGGCGTCTATGTATATAAAAACCTTGAGTCACAGCTAGTTTAACTATGACTTTCCTTCGCATTGATTATTAAAATCCAGTTATTTACTGGCTTATTATCGGCAGGAATTAGCAAGTACCGCATGAAGATAATCATAATTTCATGAAATATTAGGTACATATACGTACTTCGTGCCGTTGTCGCACAATTAGGAATGTTTTTTTTCCCAAACGCTATATCTATTCGAGCATGACGTACGAAACACTATTATTTAGATACCCGAAGAGATGGCGATATACTATCATTCCTGTATGACAAGATTGGTATCTCATTTCCCAAATGTTCATTCCCTTAGATGACGACTTCTACTTGCCATACCGATATCTCCCCGTTATGAGATCTACAGTTGCCCAATCAACAAGGACCAGAATAATTATACAACGCATTCCAGATTCGTTTACTACCAAATTACGTGGAATGACACAGTGATCATGCGGATAACTAGGCACAGATTGCTCAAGAAGGTCGTTCGGCATGAAAGCTTTGACTACCTATTTTCAAGTCTCTTAATAGCTCTTAGCGTGGCGTCTTTCTTTCGACCGAAGACTTCGAGAAACTAACACAGGGAACTTATATTATTGCTAGTTTAGATACACAATATTATTAACACTTGTATACAGGAAGTTTTCCATGCTTCACTTTCAGTAGCTCTACTGTAACTACAGTGTCAACGTAGTACTCGGCTTGTAGTACTTTGAGGTATGGAAGTAGTGGTAATGATTATTGTTATATTTTAATGTCAACTCTTAGAAGGCATGCATTTGAGGTCGGCAATAGGCAAAAAGGTATCAAACCCGCAGCTTAACTAAATTATCAGTAACAGAAGCCAATTTATCTTGAGTTGACATCTTATTGATTTAGGCAAGTAATCAATAACCGCTCACAGAGCCCTCTAGGGATTAGTATACTACGAAGAAACATAATTACAAGAAGTTGATCTTCAACTTGAATAGCTGGATATCCATGTAGCACATCCACTGACTTCTTCACCTGAAGATTAAGCTTCATGCTTTGGATACTGAGCTTTAAGCACACGGATAGAGAAGCGGGCGGCTATAGGCACGTCCCGACTCTAACCCGACGTAAAGCCTATTAGTGCTGTTCAGGATGTCAAGGCGTAAGATGAGTCGACCGAGGCTAACACTACGGCTAGTTTGCAGCGATACTTCTAATTCGTGTGCCTTTTCCACATCAACCGTGATGCGTTTCTCACCTTGCTTAAATATTTCTCATGGGCAAAGCTATACGAGGCGTCGAGTAAGCCGACAATGCAATATGAGCACGCGAGTATATGAGCAATATATCAAACGCCCGCAGGAGGTCGTGCGAAAGGAGTGAAGTTCGGTCTAACTCGATGAGCCATGATTCCTTATATTGTTTTAACGACAGGTGACGCTTAGCAATTCCGTTGCGGAGAGTATGCTATAGGTAGCTGGTCCTAAGAATGTAATTCTTAATCGAATTTAATAAGGTCCTTCGATACTATCGATAAGAACGATTAGCTAGCTGTATGCCTTCGTCATCCTTCTAGTTTTGAGACCCCGGTGAGGGGTAGAGGTGTGCAGCACTTATACAATAGGTACACGCAATGTGCTGAGAGTCAAGGTGAGAGAGGATTCGTCAATTTCTAAAGCTCTAACGGCACTCGGATCAGCAGTCACACAACTCAGATAGGTAACTATAATAGATGCAGCTTCCTCTCAGAGCTAATGCTTTACGATAAGGGATTATGAGAACACCTTCCTAGAGCTTAGGGTACATGTAAACGGTAGAAGAAGCAAAAAAAAAAAAAAGGGTTTGCAAGCTTGCAGTAGCGTACTCTCGTACTCCCCACATCAAGCCGAGCAATCATGTACATACCATCATGTACCTAGGGTACATGGGTACATACTCAAGGCTTAGTAGCACAGCGCCACTATGATGTATGGAAGGAACATTTTTCAGCTTCAGAGGAGTTCCCGAATAAAAGTTTCTATTCGAGGAACTAAATCAAGATACTAACAATAGCAAAACGCTAGACCAATGTTTAGCCACGATGCGATTCTCGTACAAAAGGCTCGTCCAGACATTGTCGTGCCAGCCTCCCGAGTGGAAAGTCTTGGTGAAGGCAGCGCGTACAAGAAAAAAAAAACCTGACCAACTAATGCGATTGACTAGGATGAGAGCTTTCTACCACAGTTCTACTAGTCGCATTGACAAAGAAGAGAATTGGGGAGCTACAATACAGTACCCATGTTCGGCTGCCACCTAGCTAGGGTAGGTAATCCGGCTTCGTCTGGAATGAAATGTGTCAAAAAAAAGCCACATCCGCAATCAGACAATCAGAGAAGCGATGGCAAATGGTGGGAGCTCATGTTCTATATCTGATGTCATAAGCTGACGAGCTTAACCACGGGTTCTTTTCGTATTTCCGCCGACAGGTACAGCCAAGGAGAATACTCGCTTTTCAACTGGAGAGGGAGATGTGTGGAACAAGCATCATGCGTGTGAGAGAAGCGTGCGAGATGGAGAGCTTCGATAATGAAACGAGCCCGCCTGCCCGCCTAGCCCGCCATGCTAAGTACATACTAATGCTACCATGCTACCCGACAGAGTCTTCTTTCGATGCCCCGCCATTTCTCAAGCCTCCACTCGAAACCTCCACCTATCGTATCACCTCCGCAAGCTCTGCTCTGCCTGCTCAGCCAATGCCGGAGCTCTCATCAGTAGATGGATGGATTCGGTCAGTGCATCCACCTTACCCACCTGCAGAACCCCTCGCCCCCCTCAAGCTTCCTGCTGCTGCGGCGGTACTGCAAGCCGGGGCTTTGCCTGGCTAGTACCTAGAGGCAAGTATGTAATAATGCATTCATGTCTCGTGGGAAGCAGCTGGCTCTATTTGTTATACACCATGAGGTGTAAGGTCGCATTAAACCCGTCTTTACCATTCGAGGATCCCACACCCTGCTCCTACTGCAGGTATTATGTGCTTGTACGCTTAGAGGCAACAAGGAACGGAAAACCTTGGCCTCTTTTTACTTAGCTTGCTCTAATAGTATCTGAAGCTAAGAAGCTTGCATCGCCAAATTCCGAACAGCCAGACCTAAAGCTCTGACGACGACTCTCAACTCAAAAGAAATCATTGAGCTCTCTGGGGGTTATATTGCTACCAGAAGTGCTCGCGTCGTCGGCTTTTCTCTTTTTATTATTTGTATTATTTATTTGCATCATTGTTCTCTTTTTCCCTCGCCCATCACAGAAGAGACCCCACTCCTAATGTTCAAATAGCCATCCGTCACAGCCGCGAGTCAGAAGGGAAGCTGTCCGGTCTGTTTAAATCGAGTTAAGAAAGAGACGGAGTGGGACGGAGCCAATAAAACGACTCCCTCTCTCTTTGTCCGCCCCGATTTGAACTTGCCGCACAAGCTTGGGGATTTTTTTTTTTTTTTTTTTTTGTACTCATGTATGTATATACGTATGTACGATACAATGCCTGCTTGTCTGCGACGAGATGCCCGTCTTTCACCCGCTTTGGTTGGATCATCTATCTTTTGGGCTGCTTTGGATGACAAGCTCAGTTTACCCTGTCCGGGGGGAAGGCTTTGCTCTCTTTGTTAACAGCTACTTAATGTTCCCGCATTAATACCTTGCTAGGTGTGGTACTTATCTAGGATACCTACACCACCAGACCACTTACATACATATAACGCGCATCTACCATTTACATCCTGGGTCCATCTACCTTAAGGTAAGGTATCTCAAGGCCGTTGATCCAGCTTTGGTGTGTGGAGTACAGGTAGGTATGTACTTCTTATTATACCTTCTGACCCTGCCTTGTGGCCACTGGCCACCCTACATGTACTATTAGTACTATGTATTAGTACTATTACAGTGTTCCTCCTGTGTTCCTTGTGTGTTCAATGTTCCTTGTCTTCTTACCTACCGACCTATCTAAGCTGGGAAATTCCAGTACCGCTGCTTTCAGCTACCCTTCCCCCCTCCCTCCCAATAAGGTCACCCTTCCAGTCTTTCCTCTTTCCTCTGCCAACACCCACGAGAGAGAGAGAGAGAGGTCTTCGAAACACCTCATGTAACACCTGTATAGGAGCTTAGAGCTACCTCGGCAGAGCTGTCATAATCCTTTCTATATCGAATTTAACTATCACATACCTAATCTCCAAGCTTCATAGACTTGGACTATCGTCAATTGGTTACTATTAGTGGTGCTTCTTATCGTCGACACCCGTATCCGACTATCGATCTTGCGAACCTCCCCCCGCCTTCAATTCCCGACCAGTAAATGGCGGGGTTGATTGGGTCAAGATGCCGCCTCGATCTTCCTTAACGTCTTCATTCTCTATTACCGACTCGAACAATGAAGTCGTCTGTCCTCTGCGAAACCAAGATGGCTCGAGCTGTCGTAAGCGCTGTATTGGCGTAAGTTGCAACATCTTCACTGACTCGCCTCCCGAAGGATTGGATTACGAAGCTGTATCGGGTCTCAACCCAGAAGCTATGTCGCAAAGCCTAGGAAAGACAATGTCTAACTCTCCATTTTGGAACAAATAGGAAAAGAGGTATCGCTCAATGCAAGAGCATATTCGACGAGCGCATCCAGAGCATTATATTTCGAAGCTCCCTGCGACCGAGGAGAGCTTCTTACTCATGATTAACACACCTCCGTCAGATCGATCTCAAGTTCAGAACTCTGCCGGCCCTCCGCCAGGAAGCCTCGACCCGACCAAAGGCTATCCGCACGAGCGTCATGCATACTCCCGAGACGCATCTAGCGCTCCCGGGACCCCTAGGAATCATGATGAATATTCCGGGGGCTCGCATTTGCCAGCCGCGAGTGCCGCTGCTGCTTTGGCCCAGTTAGGTGGCCAGCACAAGTTCGAGACGGATTGGGATAATGAAGCAGTAAATACTCACCTAACGTCACTATAATCATTGATAATATCAATGCTGATTCTGATTTTGAAGGGCTGGCAGTCTGACAACGACGGCCGGAGAATACCGAGGAGTACAATTGAATTGCCTCCCATACATTTCGGAATGGAGCCAACTAGCGAACCATTCCCTTCAATTAACTCTGCACCGCGTAGGGACTTGCTCCCGTCAATTCTTTCAAATTCCCCGCCAGGTCGCTCGTCGACTCTTCCTCCTCTTCAACGATCGCTTGGTCCTATCCGACCTAGAAAGCAATCTATCACTAAGCGTGGCCATAAGAAGCAGAAATCTCGAGGTACCGCAAACGACTGGCTCCGGAGAATTCAAAACGATGAGCGCCTTAAGCCAGGCGGGACTGATCGTAAGGCTCATTCCGTCGAGCCCACGGCCGACTACGGCAAAAGGTGGGAAGACCTCATTGATGCTGCAGCGTCGGCTACAGAAGACATTGATGAAGACAGGACTCCTGTAAGTCGTGCCCGGCACATTTATTTTCCTTCTCTAACATCCCAGGTCCCCCAATCTCCTATATCAATACACCGAGCTTCCTTGCCCCCATTTCCCCATCAACACTTCCAAGGCTATCAAGCTTCTCCTCTACAACAAGCTCTTACTCCACCATCCTTTGCCCAAGAGATTCCAGAACCTTTCCCATCCGTCGAGAGTGGCGAGAGCGGAGGAAACTTCCATATAGGAGCCTCTGGACTTTCAGATTCGTCGCCCGGCTTTTCATCTCAGGACGTGCATATCTATTGTGCTGCGTGCCAGAGAGCGTCGAAGCTCCGGGAATCTTATGCATGTACAGAATGCATCTGCGGCCTATGTCGAGATTGTGTCAATATCTTGATGGAGGAGCAAGGAGCCCGAAGAAAATGCCCGCGCTGTGCTACTATTGGTGGCAGGTTTAAGCCCTTTCAGTTGGATATCCGATGAAGCATCTCGCCACTATTATACTCAGTTCCAAGGATTCAGCCCAGCAACCCGGTGTCTTCCCCTTCCGGACAAGCATACCATCGCCGATGACTGTCACTCACCAACAGCTATACAAACGGCATACTACTAAGACAGCCTATGGCTCCTACTATCCTACTATAGAACCCATTAAAGGCCAGGCCGTAGACTTGACACATGGCCAGATCACCAAGTGGACAATCCGAGGCACATTCTAGGCCAAAGGCCACGATCCACGATATGAGTTTACACCGAACCGAGTAACGCCCTGCTTGAGGAATGTGGGCGGCCCGCGTAAGCCAAGCCGTCACGATTTCTTATGACGTATAGGATTGGCGTACTTGGGAATGGGCATAGAGAGCGTTTGCATTTAGCGACGGCCATTCCGAATGACCCAATTTACTTCTATCCTCTTCATCAGGGGACGATATATGTTGCTGGCCGCTTTACATACCGGAATTTTCTTTGGTTATAAGGAGAGGATTGATTCCCCCGGCGTTCCACATGGGATATTTGGTTATTTATGATATTTATAGTCGATTTGAACCCCTTCTGTTTGAAGGGGATCGCTGTACGGATGGTTTGATCTGGGATACTCTTGTTTCAACGGCAGCAAGACTCGCACCGAAACGCAAGCTGCCCGGCTCTTTGTTTTATCTGGGAAAGAGACGATACGAATGATCAGGGGGGCGTTTTACGGTTGAGACCAACGCTACAAATAGCAATGTGATCATGAACATTACGTTATATCCGCTTAAATAGCCCAGTTATATATATATATATATATATATATGTACGAATGAAGAGTAGAGCTCCAAATTCATTTGTTATCATCTTGCTGGTTATTTATCCATGGTGGATATTCCCTTAGAACTAAACGCCCCGGTTCTTATGGCTGGATAGAACATTACATGTGATACTTAGTCCAGCAAAATACGTTATAGTACGTAATTGAAGCTAACTACCTGCTACCGGGTTGTCAGTAGTAGATCTTAATTATGTCAGCATTAAAAGACAAGAGAGTATTGATTTGACTGTAGTATGTTCATATATATAGACTAGTTTTGATGCTATATTATAATAAACGTTGACTCGCGAACGAAGGAAATCATATATGTTGCTTTACAGTTCTCCTTCCGTGTTACAGGACCAAGGGAAAAATAGTCAAATAACGCATTGGGCCATGTATGTATTCAATATACTCCGAATTCGCCCTCCCTTAATTTAATACGGATGTACGCATACCGTAACGCTGCTGTATTTATATTTACGTACCCAAACACATATAATAGTAACCGCCCTCTCGCCTCGCTGCAAGGGCTCCGTTACCGAAGCCCCCGTACCGTAACCAATATAAATATAAAAACAATCCCCCCCCCCTCACCGAGTCTTCCCCTTCGCCTCCTTCGCCTTCTCCAGCAGCAAATTGCGCATGGCGGCGCGCACATTGCGACTCCCGCCGAGCTTAGGGCCCTTGAGCACGTCTTCGTCGGCGGCGGCGCCGCCCTTGCCGGTGCCGCCGGGGCCGGACCCGGGGGGCGCGTTCGTCGGCTTCTTGCGCTTCTGCTGGCGCTGGGCCATGGCGTCCATGAATTCCCGCCGGAACTCCTCTGCGATGCGGTCGTCGGCTGCGCCGTCGTCTTCGGCGCCGCTGCCGGGTGCGGCGGGGGGCGGGGTGGGTGCTTCGTATACGTCGACTGTGGCGGGTGGGTGGGTGGGTTAGTGGGTTTGTTGTATGGGGGGAGAGAGAGTGTGGTTTGCGAATGGGTAGATACGTAAAGAATAAGAAGAACTTACGTCTGCTTTCCCGGAGAATCTCCTCGACCAGCTGGTCCCTCTTGATATCGTCGCTATTCCGCCTATTCCTCGACCTCCAGGGCTTGCCATCCCGTCCGAGCCGGACTTTCTTCGGCCGACCGCTCTGCTGCTGCTGCTCGTCGTCATCTTCAACATCTTCGCCGTGCAACTTCCGCCTAGCGCGCTCCGTCAGCGCTTCGTTGCGGCTGCGCGCCTCGTCGCCGAGGTCGATCTCCATAAGCTGGCCGTGCAGCGCTCTATTCTGCTGCTCGGGTCTGGGCACCGCTGTCACCGTCGCCGTCGCCGTCGCCGGTTGTTGCTGCCCCCGATTAGACGAGCGCGCGGCTGGGTGGGAAGAGAGCGCCACAGCGTTGTGTCGCCTGGCTAGTTCGGCTTCTATATACTCCTCCCTTGCTCCATCAGCAGCTGCGCAGCGGTCGCGGGGGTGCGCGCCATGGGGAGGATGAGACTCACATGTGCTTGTTTACTAGTTCTGCTGCCATACCTGTCTGCGGCGCGAATCGCTTCTTTACGCCTGCTGCGATATCTAGTGCTTTGTTTTCCTCCTCACGGATCATGAGACTGAGGTCGTCGAGACCGTCTCCGAAGCCATTTGCGGCGGCTGCTGTGTCGTTGGAGCCGTGGTTGCTTCCCGCGCCGAACTTGACGCCGCCTAGTCGAGCTTTTCGCGCATTGCGTAGACGTAAAACTTCGGCTACTGAGAGTCCCTTCTCTTCATCCTCTGCGCCCTCGCTTTGAATCGGGGTGGCGACTTCAGGTTTTCCGGGAGTATCTGATGCGGTCGGTGTTCCTTCTAGTCGTGGCGTCTCTGCGGATCTTGATCGTTCGTCATCGTCGTCGGCGGGTTCTGCTCGTTGTCTGTAGGTCTTCCTTTTTTTCCCACGGAAGATTACTTTAGGTACGGGTGTCGACTCCGAAGCCGTACTATCCATGATGATAGTCTACAGGGGATTGCCGGAGATGCGCTTGGTTCGATATTGGCTGTTTGTATGTTTTGGTGATACGAAGTAGGCTCAGGTACGTACACCGCATTGAAAGTCGAAGGTACATAAGCATCGGATATGAATTACCCGACAATCTGCCGCTTATCGCTTCTCCACTAGGTACTTCGTAATACCGTCTCGATAAAGGGTCTCCGTCGTCATTGTACATGGACCTGTCGAAGCTACCCTGCATACATGTATGAACTGTTATCTACCACTGTGCATACGATCTACTACACTGCAATTGAAGCTTCAAAATGAGACAAAGAGCAAGTGATATATTACTTTACATATAGCTAATATTGAGTCCGTAACTAATCAACATCTCAGGTCTACTTTCTCGCCCACGGCCGAGTTCAAGGTACGGACTCCACCTATCAGTAGATTAGAAGACTGACGTCACAGTGCGATAGGCGTGAGCTACCGTTATTTCGCGCAGAAGAAAGCAGCAGAACATAGTATTACTGGATGGTGTCGAAATACAGAACATGGGAAGGTGAGCAATTACTAGCCTTCTATTGCTATAATTATATATTAAGTTGAAATGTCAACTCACTCGTATCTTCAGGTCGAGGGCGAGGCCCAAGGACACGAGGATTCTATCGCATTATTCTTAAAGGAGCTCGATAAAGGCCCAAAGCATGCCCACGTTGTCAAGTTAGACAAGGAACCCCGAGATGTACAGGAAGGGGAGGCACATTTCGAGGTACGAAGATAGGGCGGAGAGCTAGTAATAAGTAATAAATTATATTCAAATGAGTCGTAAAACCGAATAGCCTACTGCTATTTATCTAGATATCGTAATATTCCAAGCATCGTCAACAAACTTCTAGAAGCCCCTACCTTTCCTCTTGGCCACAGGTTTCTTCACTGCGCCAGACGTAATAATCTTCTTAGCTTCCTTGTTGGCTGCGGGCTTTTTAGCTGCCCTTTCCTCTTCCAGTTTCTTCTGTTCTTCATATCTCTGCTTATCTTCTGCCATCTTCGCCTCGATCTCCATCTTGCGGTTGAACTCGGTCTCTGTAATTCGCTTTTCTCGGGCCGAGTATCCCTTCTCTTTTACCGAGTAGAAAACACCACCCAGCTCCGCAAGCCAATGGGGATCGACGGACGTCACTGTTGACATATACTCTTTTGAGGTGAGGATAAGCTCGTGGTAGATTACGTAGTCGGGAAGAAAGCCGAGACCGTATAAGGCGCTTGTGGGATGGAGCTGTACTGTAACTGATGTGCGTAGATTGATATACTCCCCTATACCCTTGACTTTGGCCGCCTGATGGTAGTAACCAGAGCAGATACACTTACGAATGATATCCCAATCAGTACCGCAGCTGATCATCTGCATCTTTTGCATCTTCATGATATCAAGAAGTTGGTCTCGGATTTCCTTTGCCCTACGCAGAGACTTTGGGTGCAGAAAGTGGCGTGTACACCAACCATCCGAATAGCCATTGGTCTTCCATTGTGAATACACGTGGAGGTAGGTTAGATGATCGGACTCGGGCACGAAGAATTTCTCGCGCGCTGCATCAGACTCTTCTTGTCGTTCTTTCGGGCGGTAGAAGACGTTAGGGACGGAGAGCATGGAGACGATGGTAACCATTTCCTCGCTACAGCCATACTCTTCAGACATGATGAGTAGCTTTGCCAGAGATGGGTCCATAGGAAAAGCATTCATCTTAGAACCGAGATCCGTCAGCTCTCCGAGGTTATCCAACGCACCCAAAGCCCAGAGGTCGAAAAGGGAGGTGGTGATGGTATCCTGCGGTGGCGGATCCATAAAATCAAAGTCCAGCAAATCCCGAACGCCCAATGATTTCAATAGCAGCACCGTATTGCTGAGGTTGGTCCTTTGAATTTCGGGTATCGTTTGAATATAAAGTTCGTCCTTGAACGCCTTCTCGGTATACAAGCGGAACGCTTTACCAGGTCCTGTTCGACCGGCGCGACCTGCACGTTGGCCTGCATTCGCTTGCGATATTGGTGTAATCTGGAGCGTGTCCATACCCATCCGAGGGTTGTACACCTTTAGCTTGGAATATCCCGCGTCCACCACGTACATAATACCGTCGACCGTCAAACTAGTTTCTGCGATATTAGTAGCCACAATACATTTCCGTACTCCAGGAGGTGCCCGGTCGAAAATCTTGGCTTGGAGATCTGCTGGCATCTGACTGTAAATCGGAAGGATGCTGAGCTCTGGTGGATCGTTAAGGGCGTCTAAGCGTTCTCGCACTAGTTCGCAGGTACACTCGATGTCTTCCTGTCCAGTCATGAACACTAAAATGTCACCGGCACCCATTGATACGTGAATCGCAAGCACTTGCTGAACCGCTTGATCGACGTAATCTTCGACCGGCGACCGGTGGAACATAATATCGACAGGAAAAGTTCGACCCGGAATGGTGAACTCAGGAGCACCACCGAAGAAATCCGAGAACCGTTTCGAATTCATGGTGGCGGACGTAACGATTAATTTGAGATCTCTTCGGCGTTGTAAGATCTTATTGAAAAGCCCCATTAACACATCCGTATTGAGCGCGCGCTCGTGAGCTTCGTCCATAATTACGCACGAGTAACGGTCCAGGTCTCTCTCGTTAAGAGATTCTCGTAGTAAAACACCGTCGGTCATATACTTGATGACGGTGTCTTTACTAGTACAGTCTTCGAATCGAATAGCATAGCCAACCGTACTACCCAACTTAACTTCCATCTCCTCGGCCACACGCTTCGCTACACTCATCGCCGCCACTCGTCGAGGTTGAGTGCACCCTATCATGCCTGATTTCCCGTACCCGTCTTCGTATAAAAACTGTGTAAGCTGTGTCGTTTTTCCTGAACCTGTCTCGCCAACTACTATAACAACTTGGTTGTCTCGAATCACCCTCAGTAAATCTTCCCGGACTGCAAAGGCGGGTAGGAACTCTCTCTGCTCCCTCAATGTTTTACTCTGACTGAATGCGCTTGCGCCCTCGTTCTTTTTCATGTGCTCGCTGAACTTGTTCTCCCCGGACTTCGGTGCGTCTTCTTCTGTTGCTATCGGTAAGGCGCTATCCCCCTCATCTTCTTTCACGCCCAAGACATTTCCAAGAGCAGTACCGGCCATGTTAGTAGCCTCTTTGGCATGACGCTGACGTTCCCTTTGCTGCCTCCTTTCCCTCACCACGCGGCTCCCTTTGCGACTGAATACAGCCATGTCGCTCTGATAATCCCTAACAGCCGGAACCGGCTCCAACTGCTTGGTAAACACAGTCCGTCCATCTAAAAATGGCGGTTTGAGGTCGTGAATTAGTAAGTGAACGCGAGTTCCCTCGTCATCGTCTTCGAAGTCATCCCCCAATGCACGTCGTTGGGCGACACCGGAAGTAAGCATACGATTAGTCTCCCAGGCATCGTTGTCCTTTTGCCTCTGCAGTTGGCGCGCATTCATATGTCGTCCGGATTTCTTCTCGACTAACTCAGCCTCCCGCTGTTGCTGCTCGACCCATGAAGTATCGTACGACCCAAACGGGTTATGGGAGTCATCGCCAAAGGTATGTCCACCAGTCTCGTCACCGGTATACCAGTCGCGATCAAGGGCATTCTGTTCATCTGCGCTTACTAGAGGTTCTGGACCGTCGAACTCTTGTTGTTTTGGGGTTGAGGCGTAGTTGGATTGCGCGCGAGGTGTGGAAGCGCGCGAGCTGGAGCCATGTTGGAAGCGGTTGTGTGGTCGAGATGAGTGGCTCCGATTTGGAAGAGATGTATAGCGGTCATCGGAACGCAGGGGATTAAAATCTATTTTACGCCTCTTGGGGCTAAAATTCCCGTCCTCCCTATCCATCCCGAGGGTATTTTCTATAGAATAAGTTGGTAGGCCGAGATAGTCTCGAGCGGTGTAAGTAAATCGTTTAATTGAGTCGCGAAAGGAAAACAAAAGGTAAAGTAAAGATGGGCTCGGCATTCTTGGCGCTAACCGCTAAGCTACGCTAAATTTCCTTATCGATCTTTTATCAGCAGCTGCCCCGCTAAAATTTTATCTCGAATTTTTGTAAAATCAAAAGTTCGCGGGGCTCTTTTTAGAATTCTTGCGCCGTATTGACCTATCTGTTAGGATTATTTTCTTAGGCGAATCGAGTCGCCAGCAATCAATCATGTCGTCTATGATTACGACGTCTACTTGGGTACGGCGTGGCTTTGCGGCGCCGTTCCCTGCCAAGTACGACTTCGACGAGGCCGAATTCGACAGGATAGCCAACCTAGCTAAGCTACAATTAGACGATGCGAAGGAGGATCTAGAGGAAGCGCAAGAAGAGGAAAATGGAGCAAGCGACGACAATGACGACGAAAAAAATGCGAACGGGTCAGATCACAAATCCCCAGCGCAAAATGAAGAGGCAGAGGCAGAGGAGTAGGTCTACTCTTGCATTATGCATAACTAGCTACTAATCCTGTCTAAAGCATTGACATAGACGACGCGGACCTTAAGGAGTACGACTTAGAGCACTATGACGATGACGAGGAGGAGGCTGAAGGCCAGCGAATGGACATGTTTGGAAACATCAAGTCTCTGGCATACTACGAATCCAATAAAGACGACCCCTACATCACAATACCCGACGGCCAAGACGAGGATGACGAAGATAGAGAAGAGCTACAAATTCTAGCCACAGACAACCTACTACTAGCCGCAAAGGTTGAAGATGAGCTTGCGCATCTCGAGGTCTACGTATACGAAGACGAAGCCGACAACCTCTACGTACACCACGACATCATGCTTCCTGCGATACCTCTCTGCGTGGAGTGGTTGGACATCCCCGTATCGAAAAACAGCGTGGATAAAGATTCCGTAGCCAACTTTGTCGCCATAGGGACGATGGATCCCGATATCGAAGTCTGGGATCTGGATACCATAGATTGCATGTACCCCAATGCGATTTTAGGCCAAGGGAGCAATCCGCAAGAAGAGGAAAAGAAGAAAAAGAAAAAGAAGAAATCGAAGAAGGCTAACGATGAGTACCACGTCGATGCAGTTTTGTCTCTTGCCGCCAACAGGAAACACCGAAATCTTTTGGCTTCTGCTTCGGCAGACAAAACTGTAAAGCTGTGGGATTTGTATACGACAAAGTGCGCCAAGTCCTACTCATATCACACAGACAAAGTTTGCTCGCTGGCATGGCATTCTGTCGAGTCTACGGTGCTGTTGAGTGGAAGCTACGACCGAACTATTGTTGCAGCCGACATGCGAGCCCCCGAGGCCAAGGCTCCGCGATGGGGCGTAGAGAGTGACGTCGAGAACGTTAGGTGGGATCCCCACGACCCCAACTTCTTCTTCGTCTCTACCGAGAACGGAATTGTACATTACCACGACATCCGGAACGCGCCGCCAAATCCTTCCGCTAGCAAGCCGGTGTGGACGTTGCATGCCCACGACGAGTCCTTGTCATCTTTCGACATCAACGCGCACATACCGGGATTCATGGCTACCGGCTCAACTGACAAGACTGTCAAGCTCTGGAACATCCAGCCAACAGGGCCTGCCATGGTCGTGGCCCGTAACCTAGACGTCGGCAGGGTATTTTCGACAAACTTTGCCCCCGACGCCGAGGTGGCTTTCCGTCTTGCCGTGGCAGGAAGCAAAGGAACAATGCACGTGTGGGACACCAGTACAAACGGAGCTGTACGACAGGCATTCGCACACAAGATCTCAAACAAGTCAGATGGGGAGATCAGGGAGAGGCTCATCGGTGTCGAAGAGGACGAGAGCTCTTCAGATAGCGAGGGAGGTGAGGACGAAAACGGCGAGCCCGAATCCATGGATGAGGATTAGATACGGCCCATCGAGTCTGGGCCGTGATGTTTCACGGGTAGATGCATTTTGGTACAACAATGAACAATGTAGCCAGGCTAATTCCGTCGTCGCACGACCCAAAGTTCGTTTCTGGTTTCAAGAGTTCGCATGGCCTAACAGGGCAGGGCGATTTATTTATATTTGAATCGGCCGACGGCTGAAACGAGAAGGAATGAGTGATAATCTGGTCTCGGCTAGATCTTGATAGCCACTTAGGTTACTCCATATGCTTCGCTTCCTGTTGTACCTACATACGCGACTACATATGTTAGGTAGTCATTGAAGACATTAAGCCGCATATTTATGTTGAGAGGTCATAAGATCCGTGTATCGATCACACGCAGTTCCAGTTACATCGGAAAGCTGGACCAGATGTTAATTGATCACCATTGTTTTGAGATCTTGTCAATCCATATCAACTCAAGTTAGGTAGTGTAAGTGTCCGTGCGTCATGATCAGAATCCGAACATCTGGATCCTTCATATCACCTTTATGGGATGGAAATAGGTCTACATAGAGATCAAGCTTGTAGATCATGAACCTACCTACATAGGCAATCAACTTGATATATAAAACTGTAACCTGAATAGCTTCAACCATGGAATTTTCGAAGGCGGTTAACACTCTAGTGGATGGCTTAGCATGTGACATGTGTGACTGCCCCTATTGCTTATTAAAGGTGAGGCGTGAAAAGCAATGCGAAACAGAGGAACAGTGTACATAGATACGGTAACGTTATGCAAGTAATGTTTGCTGTTAGATCAGAACACTAGAGCTCGGGCTCCCTCACCTTTCTACATAGGTACTATGCAGGGATAAATATTGAACCATTTCGCACGGGGATGCCGAAACGGCCGGCTCTGCTACCAACATCTTAATAAAAGAGGCGCTTGACTCGTCTAAGGCTGAGTCCGATTCAGCTTTTGCACCTGACGACCTCGCGCTTAGATGATGATGACGACGATATCGTCTCTTGGAACCGCTCTCTCGGCGACAAAATTAGATAAGATCAGAAGAGGTTTGGAGGAGAGGGCCTGAAGATGAAACACTCGAGCAGCCGTAGCCAATGGCGAATGAGAACAAGCATCCAATGAGGTTTTCTCCGCAATTAACGCCTTGCATGGCTTCGTCAGTTTCAAACTGCAGAAACCCCTGCTCGCACCCGATCAAGTTTGTTTCCTCTTTTTGTTCTCTTACCCTCCTGCCCTCTTCCTGAAGGGGGAAAGTCTTTTTTCGGACGCCCAGTTAAGCCACGCAATCAATTTGAAGAGTTTAAGGCAAGGCAAGGATGGTCAGGGGATGTCCACTCCCATCGATTTGCTCGGTGGATCAACGATGATTGATCGGATCCATGTCCACCACGGGAGGGGTGCAAGTCCTGTGACATGGGCACGGTAAATTACACGGTTAGACATTTTGTGAAATCGCATTGAACAATGAAAATGAGGCCCTTTGTGCGTACCTATGCGCGATTCTGTGTCTGACTTTGTGATATATGTGATCTAAGAGCATAGGCGTCGTCAAAAGAACGGCCACGTAACGGTGCAATCTTATGCTGCAGGAACGGGATGAGTTGTGCAGTAAAAAAGAAAGAATAGGATAATGTATGTCATTGTGTAGCATTGACGACGGCTCAAAGGATGATTCGAGGGTTCTTTGAACTCTCATGTTTGCCTTCATCCTACTGGTTGGTCTCGAACTGGTACCTGCATTTAGTGGCTGATAATCTTTGCTCGACGTGGCGTTGGGTGGTGGTAGTCGGGAGACATTGGCCGGGATGCCTAACTAATGAGAATCAAGAAGCGAACCGCTAAAGAGAACCTCTGGAGAATTCGAGACCTGATTCGCTAACGCGCCGCCTGCCGAGCTTTTTAGGGACCAGGGGCAACGATTGAGTCAGCCAATCTGCAGTCCCTGTCATGAGATTCGCCTAACTGGGGTTCCCGTCCTGCGCCAACTTGCAAGTGGAAGCACCAAAAATCATTAGAGGAAGTCTTTTAGTGACACTGTCGATCGATCAAGCCTTTCTTTAGCCTGGATGTGTTAGAGAGTCTACTAGGAAAATAGTGAGGGAGGATGCGCAAGTAAAGCAAACAAAGAAAGGGGGTATGATTTATGACTTGGAAGTGGACATAGAAATGGTTGAGGATCAAAGAAGTTGAAGATGCTTACTGGGAAAAGAAGTCAAGCTGGTGCGTGTAAGTGTACTATGTATATTAAGCCCGTGTGGGTTGTCAATGCCTTAACAAGCATAAGAAGAAAGAACATGCGAGGGTATTGGTAAATTAGTAACTAATACACCGATTACAAGTAAAGTTTATTAGAATTTGTATTGAAATACAAAGACTCTTTTAGTACCTGAAACCTCACTAATACTTTCGCCCTAAGTTCCCAGATTCCCTGCATGTGGAGACTTAAGATGGGATATAGGCCTGTCTAGGGCTTCTTTTCCCCGTGGCTTTCTTTTTTTTCTTTCTCTTCTCCCCCAGTCCGGACCACGAACCCCCCCTGGGTGCGCTTTATTAGTATTATTGTCGCGGTTCCTTTTCATCCCAAGTGCATGCACTCCTTCACTTTCCACTCATTCTAACCACTTGCCCGTCTTGTTGGCATTATTCTTCCTATTCATTCATTCCTCTTCTCTACGGATCCTCATCCAAGACTCGTCGCCGGTCACGAATTAACAAGTCTCTTGAGGCTTCGAAAATATTGTCCTTCCTTTTACACTTCCAAGGTATTACGACGACTTATTGTCTAAATCCTTGATCTTATTAGGAACCTGGTTGTTTCACTGTTTCGTTCTAGTACATACAAACCCTTTTTTGACCAACCCTTCCAAAAGGCTGTTGGACATCATTTGAAAACTACCTAACCTGCTCTCCTTTCAAATTGTCAGCCAGCTATTTCGGAGTTGGCGACAAATCTTGTGTGAATATACACAACCACCAAGACAAAGAGATCCACATGCTACCAATATAAGGGAACTCGTGAGAGTTTGATATCATACTTCGATAAACCTTGGACAGGTTCGACTACGATTGTTACACACATTTCACTTTTGTGTGGTGACTACAGCAAATTTAGGTGACCCTATTCGCCTCGGCTCTCGGCTTTCATATAGGGATTTAGGGATTCCGAAGAGGCGTCAACTAGGAACTCCGAGAATCTCTACGCCTCAGTGTCTTCCCCTGCGACTAGCGCATCTTGCACTTCTGCAAACTAAACGGCTAAGTGTTCTCCGCAACGGCAACCTTACATTCGCAACTACTCGATTTGGTCATCTTGGAGACTTAGACTCGTTGGTCATTCAACGTAACGATACACCTAGTCTCAGAGGGAAGACCCCGCGATCTCATAGGATCACATCAGGTTGTTTCGCCAGGACCCAACCACATTGTCCACCTGCCTAATTAGGGTAACATCGTCTCCTGCACAGGCGTCCCTTAAGCGCGTCCAGAAGTGGTATCCATCACCGGCCGGAAACAGGTCGTAGTGTACTTACTGTCACTATATCCTTTTCACTCAACTTAGGGTTGTCACATTACCCGACTTTTACCAATATCAACTCTAGGTTTTAGGTGTCGCACATACCCTATCGCCTCTCCGTGAAGAAAACTTGGCCTTCGAAGTGTATTGGCGCAGGCCGGAGAAAGTTTATAGGGTGCGATATTTACAGGTCCGATTACCAACTTACGTTAAGGGTATCTTTCAAGCTGGATTCCCGCGTCTAGGTGGCACGACATAAATCCAACGCTATACCTAGCCTCCTCCTGTGTTTCGACTCATATTCTGGAAGTCTTCCAGGGTAGAGCAACTAGTCCTTAATTCTTTTTCATCACCAAGAGGCTCTTGAAACCGTCAGCCAATATGTCTCTTGCGCGCGCCTTTACGACGAGGCGAAAGCAGTCCTCGCAGGATCTGGGAATATTGCCGCAACGGAGCAATACGACCGCTAGGAATAACTCTGCGGCAATTCGCAATAAGATATCTGGTCCTATGGCCCTTACCCACACAACTAATATGCTCGCATACAACGCACCGGATTTATATCCTCTATCAGAAACCTCACCAACTGGGTCTAGCAAATCCGACTCTTCTTCTTCTTCTGATAGTCCTCGTACTAGCTCATCATCACCGCCGACGAGCCCTGACATCCCAACAGCAGATCGATCTGTCACGCCAGAGCACAATCATCTTTCGTGTTATTTCGTCGCCCCAGGCCAGCCCAAGACGCCTTCGAATACCAACGAGGCGCCAAGTATCCCAAAGCGATCGCCATCACACACTAAGAAGGCATCAATCGATAACTTAGCAAACAAGTTTGCGCGCCTATCCAACCAATCCGGAAAGTCGGTTTCCACGAAAGCAAGCTTTTCGCTTTCTCGCTCGTCATCAACCTCGACGGCAGCTACTTCTGTCTCATACGGTTCTTTCTCGCGCAAACCATCTGTAATTTCAGCTACGGTGCCCCCTATGCCTCCCGTAGTCACATCACCACCTCCGGCTCGTCCGACTTTCCGCCGAGACTATTCCGAGGCCCAGCACCCTTTTGGTAAAGAACTAGCGCAGGTGTCAGAACTCGCAGAGGAGCTAGGTGTTAAGGACAAGATGCAAGTTATCGATGAGGAGGAACAGGAGCTTCTTGCCCGAGGCCTTTGCAGTTTCCGACCCGAGGATTACTTGGCCGAGGTTCAAGGACTCTTCGCGACCTTCTTCAAACCCGAACCGGCCGAGATAGCGCAGGCATGGATTTAAACCGGTACAATTTACGTTCCGCCCGAATCTCACTGCCGGGGCTTCGGGGGTAGCATTACATGCGGCATTTCAATGTATATATTTGGACAGTCGACTACGAGTCTGCGCACAAACCTACCTAACAAAAAGGTGTCGGCATATGGGGACCTAGCGATCAGATTTACGGATTAAGTTGTGGAGTTTGGGCTGATAATCGCGCGCTGGGCAAGGTTCGAAGAAGGGACCAAGGCGTTCGAGACAGGGTTGAAATTTGTGGTTTTAATACCCAGACACTTAGCACTAGACCTATACCCGGTCATTTCTTCTGTTATTCGTCAAGCTTGATGGGTGGAGGTGGAATATATTGTTTATGAAGCGCCTCTTACCAAGGCTCAAGCAGTGTTAAGAATTGATGTGGACATACGCCCGTTTATTAATGAATTACATTTACGTAGTGTCAAGCGATGAACTGAACATTACATGCGCATGAATCTATAATCATTTTATCCAAAAGATTTCTGGATACCACTAGTCATTCGTAAGTTATAAACCGACTTGATTTGTATTATATCGACCTAGGAAATAAATTGATCCTACTCGTTGGTGTTGAAAGGGCAAAGGCCACACGGTTAAAGCTATAATCAGAGTGTTGGAAATTTCGAAGTATTCTATATTAGTATAATAACGCGGCATGTTCCAGAGCAGTCTGTTGGTGGTTAGGCTAATCTACACTTGATGGCATTACGATGTCTACAGAGAGAATCGAATATCCTCATAACACTATCTATCACACGCATCATTCTTGGAGCTATCTCTGCACGGTATGTTACATATGGTAGAGGTGACCCTCTATGTATACAGTGGCATGATACATTCCCCGCACAATAGCTTTCTTGATACACAGTTGAGAGCAGCCCCCCATTGGATGTCGCCCTCTGGACTAGTTCACGATAAGACTCTCCTCCTTCTTGTGGTATACCTAGTATCGGCGTTTGTATCATTCAAGCAGGTCTCAGAGGAATACGGCCGAGATATGGAGATATGTATGCACACGTGCGAACATGACCCGCATGGCCAGAGACATAACGAGCAGCTGTGTCCGGTGATCCGGACTAGCAGTGTAGGTAGGTAAGAAAATTAGATAGATGTGTATAAGCGCTCACTAAGTCAGGTAAAGGATAACATGACGGATGGTCTAAGACATTAGACATCAGAACCTTATCTCAGCAGATCGGCCCCCAGCTGTCGGTCAAAAGACCCATGTTAGTAGTCTAGAGTCTTGGTCTATCTTAACCCAAGATACATAGTCATGAGTATTGTCGTCTTCGGCTCCGAAAATAGCTACATACATACATACATAGTAGGTAACAAGATACTGCTAAGACACGACGATCTTAACGTGGCTTGGTCTCTGCCGCTGGGTCTCTGCAGCTCATACAATTTAGGGATATAAAAACCATATGCCTTCCCAATTCCGAAAAAGAACGTCATGACACACAGCGGTTCGACCTTAATTGAATCGTTTCAAGATGCTATAACAATAGGTAGATTAAGTCACAACCATGGTCGCGACCGTGGCTTCGTCACGGGTAAAACAATTGCGGAAATGGCTCCGGTGGGAATCTATGCGGCTCATAGCATAGAATGGAGCAAGTTCATCCTCGGTTTCATATGTATCAAGGTATGTAGATATAAAAAGACGGGATGGGACCAAAGAATGTTGAAATCCCAAATTATACCACATGCAACTAAGCGATTTACCTACGTCATAGTCATTATGTCAAGTAAATCTTAAACTTGGACTTTATGTAATATACTACATTCACATGCGTATATTAACTTTGGTTACGTATATTTTTGTATGGATAGGAAAGATCTAACATGGAACATTTAACATGGCATCTCATTTCAAGTATAACAAGTATACGTACTCACATACCCACGGTGGAGAACGGCATTACTGCGTGCAATGCAACCACTAAAATTAGCTACGCTGGGATGCTAATTGATTGACCAACCCACTAAAATCAGCCCCTGAAGCCCCTAAAGCGACTGACGTACTTCCATCCTTTTTTTTCTCCTTCCCCTTCCTTTCTTGGCTCTCTCTACCTTGTCTTGCCTCGTCTCGCACAAACAAACACCTTTTTTTCGTCCCCTTTGGGAAATGCTCCCTTCGTCTAACAATACACGCATGACGAGCAAGTCCGAGCCCGAGCCCGAGCCCCGTCGCACTTGTTTTTTTTGTAGTTGTTGTAGTCGCACGACGCTTGCGTGCCGAGGTCCTCGCCAATCGATGCCCGAGCCGCCATCTTGAATATATCAATTCCCGCCCAATCATCGAATGCTACCCTCCTTGATCCACCCCTAAAAGCAAATGCTGCGCCTGCCCGCGGTCTTCCGCCTGCCCTCCAAGCTACGGCGGCGGGCCCGGCGCCGGAGGATGACTACCCTGGTCTCCCTGATCGTCATCCTAAGCCTGTTTCTGCTGCCCTTCTACGTCGTCTATAAGCCTCCGCGGGCCCTGATCCGGTACTTCGCGCGGCGATGGCCCGACGTGCTGTGGGAGGTTCCCACGGACCAGAAAGTTGTGGCCCTGACCATCGATGACGCCCCGTCGGAGCACACGCAGGAAATCCTCGCCGTGCTCAACGGCCACGAGGCCACGGCTACCTTCTTCGTTATCGGCGGCCAGGTGCCCGGCCGCGAGGAGACGTTGGCGGACATCGTGCGCAGCGGCAGCGAGCTAGGCAACCACGATATGCACGACGAGCCGTCGCGCGCGCTGTCGGACGAGGAGTTAACGACGCAGATCGAGACGGTGCGCGAGCGTATCCGGGCTGCGTACGCGACGGCTAATAGCGTCGAGAACCCCAAGATGCCGCCTCAGTACTTCCGGCCCGGATCGGGCTTCTTCAGCGACCGCATGCGCGCACTGGTCGACAAGCTCGGGTATCGCATCGTGCTTGGCAGCGTGTACCCGCACGATGCGCAGATAAGCTGGTCCTGGCTCAACGCGCGCCATATCCTGAGCATGGTACGCCCCGGTGCTGTGATCGTGTGCCATGATCGCCGTGGCTGGACGGCGCCTATGCTGCGGAAGGTGTTAAAGAAGCTGAAGAAAGACGGGTACCGCGTTGTTAGCCTAACGGAGATGCTCGAAATAACGGGGCAACGCTGAGCTTCTCGCAATGAAAACGATATTAACAGCACAACTAGTGAATCGTCGTTGGCGGCGAGTGTATACCATTATAGACGTGGGAGGAAAGGGCAAAGTCCTATGATTACTCTCCGTCTACATCCAACAGAGCTTGCCTCATCTCAAAATGGCACTCTGGCATTTCGCCGCGCTACTCGGCGCCATATCCTAAAATAGAATAGAAGCTACCTGAGGTTAGGGTAGACAAGACCGCCTGACATTTTCTATACATTAATGGTAGTGGTGTACGAGCCGACGTACAGGGCGTGTCTACATTACATACAAAACTACATACAGGAAGAAAGGCCGACCCAAGTGTGTATACTCATAGGAGGCGTCGTATATAAACATATACCTAATTATTATTCACGAACTAGACGCTCCACGAAGAGCTGGTGCCAGGATTAAGACTTATTGGTCTGGCTTAGAAGGAATAGGGTATTACTTGGAGCTTGTAGAATAGGGAATAGGGTATGAATAACGAAGAGTTAGGTTGTTATTATAGTGAGCTCTGAGGCTTGGAATAGATATATTACCTTTGCTGAAGTAGACTCGGACGTAGGCGTCTTAAGAGTATATTGTATCGTGAGTTGATCGCAACTGTATAAAACTCCTGTTGGCCCTAACTTATTCCATGTGTTCTACTCGAAGCCTACTTAATACTTAATAAGCCCGCGTAAGTCTACACTATTCTTGTGAAGTAGGTAGTCTTCCTAATATCAGGGGTCACCCCTTTTCAACGTCAGCCAAGTGTACCAGAGAATGTGCTTGCGTATTTCAACACAGGGTTGTTTATATATTTCTTGTTCTTCTAAAGCAACGTAGTTCATATTGTAGAGTTTGAAGCAGTAGATAATCTAACATTCCCTCTAACTTGGATAGTTACCTATCTCCAAGATCTTACGAAGCAACCTTAGCACCAACATCCCTCTTCGCCCTCTCCGCCTTCAACGCCTCAAACCCTCGCACCAAATCATCCCTCAGATCCTCAAACCCCTCCAGCCCAATGCTAAACCGCAAAAGCCTCTTATCGACCCCCGCGTCCGTCATAGCCCGCCACTCGATCAGCGACTCGACGCCGCCTAGGCTAGTCGCGTGGTGGAACAGCGCCAGCTTGCTCGGCAGCCGTCGCGCGTCGTCCGCGTCGCGTAGGTACACGGCGAACACGGGCCCAAACCCGCCCGGCATCTGCTCCTTCAGCCAGCCCTTTTCCCACTCTGCCTTTTGCAGACTGGCGTGCTTGACCTGCGCGACAAGCTCGCCCACCACGCTATTATTATCTTTTCTCGAGACTTCGCCGGCGAGCCACGAAACTAGTTTCTCCGCATCGACGCTCTGCTTGCGCACGCGCAGCTCTAGAGTTCGTAGACTGCGCACGCCGAGCCACCCTTCGAAACTACCCATCACGGACCCGAGCACCAGGCGCTCCTCGCGCAGCTGCGGGATCCAGGATGTCGCGTGCCGCGGGTGCACGGCCAACACGCCGCAGAGCATGTCGCTGTGTCCGCCGAAATACTTAGTCCCGCTATGCATAACGACATCGGCGCCCAGGGCAAACGGGTCCTGCAGCGGCGGCGGGGCGAGCGTAGCGTCGACGGATAAGAGACAGCCCCTCTCGTGGGCCTTGTCGGCGTAGTACCTCAGGTCCCTAGCCTCGCCGGTCGGGTTCAGCGGCGTCTCGACGTGCACCACGTCGCCCGGCTGCAGGTCTGCGAAGTCGGCGTCGAGGGAGACGGTTTGGAGGCCGCTGAGCTTGGACAGGACTTTGATGACGCCGTGGCAGCCGTGGTAGCCGTCTGTGATGGCGACGCGGCGCGGGTTGAGGAAGACTAGGAGTGCGTGGAAGGCGGAGAGCCCGGAGGAGTAGGTTAGTGCGGGGCCGTGGAGGATGGATGTTAGGACGGCTTCGAGGCGGGTGGTGTTGGGGGCGGTGTCGCGCGAGTAGACGTGCGAGTCGTAGGGGTTGTTGGGCTAGTTTGTCTGTTAGTTTTTCTTCTTCGATTACTATTCTCTTGAGGAACGGGTAAATAGGAGTAGTAAGTAATAAGAGAGCGTACGTTGATGTTAGTCCAAGGCTTAAGCTCGTCCGGGTCGTCGTTATACCGGAACGTAGTCGAGACGTGCATAGGCGGGGCGACGGACTGGTGCGAGTTGAGGAAGTCATCGGCGTGGATGGTTTGCGCCGACAGAGAGAGGTGTTGGAACCTAGAAGCCAGTGCTGTTGCCGTCACTGGTGCTTCTGTCTCATCTATACCAACGACGGGTTTCTCATGGGCAATACCCTCGACAAGCTCCGGCTTAACGGCATCTTGCACGGTTACCCCATGTGCGGTACTCTCCTCTGCCGCCATGAATTCTGTCTTCTTCCGATCACTCTAGTTTGGTATCCGTTTGTCTGATTTACTCAAAGAATATACTCTAACTAGCCTTGGTGTGAATACTTAAATATTTTAGATCCCTACCTTAGGTACCTAAGGTATTGGGAGGGTTTAAGAGGATAGTGTCGGTTTAGAAAATAGGTCGTAAAACAGGTTGTACAACTACCACCTGTCACCCGAGACGAAGATTATAAACATATTTCTCCACTTTGCAACTTATCGCCAACGTTACGCCATTGTTAGATGCAGCTAGTGCGGTCGGGTTCAAGGTCGTATGGGGCTTTTAATAGAGAATAATGGCGCCCGAAGTTGATTCTCGCTCCGTTATCGGGAGTCCGTGTCGTTTATTATAACTTTTACAACCTTTACAACCCGGAATTCCGAGATTCCTAAGCCTACCTAACTACATACCTAGGTACTAAAGTCACCGAAATGCCGAATAGGAGGCTCTAGCATAGGTACGCTACTTTAGTTTGTATAGGTATATTATTAAGTCTTCCATTCTCAACGCTTCCCCTCCCCTTCCGCATGCAATTATATATATGCTACGCCCTTCCTCTGACATGTACCTATTTCCAACCTCCTATACTATATCCTCGCCATTTTTTGTACGCCATCGCCCAACACAAGGCCACTCGTCGCGTACGAGTACAAACAAGGATTGGTGAAAGGCATCGAAACATCGTTACCCTAAGATGCGAGTGATCAGATCCTAAAGCGCCTTGCTAGTCCCAACCGCAAAATTTCAAATCGCCTCGCTGAAATTCCTATTATAGCCCTTTGGCAAGGGCTGCTCGACTCTATAAATCCGTCCTATATAGCGATTCAAGGAAATTCGTTACACGTAAATATGTAATACTAAGGAGTAGGTGTGTGTGTGTGTGTGGTGTGTGACATGTTTAGTGATTAGATCGCCTAGATACCGACGAGCCGGGGCTTGGCTTCCTCGACATGTCCACTACCTCTGCTGAGCTTCCAAGTAGATCCACCCCCTGCTCGGGTTCGACTCTGCTGATGTTATGTTGATGAACGTAACCGTAGCTTGTAGGTCTGTCTTCTGTGCCATCGGCCGAGGGTACGTGGCTGGAGGCTTCTGTTCCTGCCACCGACGACAACGAAAGGCGCTTTTGCGAATTAGTCCGATCAAATGGTAATCTTGCTGACATGCTCCCGGAGGGTCCCGTATTGTTAGACTGAGTCTGCACCATTGGCACCCCTAAGGGCGGCGCGATATCAATAAGTTGCTTATCCTCCAACGGGTTTACGGCGGAATTTCGTTTCGAGCTCTTCCTAGGTACCTCGGGCACTGATGGCACTTCCTCAACCTCTGATGGAGCCTTCACTGTTCTCTGCGACGGATGCCTGCTCGCCTTGGAGTGCATTCTACTAGGGATCTTAAAGCTTTCGCCTGCGTCGAGATCGGGTAAAAGGGGTGGCTCTTCGGCGACTCTGGGTATCTCGACGTCCATCTCGTCATCCGATCGAGGTTCGCCATCTGATTGAGGCTCACCGTCGTCATTAAGCAATTCACCTTGGGCGACATCTTCGACGACGCGCTTGGTCTTCTTCGACTTTGGCGTATCCTCCTCATCGTCGCTCTCTATTGGGCCGTTTCGAAGTACACCCATTGCTACGGGTATGCCCTCCGGTGGTTCCTCGGTAAGTTCGCCATTTCTGGCCCTCATCGCAGGGGGCATTCGGGCACTTCTGACTACCTCGAAGCCCTTGCCCTTCTCTTTAGTCTTACCACCGAAAAGGCGTTTAAGCCATCCGGTAGCAGTTGCGACTGGGCTGGTAGGGTCTGCTGGACCTGTGCCTAACTTGCGACCCGGTCCCTCCGAGTTTAATGCGGGGCCACGCACCCCGTAATAGAAGTCGACTTCACGGGTCGAATAGTCTGCTCTTGGCGCAAAAACCGGTATATATGGTGCAGGCGCCAGAGCTGGATTCATCTTCCCTATAGGGGGTGCATCGTCGTCTCCGCCTGTCGCTGCTCCCACAGGTTCACTTACCCGATGGTTTGATAGGTCAATGCTAGCTAGGGAGCTACGCGCCCGATGTGGTGACGAAGAGCCCACCTCATCGATAGTAGCTCGGCGAGCACGTGGGGGGCGGTAGTAGGGATCAGCCGTGGGCTGAGGACGAGTAGCTTGCCCTGGAGACGGCAGGAAGGAGAATGTACTAGCGTCTCCAGGGGTTGTCGTCGTAGGGGTGAAAGCACCGCCACTGCCAAGTGGAATTGAGTACGCATCTAGACTTCGGGCATCTAGAGCACTTGAGCTTCTCTGGTTGGGACTGGCGAGCATCCCAATGCTACCAGCTGATTCGCTTCTTACGCGTCCGTACCCGCGCTTCGTTACAGTTTCGGAGGTTAACATCGCCGTGGTACTAAGTTGACTTTGACGGGATGGACCGCCGCGTCGGTCTACGCGTCTCGATAGTTGGCGAGCACCGAAGATCTTGGAAAGCCCACCCCTTCTCTGCCCGTCAATGTTATCGCCCCCAGCACCTAATAGCCGTGCGATGACCTCGATGATCGTCTGTAGCGCATTTAGTAGGAAGCCAAAAATCAGTATACATGCGTGTATCAGTAAGATCACGTAACCGATCCAGCTCTTCTGACCCTCCGAAACTCCCAAACTTGGCGTAAACGCAACCATGAGTATCACAGATACAAAGCGAACTATCGAAAATCCTGTATGATAGGCATTCATCGAAGTAGGCGAATGGAAAGGTCGAAACGCGTGAAGTGTTAGTATTTGAATCACTTCGCACACGGCCAATATTACTACCTGTGCGGTACCCGATGGCTGCACGGCGCCAACGGCGATGCCTCGCAATAGTGTTAGTATAATTGGAATTATCGCGAAAGCAGCCGCTTGGTCAGAATATGTATTGTAAAGGGGCCCGTAAAGGAGCACGGTCGGGAGGTCGTCAAACAGGTGCGCCCTAGGCTTAGTACTTATAATGAGGTATATGAGCCATATCGAAAATCCAATGATTAAGACCAAAGTAAGAACGGCCAACCCTACAAGATAGCCCGTGGAACGATCCGCAACCACTAGTTGGAAAGCGGTCAGGGCGACAACGGGAAGCAAAAAATAGCTGAAGACGAGGCGAACGACATTGCCGATTGAGAAAGGTATATTCTTGGATCGAAGATCTTCCTCGGGGACGTGGTTGATATATCGTAATAGCCACCGTACAAAGAACCAGACTTGTAATAATAAGAGCACGGCCCCAATGATGACCAGTAACCATACCATCATACCGGCCCAAATATCTTCGACCTGAGCCATACCCTCTAATTGCGCAGTATTCTCAAGACCGTACGTGCCATTGGTCTTATAGAGTCCGTCGACCAGACTCTGCCAGGGTTCCGCCTTGGAGACGAAACTTTGGTTGAACATCAACGCAGCCCACGAGACCTGACTCGTTACTGGCTGATAGAACCCGGGGTATTCCAGGGAAAGACTACCGGTAAGAAGGATGTACTGGATGTACTGGAGACAGTCACCGAACCCAGGAGTAACCAGACGTAAAAGATCGGGATCTCTACCGTAATTCGATGTCCAATGGAAGACATCACTCGTGCCCCATGGACTGAAGATTCCTGCGAAGGCTGTCGCAAACCCCACCAAGATCAGTACAAATAGCGGGACAAACTTCAGAGACCAAGCGATTCCACCGAGGTCCGGCGTGAGAATGGTAGAAACACATCCAATCGTAGTCTTCCCAGAATCGCCATACCAAATAATGAAAGTGGGAGCCAATGACGTAAATGCATAGGTTGAAGATAAGTCATTCGTGAGGTTAAACGAGGGGAAGTCGTAGGGCGGTGAGTCTCTATACAGATTTGAATGTTAGTTCGTTATAATAGCCACTTTTCAAACATCCTCTGCCGTCTTTTCTTGATTTCTGCGGGAGCAACCTACTGGGATATCTGATCCTTGAACACGGGGCCGAGCGGACACGACCCATTCAAGATATTATCGCAGAAGTTCACGGCGTTATGATAAGGCTCGTACGTCGAGACGTCAACTTTGTAGTATAAAGTTGTAACTTTGCGTTGATTGGCCGGCAAATTCGGTTCGGGCTCGTTTTGTATCTTCCCATTCAGTACTTCACTCGGGTCATCCCAAACCGACGAATTCCATGGTGGCAGCGGGTCGGTGCCAACGCGCCCCGTCACATTCCCCCAAACTGTTACGATCAGGTTGTGGTTTGGATTCTCGGTGTCGAATTTAGCGTCGACATACAGGGGAACCCATTGAAGCTGAACTTGCTCTGGCAGCTGGTTGGAGTAGATGTAGTTGCTATCTAGACAGTTGTCGAACGCGACTTTTACAGCGGATGCGGTACGAATCCAGGTGCATGCTACCAAGGAACCCACTGCGATCCTGGAGAGAGACGGGATTCCGAAATTTCGGGTTGTTGGGGCAGAAGTTGGCGAAGACGATAATGGCAAGCATCTATCTTGCTCGGATTCGTAGGTGCCTATCATCTTGACGGGCGAAGCATCATCTGCCGCATATACATCTTGATTCTCGTCAAACTCGGCGTCGTCGTTGGTTTCGACGTCGGCGAATCTTGAATAGGACGTAGGCGTACTAAGAAGCCTTAAAGTATGATTTCGCATCGTTCGTCGTCGGGAGAGTGGTACCAAGATAGTGTCGCCCAAGGCTTAACGCTGAAGGATCTAGGACCACTAGGGCCACATCGTTGCTGGGAAGAGCAGTCTCGCTGGACTTTGCAATTGATTAGACGCGCGCGGCGGGAAAATGGTTCAAATGCACTTGAAATATATGGGAATACTATTTTGTAAAGATAAAATATAGATACGAGAAAATGATTATGAAAAAACGAGGGAGGATTTAGGAAAGGAGATCGGATATCGGGTTACTTTGGGGCGTTGTTGTGGCAGTGCGTCGTTCGGTTTGTAAGTGAATTATGATGTTACCAAATCTAGCCTACCCAGCCTACCCAGCCTACCACCTCTGCAGTAGTCTAATCCGTACAGCCAAAGTTGTATCGTCCGTGCCTGTCTAACGACCCAAAAAACAAAAATCCCTGTTTCCCTAGCTTGCTTGCTTGCTTACTGCTGCGAACTATGATTTGCTGGAGGATGTTTCTGGTTATGCTAGTTGATAAAATAAAATAGTTCGCGATAGAAATACTTCTAAAAAAAACGAGAGTGGTGAAGAGTCAAAACGGGAGTAACGACAGTGATAGCGATGTGTACACTATTATCAAAATTACTATTATGTTAGGAACTGATTAACGTGAATTGGGACGGGAAGCAAAAACAAAGAGAAAAAAATAGTTAAGGCAGAGAGATACTCTAGAGACCCTTGAAGCCGTCTTAAAGCCAACGCATTTTCATACATTAGCGCCTAAGACTAAAAGAGTACGTATCTCGTACATCGTACAAGGCTACCTACCTACCTATCATTACCCAACTTGTGAAAGCTGAGACTGAGAGTTCTCCTATGCTTCAGTAGTTTTTCAACTATAATTGTAAGCAACAGCTATGTCGTAAAATATTTCCAAGACTGCCAGGCAGCATGATGGCGATGGTTCTAGCCATATAATCGAATGATGGGATATGTATGCTATACCTGACGATTTTCATGTTCCCGGCCAATTAAAAGTGACGACGATAATGATGAAGTCATTATGATCGAACCAGTACTACCTTATTAGATATCAACTAGAATAATACAAAGGTAGGTATAACCGACGATGGTATCCCAATGATATGGAGAGCTCGTCTACTAGTTGAACCTTATTTTCCGTTCTTTCCTACTATAGAATTAGTTGTGGCTACTGCTACTAGAATATGTCTGCCTGCGACGGAGCTACCCACATGTGGTACAATCGTGTAAAGAACATTCTATCTATGTAGCTCAGGTACATTACCTATATATAAGGTAAGGTACGTGATGAATACTACCCGTACGCGTATACGGATATGTAGGTACCTACGCTTCTCTTATATAAGTACCTAACCTAAGACATAAGACATCAATGGTACCTTAGGTAGGTACATATACCTAGGCATGTGCATACCTTGTAGAGAAGCCGTGATACCGAAATGCAGAAGGCGGCACTTAATATGTAATAGTTTCGTCCTACAAGCCCGAAAGCCTTCTCTCGAATTGAGATGGGATTTTAGAGTATTTTGTCCAACTCTAAGCAATTATAAACTCGATCTAGACCCCAGTATTTTCATTCATCTTCACTCTAAAATGTCGGGTACTACGCGATAGCATCAATTAGGTAACGAGTTCTACCAATAATAAAATGAAAAGTATGACGATATCCTCAGCAACTTTCCCGTTCGCCCGTTTCTGACCCAGTTTGTCCTTTTCCACCCGTCCCGAGCTTCTACGCATCCGAAAGGTCCAATCTCCCGCAACACGAGCGTGCCGTCTCCGTTTCTATTGCGGACGGCCAGTTTCGAAACATTCATTGTGCCGATTTATAAAATCTATTTCTAGCATCGACTCCGCCTAGTATGTAGTTAGCGAGATGTGGTGCGCTCGTATCAACCACCTCCGTCATGGAGCTAAGCATCTAGTTTAGATGCGCTGCCATCAGCCGTCGAAGAATAATACTCCGAAAGAAACTAAAGGGGAGCCTCTCGTTGGGTCCAAGCTAATACGGGTCTGACGGTGGGGGGCGCCATACATACACTGCAGTACAGGAGTGGCTGAACGGTGCCATCCAGTCGGCGACTCAGTCGGTGGCCCGTTTTGGTTCCTTGGCTTTTATGCCATGTGGTGAGATGGACCCTAGAGGCGATGTTCGCATTCGTTCGCATTGCTAACTACCTGTACTCTTGCGTCTAATGCCTTGCATATCCGAAAGACGTCGAGAAGGTAGATTCATTGATTCATTCATTGATTCATTTATTTCACTACAATATCACTCCGGCTGTTTTAACCGTTTGTTTTTTTGTGACGGAGGAGCCGCCGATCTTAAGCGCTGCCCGCTAGCTATATAATCCGAACCGCGTCATTGCATGCCAGTCTTTATGCAAATACGAGCCGGAAGGTTGCCTGAGGCTTTAGAAAATCGAGATCGACGACTGGGGTCTTAACGTGGCACAGCGTTAGCACCGTGGAAAAAGCAGGTTCTTCCCACTGTATCCCGACTTCATTTCGTCGTAACCGATTACTATGTACTACGGGCTTCTTCATCACGATAGGGCCGTCAAAGCACCACCACGGTAGGGATAAATGCATACTAAAGCAATTATCAACCATCTGTACAGCGTTGCCTGCCCGAATCAGAAATTCGGACATCTTCCTCGTCCTTCTATGTGAATACTATTCCCTAGGAGACATTCATGTCATCTACCTCGGGTAAGAGAAAGAGAAAGGTTGACTCCGAATCTGAACCCGTCAACTCGCAAGTTTGGCCCTCACCACATTCCACGCCTACCTATTTCAGTATACCAATAGGGTTTGGTATAGCGTTGAAGCCTCATTGATATCTTACGTGGTGGTAGAGATACAGCAACTTAATCCCGAGTTCAAACTCCTACAGTATCCTATTATTGGGCACACCTCCTTACTGTCCAGTTGGGTCTTGTCGGCCAATCACTAGGGTTGACTTCGTATTCGCTTGCTAGAAGAGCCATGCATAGCCGCCAGACTTCTCCTCGGGGAGTGAGAAGTGTTATGTAAGTTATTGTAATGTGTAGGCTATACGGGTTAGGCTAGTATAGAAGGGGTTGGACATACCTAAATAGATTGTCAAGCTCAAGCCTATACTGGAGGCCTATTATTATAGTTTTAGCAAGGTTTCGATATTATTGCTACTACTATTATTGCTATACAAAAATGCATTCCTGCACTTGATGGCTTGAGACTACCTACCTACCTCTTAACAACACCTAGTAATTTCAGTTGCGCAGATTTCTCCTTCATAAGTCAGGCACCTAGGCTACCTTTGAGTATGACCCGTAAACTAACCACATTTCTGCTAAATATTCTAGTGAATCACCACCGCGGAGAAACAGCTTCTAATCGGATCTTAACCCTCTACCTCCCCCTCTCCCCCCTTATCGGCCTTCTATAGAAAACGATCCCTCGTGATACCACCAAACAGAAGCATACACGACGACAACAGACGACTAGCAATCCACAATTTGTCCTTATCCCACCCCTAACCACGCTCCCTTCCGTACTGGACCCTACAGCTCTCCACTCTTAAGACGACGTGCCCGACCGTCCCCCCCGCCCTCCTGCGTATCGCCCTAGTAGCCTAAACCTCAGACATACATACATACGTTCAATAAGAGCTATGGCAGCCGGGTATATGTCAACCCGTGCAAGGCTAGACGTAGTCGTACTAGCGATTATCAACCGTTCGGGAAGAGGAAGAAATTACAATACAATAGTCACGAGACCTTCTAGTTACGTTGGTTTCGCTAGGTTGTCCTATGTTGAGAGCAGAGTAACCTTTGATGACTGCGGTAGCCTATCTGTAGCTGTATAAAGTTGAGGAAGTCCGCAATCCTCCTTTCTAGCTAATTTAACAACTACAGGTATTCCTCCTATGATCGGCGGAAGGTTATGTAAACGTGGAGATTTATATGAACGAGTATTTATAGAGTCTTGTAATCGACGTTAACCAAAATATACTTGGAGGACAAGTGATAGGGGCAACATCTAGACAGTATAGTACACGTGTGAGCTTCAGGAGCACCGTTCTCAGATATACGACTCCTGCTTAGCGGTCCTTTTAAGTTTGTTAGTAACCTCAAGATTAGAATTGCTAAGGACCCGAACTAGCTATAGCTAAGGACATGAATTGACAGTATTTTCTCCCATGAAGCAATTATGCAAGCCCATGATTCGTAATTAGAAACCACCATTATGTCACCATTACCCCACAGTCCTCAAGACTTCAAGTTTCTCTAGAGGTAACTTACATCTACTTATAGCTAAAGCAACCACCTAAGCAAACTAGATCTCCTGCTTGATATGTCGTGTACCAACGACAGTACACCGCTTTACTCGGTCTACGAACTAGCTGTAGCTCCTTTACCTTTTAGAAAAGAGCAAATGTTGATTTCAGGAACGGACTCTTCGCCATTGACTGCGCCCATCTGTTTAAGGAAGACTGACTTGAGTCGCTTCTCAACGTCGCGGCCTTCTTCTAGACTCATCTCAAGACCATTTTCTACAATCCCCCTTGTGACGTATCTATCGTACGTCGCATACTTTTTGACGAAGATGCGCAAGGTTTCAGCATCCCACACCTCGATAATAGCTAGAGAATGAGTCTGGTCATACGAGGGGATATTTTCTAGGGGTAAGAGAGAGCTCTTTAATCTTCGAATTTTCTTTGGCTTTATACCCATCTCTTCTGCAGCCATTGACTTTTGACGGCGTAAGAGGTATGCCCGAGGGTCACCACTGGCTAAAGTTGTATTGATAGGCTCGTTTACCTTAGAGGAATTGACTTCGTCTTGGGGGTGATGCTTGCGTAACTGAACACATGGTCGATCCTGGGCCACCTCTGGGTTGACATGGACCTGATGCTGCTTCTTCTCGGGGACGTAAGGTGCCTTCTGCAGTGAAATCTTATGGCCGAAATCATCATTTGTCGGTATTGGTACATATTGAAACCAATTCTCCCCCTGATGTTCCTGACCTTGCGAACCTTGATGATTGATAGCGTTACTATCCTCTTGTAATTGACGTTTGCGGTTCCCTCCAGCACCTTGGAAGGATATCGTTGTCTGTTTCATACCATCTGCAATGAACTCGTCTCTTGGATTTGTTAATCGATCTTTTCTTGTTACAGACGCCTCGATAGATGAGGGTGGTGACCAGGGGAGGGTATTGCGGCGTCGTCGCGGCTTCAGAGCGGTAGGCATTGTAATACTACCCATGGCATCCTGTGAAGTCATCCCAGACGGGCTTGATATTGGGCTACGGTATGGGCCGCCTGGTACTCTAGACCGTAATTGACGTAAATGACCTTGTGATTCCAAGTGTTGCTGGCTTGGGGGGACATCGAGGTCTCGTGGTGCTGCTCCTACGTGACGAAGGATGGGAGGATCTGGAGTCATTGGAGGTTCGAATGCTGGCAGTGGCGAGCTACTCTGTTCGGTTGGTTCATTACTGATCCGACTAGGAATAGGCGCATTCATCTTTGCGATAATCCACGGGTTTACATCTTGCGGAGCCGAGTTTTTGACTGCATCTAGTTTCTCTTGGAGAGTGGGTGGTGCCTGGGTAGGGAGGGGAAGCTTGTTCCGGAGATCATTGTGGCTATACTCATTGAAATCTGTAGACATGTCAACTCTGCATCGAGTAAATCCGGTATTTGATAGTTTGTCTTGGAGACTTTGAGTGTGTGTAGATCCCGCTTGAGTAGGTGATCTTTGAATATTGTTCGGCGTAAGTCCGACAGATACAGGGTTATGCGTATGCTTCCCTGTATCTTTCAACAGAGCAGGTGGTGATTGGGAGACAATAAGGGCCTGTTGGCCTTGTAGTATCGGTTGTACTATGGTTTGGCTTGGTGTCTGTACCGGCGGACTAAGGCATTCAACCCCGTTGGAGATGGACTTAACTTTGGTCCCTGTGGGTAGTGGCTTTCGAGCTCCTGAGTCGTCCCTGTTGTTTGAAATGGAACTCCTTTTGGCTGATAACTGTGAATGTATATTAATGGACGGGGATGTTTTGTACACCTCCTTACACAAGTCCTTGAATCCGCCAAGTACTATTTTCTCGTCTGAGAATACTACATCATCTTTAGACGCTTCTATATTAGCATCGTAACTTCCAGGGGGACATTTTATATTTAACCGAATGAAGTAGTTTTTGGGTTTTGCGCTTGAAGTATCTTGTTGGGAAGGGACACTGATATGCTCAACGTAGATGTCCAATAATTTCTTCATGGTACCCCTTTTTGCCGTAACAGGGCGACTATCGACAGAGAAATAGCGTTGCTTCGAAATTTTGGGAGGGTCTGAATCCGGCTTTAGAATGAAGGCTTCAAACACATATTTACAATATGGTAGAGTTTGCTGATGCTTGACAGAAGGGTCGTTGCTGCTAGTTAGATCACTCATCTCAAATGTCTTCTCGAAGCAATAAGTCGTAATATCTGGACCAAACAGCTGGACAGCCGCTTCTTTCACACTGCAGCGCAATTTTGGCGAGTAGTTCCAATTCTGTTTAGGGAGCTGTAAGACCCTAAGTGAATATCTTAGTTGCGGTCTTGCCATGGCATAAGAACATAGCAGTTCGCGGATCTTGCCTATCGCTTTTGCCGAGTCCTTGATAGCCACCTGTTTTCGAACCGGCAGTTGATGAAAAAGCCCGGATATACTTACAGTAGTTCCAACCGGTGCTGAGGTTGGGTGTTGCTTCAGTATGCCTCCCGTATCTGATCGAATGTGAAGGATAGCTGCCACAGGCTCCGAAGCGATTTTAGTAGTGACAGTGACTTCGGCTAAGGAATTTGCGCTGGCTAGTGCTTCTCCACGAAAGCCGAGTGTTTTTCCAAAATGAGTCCTCAGTTCCTCAAAGCTCCTGAGTTTGCTCGTATGACCACGTCTTCCAAGCGCATCGTAGTCGTCTGGGTGGATACCGATTCCATTGTCCCGAACTTCGATCTTTTTCACCGTGTCTGCAGAGATGATGACCTCAATCGATGTAGCCTTAGCATCGATTGAATTGTCTAGGAGCTCTTTCACTAAAGTGACTGGAGTTGTAATAGCTAAGGGTGAACATATGAGTCGAGTGGTAGATTCAGGTAAACGAGAGATTGTAGACATAATGAAGATCAAACCACATTAGTTGAAAATATGAAATAGTTGGACCATACTCTATCAATGCTAGATATAAATGAACGAGGTCTATTCTTCATCTCTACTTGAGAGTATAAAGGAGAGTATAAATAGTGGTTTCAACTTGAAAAAAAGAGTGGAAAACTCTATTGAGCCAAGTAGAAATTAAAGCATCCCGACTTTTATCGTACCTTCCGGTCGAACTTGTTAGCCGAACCTGCTAGCCCCTAAAATCAGTAAGTGAAGTTACGACTTAGATTTTGTGTAACTCCTTCTATTTTGCTGCTGCAATATGTAATCGAAATACTCCGGTCCTAAAAATACAGTACCAACCACAGGTACATCAGGTGACGAAGGCAGACACCTAGGTGCCGCAAAGGGTTAAGCCAAGGTAGGGTATACCCCTGTTCGGAAGTGCGTCATGCTCTGCCCCTCTGAATGGTGTTCGTACAGCCCACCTTGTGTACCTCGAACACTACTACCTACCGATGTAGGTACATACATGAGGAGCTTCCCATTCTCACACCATTCATTCATCCATTCCTCCTCCTCACATTTCCAATTCCCTACGTTAGGTTACTCAATTGCTTTTATATCAACAGACCACCTATGCCCTGACATCCGTCTACCACATTAAACAGGAACCAACTAAGCTCTATCGAGAGAGAGAAAATATGGCGCACTCCCTCAAAGGCCCCTCCCCGCAGGAACACGATGGCAGCAGCCTGCGCATCGGCATCGTGCACGCGCGCTGGAACACCACCATCATCGAGCCCCTGGTCAAGGGCACCAAGGAGAAGCTCCTGAGCTGCGGCGTCAAAGAGTCCAATATCGTCGTGCAGTCGGTGCCGGGGTCGTGGGAGCTGCCCATCGCCGTCCAGCGGTTAGGAATCCCCTCTTCTCCGAATATACTTGCTCACCTAGAAGCCCTTGACTCTACCTGCCAGCTGTCTCGCGCCATTGCAATTGCTATATGATTTCATACCAACGCAACACCAAACTAACACCTCCCTCACAGCATGTACGCCGCCTCTCAAATCCAGCAATCCAGCAGCGGCAGCGCCTCAGCCGGTGACCTGCTCGGCGGCTCGACGACAGACCTAGCCTCGACAGCAGTAACGGCAACCGCGACGCAGCCCTTTGACGCCATCATCGCCATCGGCGTGCTGATCAAAGGCGAGACCATGCACTTCGAGTACATCGCCGACTCGGTATCGCACGGCCTGATGCGCGTCGGCTTGGACCTGGGCATCCCCGTCATCTTCGGTGTCCTAACCGTCCTCGACGACGCCCAGGCCCAGGCCCGCGCAGGCCTTACTTCCGGCGGCCACAACCATGGCGAGGACTGGGGCCTCGCTGCTGTCGAGCTCGGCGTCAAGCGCAGCGCTTGGGCTAGGGGTAAGCTGGAGTAGAAAATATCCAAAAAAAAAAGTAGCATAAAAAAAGGACAACGGACTGGTAGGGAGCAGTCGGACGAAAGTGCATAAGCCTCGATCATCGTCGATGGGATGGGACAATATCATAAGACAATCATGGGCCAATTGCGATAGACTTTAGCAAACTACCTTGGGTTACAGGATAAATTCCAAAAAGATGTCTCTAAATGAATGCTATAACGCTGGCTACCAACATGAATGAATCAAATGATAAAACAATACCCCTGCCTTCCACCCTCTTCTCGCCACTCCAAACATCACTTCCGACTAGGTATATCCATAATTAAAGATTATCGTCGAGGTAGATGGCTGGGTGGATAAAGTATTAAATTACCGATATATAGGGTGTTCTATCATGAATCGTCCCACCACGAACTTCAGACATACCCCTAATTCATCCCACAGATCTCTTATTCTAAATGGCAGGTCTTTCTCTTGTCCAAGAAAAGCCAAATCTTCCTTACGAAGCCATATACGCCTCGTCCTACCTCGCAGGACATGTTTTCACTTGTGATCTTGAAATATACAAGGATCCAACCCGTCCTCTGTTCCAGAGGGCCTCCCCAGTAGACGGAAAAAATAACGGAAGGAAGCGTTGTTATGAGTTCGACCGATAAGTATGGTTGTGCGCTCTTCGCACGTGCCCCTATTTTATGTAGCCCAGGATCATGATATAAACCATTGGAATGCATATACGTCCTTTAACTGATGAGTGCTCCGATATCGTCCCCGAAACTCTTCTTGGATCGCCAGACGCTCCTCTTCTTCTCCCGCTTCGCTTTCATGGCTTCCCATCCTTGTTCGTCGTCATCGTCCTCCTCCTTATTCACGGGAGTCACTTTCGCTTCGGCTTGAAGCTTTGAGTGAATGACTGGCATAGCGCCGGTCATGGTAGCGGTTCTGCTGTGATCGACCATTGCAACGCTGGAGACTGGTCGGTAGCGTCCAGGTAACCCAATATTACTGCGCTCTGAGGGTGCAATTGAAGGACTATAACCCGTGCCCTGGGCGCGTATCGAGGGCGCATAGCCGGCTTGAGGTGGTTGAAGCCACGATGCTGAGCTTGGCTGAACCATACTCATCGTCCGCATTTGCGCATCGCCCCTTGGTAGATCCAAGTTCATTCCCTGACCCATGTGATTCACCATTAGATCGCCCATAAATGAATTGCGCGGTCCCTCTACCAAAGATCCCATAGACTGTGTTGGCATATGTCCCTGGGGTCGAAACGGCGCTTGCATCTGTTCTTGTCCCGGACCACGGGTAGCCATCATTTGCATAAATTGCATTTGCATTTGCATAAACTGGTGCATCTGCTGCGTCATCTGGATCTGTGCTTGGTCGCCGGGAGTCATCATCGGGTTAGGCATCTGCGGCATGCCCATTGGGTACATCGTCTGAGGAGGAATGCCGCTCATAGGGTCAAAACCCCCATTCATCGGCATCCCGTTCGTCTGTACGTTCGGGGGAAGGGGAAAGGAATTCCTCCCGCCATCAACTACCGGACTACCACGTCGTAACGCCCTCGATCGCTCTTCGTTGGCAATCACACCAACTAGACCTCCAGTAGGTACCCCTCTATTCGAAGCAGCAGATCCTCCGCCCAAGGCAAATGATTCTCTTGTGGGCTGGTTAATTAAACCCGCGCCAAGGTACGGATCCTGGGGCAATTTCCTAGCAAACGGTGGTAGATTGCCACCACTACCAACTCCCTGGCCGTTATTGTCGCCCACAGTAGATCCTGGTCCGCTGACATAGGAAGGCTGTACGACGGAGGCCCGCAAGTTAGGGTTAGACGACATGTTGTTGAGACGCGTTGGCGGCCTGTTCTTATTAGGGAACCCGTGCGCTGCCAGAATCGCTAAAGGCACCTCTTCGTCGGAATCGGAGCCATCCGAAGGGGGGATCGGGGAAACACCTTTGCCAGATCCGCCGTTTAATACCAAGTTCGGCGTGCTCATTGACATCGAGATGCTAGGGTGAGAGGCGTGAGTGTTAGTAGACGATTCGCCTGTTACCTTCATCATTTGTTGTCGATAAACAGTCATATGGGCCTCTTGCTTTCGTCTCTGCTTGGCCAGCTGCTTTGTTTTCTCTCGATCATCCTCGTCGTCATCGTAATTATCCTCTTCCTCCTTATCTGATTCCTCCTCGTCGGCTATCCCCATAATCTCATCTCGAGCTTTATCTTGGCGGTACTTCTCAAATTCCGCAGGAGTCATAACCTTATTCTGTGGCATGGTGTGGGAGCGAGGACCCGTTCTTGATGCCAACTTAGGGCGGCTAGCGGGTCTATCGAAGAGATTATCGTCATCGGTCTTCTTATCGAACCTGGCCGACCTAGAGTAAGACTCGGTGGCGCCAGACCTAAAGCTTAAAGTGCTATCTTCGTCTCTCCTGTACCGGCCAGAATTTCCGCTAGGGACTGGTGCTTCGCTAGCTAAATATTGAGTAGCGGCAAGAGAATCCCTTAACAGTATTGTGTCTTCATCATCGTCGTCTGATCGTCGGCGCTCTCTAGGGCTGTCATCATGCTTTGGAACGGGTGGTGGCCGCGTTTCATGAATAGTAGGGGACGTCAATGTTCGCCCAGACGTTAACAATCCATCAGTCGAATGATGGCTATTCCTCGAATGATGGCTATTCCACGAATGCTGTGGAGGCTCAACAGGAACGGAGTTGTCAAGATGAAGCGGCGTAAGCTGGCTGGCTCGATTTGCCATTAAGCCACGTTCTTTTATAGTAGCGACACTAGCACGCTTGTCAAACTTGAGCATGCTGCTAAGATCACCACCTAGATCTAACATGAAGTCCCTGTCGTCAACCCTGGGAGGCGTCGCTGTGCTGGCCGTCGAAGCAGTCTCAGCCCGTGAACGACCACGGGGCGTACCTGGACTATACTCGTCAGGCATCGCGGGGACGGCAGGGACGGCGTCCTCTGCCAGTATAGTTGGCAAGGTGGTACTCTTTCTGTTACCGAAAGAGAAAGTTCTGCCTGCCTGTTTAAGAAAGCCGCCGTGATTCTTGGGTGCCAGCGGAGCAGGAACGTCTGCCATGGACACGGACTTTCTATTAGCACCGCGCCAGTCGTCCTGTGGTGGTAAATCGGTTGATGAAGGAGCCGTAGAGGCGTTGCTGTGACGAGAAGAATTATCGGAGGCCGTCTTAGTAGTGTTGGAACTTCCGCTACCACTAGGGAGGATCAGGATCAGTAAAATTGCACAACGCTAGGGCCAGCCTAGTAATATAAGTGTACGAAGGTCTGAGACAATAGCGTGCTAAAATCCGAGTAATTCGTAACAGCAGTCCACTAGGTATACGTATTGCTCGGACCAACTCTTGGCGATGAGGCCGAGGCAAAAATAGAAATAGAAAAAGAAAAAGAAAAAAAAAGACGTTGGAAATATTACCTAACTTGGACGTACCGATTATTTTTCAAGCCCGCAAACAGATTATCCTCTGCAGCAACGTTTGGTCTAGGTGTAGATCCCGTCATCCGGGCCAACCTGACACCACCATCAAAGGATTTTCCACTGCTTACTTCAGCCCGTTCCAGGACTCGGAAAGAATGCTCTGCTACCGGTCCATTTGGATCTTCTGCCGCGGTAGATTTCCGCCGAAAGGTGACCGGAAATCTAGGCATATAGATTGACTCGCCTCAAATTCTTCGGGTTACCAAAAAACCCATAAACGAACAAAGATCTAATAGTTGCAAGTATCGGCTAGCTGGTGCGAGATCTCTGTTGGTGGTGTTACGTTACGATAAAGGGGATTATTACAATAGCGAATCGAGTTGTCGTCTCGACGATTAAGTCGTAGTTTACGCCCTGTTAAATGTCTGAATATGACGCGAACCGGCGGAAAACTGCATGACGATAAAAAAAGTTCAAGTCAGCTGTGTTCTTGTGCAGACGTAACCGACCGATATCTTGGGTCTTGGGTCTTGCTGCAATGGAACAATCGGGAAACACTAGTCTTAAAGCCCGAAACGTGTAATGGGTGGACACTTGTGGAAAGCCGGGAAGAATGGGATGACAAGCTGAAGCTTATGGCAAAAAATGATGGTTTGTTGCTCCGCCTTATGCCAATTTCAAAACTTCAAGCAGTCTCCGTGGCGAGATTGAAATATCGAACCACCCGTACAAATTCTCCCACTTTCGGACAAATATCTTCTGTATTTGATTTTTCTTTGCTCTCTCATCTATTTCGAACTAAGCAAACAGGTAGTTTGTCACTTACACGGAGGTGACAATTAAAGCAGGGCAGAGAAGCACGGCTTGCTAGTAACGGTCGCTTGCCGGGTCGAGAGCACAGGTATTAACCTTATTTATTAATAGAGTACGTAAAGCTGCAGGAGATGCGATTCGATGGAGAGAAATGCGGATCGAAGAACCGGTCGAATTCGAACAGAAATAATAAAACCGAACTGAACGATGGGACGGACGACAACGTGAAGAGGCACGTTTATTGATCACAGTCGGAATATACTTTTGGCCTTCCGAACCACGATATGATGCTGATGTGAAGCGATCGAGCGAAGAAAGGAAAAAAAAAAAAAAGATCGAGGGGCACCGTGTTATCGAGAATACTCAACGAGAGAAATCCTACAATCAAGCGATATTAATTCCCTAACTCGTAAGCTAATGCTAAGTAGCACGACAGCTTCGGAGCAGGCGGGAGTATTCAAAAAGTGGCTGGGACGAGCGAACGAACGGTGGAGAGATGAAAGTATAGAGACGTAAGGAGGAAGAAGAAAAAAAAGGTAGAAAGGCGTGTGTGAGTGTGTTCAATGACGAGGATGTATGGTGTCAGGCGAGGCAGCGAGACGTTATTTTTTCCTTCGTTTTCGCCAATGCTTAGTTACATGTTTCTTCCAATCACGGGCAAAAACTTGGACCTGAAAATGACCTTGGCTTACTTACGTAGGTACCTAAAGGTGTTGTGTAATCCTAATCCGTACGTGATTTACATGTACCTACCTAACCTATTCAATTGTACGGGATTGGATGGTACATGCTAGACTCTATTTTTACGAGGTCAAGTGGTATGGAACTCTCATTCAATGTTGGTTGGCGAGTTCCAGTTCTATTGTGACTTTTAGCGTAGTACCTACCTCTTTTGGCGCATATCCATTACAAAGTAGTACCTAGCTACCTCGTCTACATGTGCTAAGGTACCTGGCGAGTGAGCAACTGGGGGTAACGGGTGGAGCGGCTCGTTCGCGCTAGCTTCATCCGATCATGCATTGCACGATCAATTCGTCCGCTTCAGGGAACAGGCCCTGCATTTGGCCGACGTTCTAGGCTCGCTGCCCACTAACTACGCGGTAACTTGCACTCCAGGAAGATAATGGGCAAGGGGGAAAATGCTCCTCCACAAAACATAAGAAAAGACTTGGCTTCCATTTTTCCATTTATCTTTAACGTCCATGTAAGCTAGGGTTTAGAAATGGGATGTCACTTGTCTCAAATCAAGTATACAACCTCCGGAAATATTTACATGTAAGTGCAGGTGCTTCATGTTGATGAACAGACTAAGGTTGTGTAGATGCGCATGTACTTTATATATCTTACTTACATAAAGTATCTCCTATAGCTGGTGGTAGTAAACCGGGAGGCAAATTGGAAAGAAAGTGCACTACATAGAATCGGCGAGCCAGCAGGCCGGTCTAAAGAGTGGGGCGGGAAACAGGCGCTGAGGTTTGTACATGTACGGATTATGTATTGATGTGGTTGGTATTGCATGATTGCATGTGAGGTCAAGTTCACCTGCCAACCTCCTCTAGCTCTGCATAGTCTTTGAGGATTTGCGCGCGTAGGTGCTACGAGGAATGTATCTGCATTCAATGGTTGGTTCTCTCTTTTCCTTCTTTCGAATTTGCTAGTTAGTCCAACAAGAATGAAGATTTGTAACTAGTTAACACCAAAGTAGTTCTTAAGCCGTCGAGGTTTCTATAAAAAGAGAGGGGATTCGGCCAGCAAGCAGGAAAAAAGGTCGTATTTCAATGATCGCAAAACTCGCTTGAATGTATTAATATGATGATTTAAGGGAGTTGTTAAATACGAACCAATTGTAAGCCGATCCACTAACACGAGGTTTGGCGTCAATAGGAAGTGATTAGCAAAGGCCGACCGAGCTGAATGGGAAATCAGCGCATCTTGGAACAATACGTGATAAAGAGCTGCCATACGTTTTCTATATTTGTTCTATTATTATCAACTACTATATTACTCTTCAACTAAGTAAACCAAGTAAAAGACCCGTACAGAGGGTCGGACCTTTTGCCATTTATAAAGTTCGCAAAGTTCGCAAACAGATTACTACCTACATCATAGGGTTTCCGGACGATGTTGGTTTTGAGTATCATAATCCGCTATGCCAATACATAGGTAGTTATGTATTCGGTTACCATTCTAACTTTTTAGCCTCCCGGGATTACCCATCCAATTGGTAACGCCGCTCAAGGTACGACCGTACGAGCCATTCGCTCATCGTACTATTATAATATACGGAGACGGCGTCTTCTCTAAAGCCGCGCTGGCTTCGAGAATGAAGTAGTGTATCACTACATATAACTAGTACATATCAACATGTAATAGCCTCTAATTGATCCGCCTAGTGCTACTTAGGCGCAAATACACGCACTATATACCTTGTAATAGAGGCTGATATGTAAGTAAATACATCTATGTAAGTACGGTAGTTAATATGTAAAAGTTTCTTTCTTACCTCGGTCCCATGCAAAAGGCGTCTGAATATTAAAACATTCCGAATATTCTCTCTTTTTGACCTCTTACGCACGCCGCATCTTGCAGCCACACGCAAAGTCTTGCTACTGACCAGAGCAACCCGAATATCAGATCAGCTTTTTATTTTTTATTTTTTATTTTTTTTAATAACCTACCAACATTTCCCAATTTCGTCCGAACTTGCGGTAAGCCTCTGTTGCCCGCATATCCCATTGAGCTTGGCCGCGCGTAACGAAGTTTGTAGAGTACCCGTCGCACAGGGTATTAACTTATGGTTAGCCTTCTTTTGTCTGGGATCATCGCTCGGACCTTGCGCAGTGCTATTAAGCTGCTAGCATCTCGAACCCCACGTGTTAAGACTAGTCTTTATGTACAAGTAGTTACATAGTATATAATCAAGTATAATACACAGACCATCTCTCTATGTGAGGTATATGGGGAACCATGTATAAGTACGTACCTGTGGATATAAATCCGCATCCAACAGCTTCGGCTGTTCAAGAGAATTCCCTTGTCATACATACTTGTCCTGTCCGGAACTACCTTTGTACGATTTTAGATCAGGGCCGTGTCTTGTCCCGGACTACAATGTCAAGTCCGCCGTGCCCGGAATAAGGCTGCCCAGATTTTTCAACAACTATTTACGGGCTATACGGATTACCTACTCCATAACCATCCACCGCCAGCCATGTTCTGCATCGTAGATCTTGACTTATTTACATAAACGAGATGTTACCTTGGAAAGAACAAACCCCGAATTTTTTTAAAACTGATGTATCTTATGCCAGCTCAGGGGTTTACTTAGCTAGCCTTGCAATCTGCTCCATATTCCATCCAATAATCCTTAGCGTCGTCAGTGGGCTATGCTTTCAGGGGTTCAGAGCTCGAAAACTTCAAAGCGACCGGTAGCTCGGAGATCACTGATCAGATCTGACGCGGGAGACCGGATACTACCACCCCCTATATCATACATATATGCTTACCTCCTAACATACATACATTTATTACAAAAATCCATAGGCTACTAATGTACCTGTTAGCTCCTCTATAATAGCTCCCAATTGTGAATACTCCAGGCGAAGCATTCTTCCCGCTCGGACCAGCGAGAACTCGAGCCCTGCTATGGGGGAGGCTCTAGTTTTAACGCTAGGCGGACCCCAGCTTAAAAAAGACAAATACGACAATAATAGCAGAGGCTTATCAAAACCTGGATCGGGCATAAACAACAATTCCCGGGGACGGATTTTAAATATGCAACAACAAGCCTGCCCAGACAGCCAGAGGCGCAAGTGCATAACCAGGCTTGAAAATTGAGCAATCGGAAAAATTATTGACTAGCCCCTATCTCGCCGCCGACGTATGTGGTATTCGTCATCAAGCCTCTCGATCCTCCTTCGCGCACAGTACCTAATTGATCTTCGGGAGGATCTACAAAAGCGAAATCAAACCTACAATTTAGTATATGCGCTACTACAGCAGACAAAGCCTTGCGAGCTCCCTCTACACGCCACTGACGTCAATTACGTGCTTTGTTCTCGAGCTCTGTATGTACGTATCTAGAAGTTAGCAAGAGAACAAAATTATCGGCCGAAGAAATTTGTATTTCACGAAAGGCTATCCGTAGTTCGAATATGATTAAGGCCTAATCTAATCATTGCTAACTCATCCACACGAACGCGTCTACCGACCAGTTCCACACTAATACATTGTTCAGCCGAAGATACAATGGCGGCCTACGTGCAGGTAGTAGCTGTCGACTCTCGAAAAGAGGTTGTTGTTGCCGCACTGGAACTGGAACGACAAGAATCAGCATAACCTCTCACCAAGGGGGAGACAGGAGATAAGACAGAAAGTGAAGAAGTTTTACATACCGGGCATACCCAGCTGCCTTGCCCGTGTGCGGCATTAATATGGAGCGCCACCTCCCTCAAGTTGGCGAAGCCAACCAGGCCACAGCCTGGCCACCCACACGCGGTAACGTGCGACGCCAAATGGCGCTGCCAGAGCGGCGTGCCGGAGCCGCAGACCGGGCAGCTCCATGGCATCTAAATACGGTTATTCAAATTAGTTTTCCGCTTTTTATATACAATCTGTGGCTATAATGTACTTACCACAGGGGCTGGAATGGCCCTCAGCTGGGCTAAGTTGCCTAGCGGTGGTGCCACGACGGCAGCGGGAGCGGGGACGGCGACGGCGACAACGGGTACGGGGGCGGGGGCGGCGACAGCGGGTACGGGGGCCGGAACTACTAGAGCCACCGGAGCAGGGCCAGCAGGGCCAGCAGCTCCACCGGCCGGTACAGCCACAGGAGCCACGGGGGCCGCGGGAGCAGCGGGAGCAGCAACATCCGCAGCAGCAGCTGCTGCTGATACTGCGTAGGCGTGGCCATTAGGGTCACCGTCACCAGCAAGATCGTCACCATCAAGATCGTCACCATCAAGACCGTCGTCACTTTCGAGATCTTCGTCGCTCTCAAGTGAGCTGTCGCTATCGGTATCTTCGTCATGAACCGGAGGGGCGCCGGTTAACCCTTGGATATCAGTGACAACTCCCCTATCCACCATAGGTCGAGCTACGGCTCCCTAGATAGCTATAATAAGCCTCAAGTTTTTATAATTTAAGCAGTGAATCAATAACATCAAGACTTACTGCGGATCTGAGAGTTGCTTGGGCTCGGTAGTACTCTCGAAAATGCTCGGGGATTTGGTTGACATCGTACTAAAGAGCAGCAGTTAGATTTCAGATATCTTAAACTAAGGTATAAATATTGCAACTCGAATTAGAAGAGACTTAAAACTTACCTCGAAAAGTACTTCCTCTCCGTTCGGACCTATGAGATAGGTTTGACCATCCACCTCCTTGGTGTGGATGTCCATGCTGCCGGATGACTAAAAGATACAGTATTAGTTTACGCGTCACGCATAATCAATAAATAAAGGGACCATACTGATGCCATCCTGTCTGAGAAAGGTCTAGCGAGGAGAGTCGAGTGGTTGAGAATGACGAGGGGGTGTAAGAAGGAAGATGAAGTAAACAATGGGATGTCTTGGGCCCAAGGCAACGAGGTAGGTAATGGATGAGTGATAGATGTATGGACAATAACGAAGCCTGTGCGTATTGAAAGACTGCAGGTAAGTGAAGTGCAGAAATGACAGTAGTAGGCGAGTATGAGGCTCTTGAATTCTGCGTGGGAAAGAAGGAAGAAAACCCTAAGCCTAAACCTTTAGTCAATGCGGAATTTTCAAGGAAGAGGGGTGGGTGAATTAGCCAGGTTAGAAATTTTGGAAGGCAGTACCTAAAAGCGGAACTCTTTAGAATCTTTCGTGGAACCTGCTTATGTCGGCAGCGAGGGGCCCATGTGTTAAGTTTTGGGCAGCTGGGCGACAGGGCGAGGGGCGAGGGGCGGCGACAAGGACGACGATGGGGCCACGGGGAGTCGCCAGGACAGCAGCTGTGACGATGCTCCAGGCTGGTACCATAAGATAACAGAATGTCGAATGTTAGCCGTGCCGGGTTTTCATAGAATCCTGCAAAGAACGTTGTGGTCATCAAAAGGTATAGTCGTATAAGTGACGGCGTATACTAGTTGCTGTTGTTGTTGCGTAAGAGGGCCTCGAGACCTAGAGTAATTCCCTCTCAGAAACCCCAACTTGTACGGCCCAGGCTTTGTACAAGAGAGGTGAATCGTACAAGCTTGAACATATCTAAAGCTAGGCTATAGGGGAAGGTAGACGATAGACGTTAGAGTCTCGTTAGTCTTGCTTTATGTCCCTTATAGACGGCGTCACGTTTGTTGGTACTTTTAAGTTATTACTTGTGTACGAAATTCACCGAGCCAAGCGTTCTTATTATTACTTGTACTTATTCGAGTATACGCTCAGTTATTAAAGGGTAAAATATGTAACGTTGAGGTCTGTAAGTGAATCAACTTGGATATAATCCTTTGAGCCTCGAAATTTAAGACCGATTTTATTCATAGAGTCGAGTGAGGAGAGAATTTTGGTATTACGCAATTTAGTCTAATGTATATATAATCCATGGTTGAAATAAGAATAAGAGCAAGTAGCTATATATCCTACTATGAGAGAATTTAACGTGCCATAGGTTCAAAGCGTGATAAAACACTGCTTTAGATTTCCGGTTAGGAGTCCTGTCTATTATCCTTGTGCATGTTGTGTTGTGTGGCGTTCCGAGTTATGTGCCCATAGCCATTTGCCCATAAGCAATAGTGGATACTTCTGCATGGCTTTCTGGTCGAATTCGCTATGGAAGTCTTGCGTATTGACGAAGCCAAAGTGTTGGATAAGCGAAACGCGTTGATACCTTATAGGGTTTAGGTAATTAGCCATCATCTTTCAAAGCTGTGGTTGCTTGATGATAAAGTCAAGAAATAGGATAAAGAAACTTACCGTAGTAACTCATGGACCTTGGTAGCGACCCCTAGGCCTTCCTTACCCCCTAGACGAAGGCATTCGGGAAGAGACAAGGCATCTTCAAGGGCTTGAGTGGCACCGTTTGCTGATGTCGGCAAAAAGCTGTGGGCACTGTCGCCTAGCTGAATGACGTGGCCACCAGCAGAGGTCCAGCAGGGTTGAGGATTGCGGAAACATAGTGACCATCGAACAATGCTCTGATCTGGTGCGTGATGGATAGCCTCTCGGAGCAAAGGGCTCCAAGTCTCTGGCTCCGGTAAAAGCGACAATAAAGTTGCGTTCGACACAGTAGACGACCAAGAATCTGTCGTGTTCGCATCATCTTCCTTAAATATACTCAATATTTATTAGCAACTTTACCTCCAAATGATATGATAGAAAGCAAACGCTGTATACTTACTTCAGTTGTGATACCAATGATCACATCAGTTTTAGTAAAGGCAAGAATGCAATGGATCTTGTTAGCTACCAGAGCAAGCAAGGTGGGTCTTTGTAGGTTTCGAATAAATTCCCCTGCTACTGGTGCGTCCTTAGGGCGATCTGTCGAATACATTCCACGATAAACTACGAAGCCGGTTTTGAAGGCTCTAAGCGGATGTCCTAGTGTAAGAGCACTATGATAGGTTAGAAATGTTGTTTAAGAAGAAGCTGAGATAGAGTTGTGGTATGAGTTATAAGAGCTTAGAATATGTTTGAATATCTAAACAAACAGTAAGAAAAACAATCAAAATAAGCGGAACATGACTCTTAGACTTTACTTACTGAGATTTGGTCCCGAGACCGTCTGAAGCTATAACAATATCGGCTGTGTATCTTCGGCCATCGAGGGCAACAGCGGTAGCTTTTCTCTTGCTGATATCTTCTTCATACTTCTCAATAGTAACCCCATAGGTGATAGGAATACCGAGCCTCTTGCACTGACTGAGGAGCATTTCGGTGTATGGTGATCTTGATGGTAGGAATAGTGTTCTCGCGGCAGGATGAACATCTAGCATTTATATATATGCTCGTGCCATAAGGCGCATAGGCATTTTAAGGTCTCAATTAATAATATATGATACCATACCCAGATACGAAGATCGTCACTGCACATAGCTTACGAATGTCGACCATCACGGAGTGTATGGTTTAATACACTGAGAAATAGAGGCAGATGTCATGGGTATTGTTCGCGCTGGCATCGGCCTCCGACTAGGCACCGTCGCCGTTCCCACTTATTGGACAATTCTCGGAATGGGCTAGGACTATACGCCGGATTACAGACATTATATGACCGATCTTAGTTATTGATGTGGGCACCTATATGGATGAACTATAAATTGAAGGGCCCATGCTCTTATTGTCGGTAAGCTACATCTCAGGTACCCGTTTCGAGGGTGGTAATGGACAAGAAAGAACAATAGGTCTAGACGAACAGGTAACAAAGAAGTGTGAAAATGATAGCTGATAGGATGCATTACGCACGTCAGAGGCAGGACCTATTAGCTCGAAATTGGCATGCTATTATAGGAGTGACATAAAATGTAACGCAACTTACATGAGTAGAGGTTGCTATCGTACCTACATACCTAGGTAGCTAATATCGTATAGGTACCTAACTAAGATAGACTAGGAGGCTCTACTCAACATCGTGACGAATCCATACCTTTCACTACTAGTTTCTTTTATGTGAACTAGGTACCTATGATCTGTAATCACGTTGTATGCTCTCTTAGGGTTTAGATGAATGAACCATACAGCTACGTAGGTACTTTGTAGAGCTCGATCTACTTATACAGTATAGCATAGAGACTTATATTATACTGGCGTTTTTAATATTAATAGTAGTTGACACCGTATATTTGACGGCCCATAAACAATAAGTAACTAGGTAGCTGCTATAGTATAGAATAAGTAACGTGAATATAGGCTAGATCATCGAGAAGGGCAACGATAGGTATAGTTAGTGCTGATAACTACGATGACTTGGGGTAGACTTATAGGTCCTAGGAATAGTTAAAAAATATGCAACAGATTAAAAACCTACCAATACCAATGTATAAGGCTTGCCTGTTCGTAAGTATACCTCCTATGCATGTACGCCTTATACTGTATCTTGAAATTATGGCTTACTATTAGAGTATAGTTATGACTAATTAGTAAACCTGAACTAGACATTGAAGCGGGATATATGATTTATAATCGGCGCTAACATCGACAGAAGTCTGCGCTGGGTGCCTTTCCGTAGCTGCCCGGAGAGTTCCAAGACCCGGTAGCCCGCTCCGGAAGTTAGTCAGCGGAACCGGGCCGTTGGTTTGAGACCGACATGTAGAAAGTCCCACTATATATCCTTGTTACAGAGATATACTTGATATATAGTTGGAACTTTATACGAATCTAATTGGAGCTTATTATTCCTTTATCGGGGTTGTACCCCGCGACGCAATCTTTTTATCTGGAGCGCGTTTGCTTAACTTAAGCCTCCCGCAGAGAGAAATTCGGCAACACGAAAGAGCTAGGTCCGTACGCTTCTTTTACAATATAACTTACCTCTCAGTTCTAGTTCATCGTTCCCTGGTATAATATACAAGGCACACCAAAACTGTCTAATCATGGCCGAAGCGCGAATCTCGGTGCTTTGCAGCGGGAATGGGTCAAATCTACAGGCGCTCATTGATTCATGCGCCTCTGATGCGCCTGATAGCATACGAGGCAAGATCGTGAAGGTGACGGTGAATAGGAAAGGAGCATATGCGGTGACGCGGGCTGAGAAAGCCGGCATTCCCACGGATTACTTCAATCTGGTCAAGGACGGATATCACAAACTCGGCGAAAAAGACGCAGCTGTGCTCAAGGAAGCAAGGCTAAAATATGACGCCGATTTGGCAGAGAGAATACTGCAGGACAAGCCAGATCTTATTGTTCTGGCAGGCTGGATGCACGTCTTGACGACGAATTTCTTACGTCCGATCAGCGCTGCTGGTGTGCCGATTATCAATCTCCATCCCGCTTTACCAGGTGTGCATTGAAGTTCACTCCAAATAGGCTTTGGCTTGTTCTAACAATGGCTTTTATAGGAAAATATGACGGCGCGGGTGCAATTGATAGGGCATACGACGATTTCAAGGCCGGAAAGCTCGAGGACAATACAACTGGCATAATGATTCATTATGTTATTGCTGAAGTCGACCGCGGCGAACCTATTTTGGTTCAGAAGATCAAGATTGAAGAGGGAGAGAGTCTGCAAGATCTCGAGCAGAAGATCCACGGATATGAACACGAATTAATCGTGAAAGCAACTGCACTGCTAGCGGAAAAAATATCTACTGCAAAGGTATCCAAGACATAGGTGAGGATGGCTTCGGCGTAACTCTTATGAAAAAATAAGAAACCAACCATACAGAGATTCCGGCACTAGGAGACGATGGTGTTGGCCGATGAGACCAGAATGAAAACGCAGGACCTGTCGATATAGAAGCTGCTTTGGCTCAGTCGAGTGAGTTTATTGAAATTCCTGTCGCTCGAAACTGCGAAATCGGTGTTATGTACATGCATGCAGGTAAGGCTCCGGGATGTGAGTGAAGTTATCCGGGATGCGAGTAAAGTCACACTAGACGAGACCGGCTAAGATACGGTACTACGAATTGTTTCAATCGTAAAACATATTGGAGCTCTTTTGCGGAGGGTGGAACCCTTTTCAACCAACCAGATAACTGAGAGGTATTCGGAGATAAACAAGAAATAAGGAGACCGCCGATCAGAGTCGTTTTTTTTACAATATGTACAGTCAGATAAGGGTTCACAATAGGGGACTGCGACGTTAAAGTCATCTCAAAGCCTGCAAAGCCTGCAAAGCCTGCAAAGCCTGCAGGACCAGAGGCCTCAGCACTTGCAGCACTTGCAGCACCAAGGCGAATGATGCAAATGCTAGACGGAGTGTCTTGGCAAATTATGCTATTTACGGTAAGATCTGCTCTACTACCATGCTAGTACCGTACAGTGTACGTCACTGTGACCTACTGTAACCTACTGTACGTAGCTCTTAGCCTCAAAGTTAACGACTTCCGCGCGTTTACAGGGTTCTTAGATGCTACGCAGTGCTGCAACTCTCAAACAGGCCCCAGAATAACGAGCGAAATAAATTCCAATAACTACATACCTAACATGTAGGTAGGTACATGTGAAAGTTTGGTAGGATTCAATTCGTGTTCCCGTAAGCGATTCTTAAATATGTAACTTGGTAGCGTACCTAATGTTTCCTAGTTTTGAAGTTCCTCTTTTCTTCTTTTCTTCTTTTTATTTGTTGCTGTTGTTTACTTTGGTCAATTTTTATTTTCAGATGCTAAATGCCAATTTAACAACCAGTCAATCAATATAACCTAGATCCATCCGACTTTGCCAAGTCGAGAAAGTCTAAATCGAGGCAGCGCCGTTCAATTCTACATTAACCCACAACCCACACGGTAGCTGGTGACCTACCAACATTTCTATTTTATTCTTCCTTTACTCATACACCAAATACTCTTGTGAGGTCGCCAAACATGTCTTCTTTGGATAACTCGACCTCGGACCCGCGTCGAGGATTTGTTCCCTTTAACCGGGGTTCTTTTCTACTTTCGCAGGATGAGAATCCCCCGCCAATATCACCACGCGGCCCCAGCACGCTTACCCACCTGCTCAAGAGTCGTTCCCATAGCTCATTACACAACTATGGCAGCACCTGGCGAGGTGCCGTGCCCAACGTTTTAGATGATGAGGAATCCGGCCTGTTACCGTCCATGTTCTCTCGTCCGCCATCCGAACCCGATGATGAAGCCCACCGCCGGTCACAAAGCGAAGAGCGTCGACTCAACCAATTGCTCCATAGTTCAACTATGCGCTCTATGCTGCTTATCGGCAAGTCGAACCCTCGATATAACTGGGCGCGCTACTGGAAGACGGAAGAACAGCTGAGTGCTATGAGGAAGCCTTTGCGCGAATATTACGAGCGCACCAATTACTTGGTACAGCAGTATCTCTACATTGACCGTTTGCTCGACAGTAGTTTACCCCATGATCTACTTAACGAATATAACAATTTACCCCATCATTCGTTCAAGGATGTGGATATCCCGGCTACTATTTCGGAGGAGCAATCAAGTGGCGCCAGCCTCACCAAAAGCAATAACGGAAGTGGCCAGGGTAGCGAGGACCTACTTGGCCCTATAACTCCCCTCACGAATTTCTCAAGCCCTCAAAAGGTTACCTTCGCAGATGGCGAGGCTGGTGACGATACGGATGTGGTGGCCCCAGGTGTAGTTGTAACGAAGAAGGTCAAGCGTACCCCGAAGGACATCTATCGTGCCACCGAGACTACGCCCCTATTTCTTAATGACGAGGAAGAGGGCCAGTGGGATGGTCCCAAACCCGAGATTCCATGGTTAGAAGAAGACGAGGAATTGGACAGCGGCGACAAGATTGTAACGACGGCAATTTATGTTAACTTTACGGCAAATGTGCTCTTGCTAGCGGGTAAGATTGCCGTCGTCATCTCAGTATCGTCGATGTCAGTATTAGCCAGTTTGGTTGATGCGGTGCTGGATTTCTTGTCGACGGTCATAGTGTGGACGACTACGTGGTTGATCTCCAGACAAGACCAGTACAAATACCCGGTTGGCAGGCGCAGATTGGAACCTTTAGGTGTTCTAGTCTTCTCAGTCATCATGATCACTTCTTTCGTTCAGGTCGCGCTGGAGTCGATACAACGACTGGCCTCGCCTAATCACGAGTTGGTTGAAGTGTAAGTAATTACCTTCTATAGTCATAGTCGACTGAGCTAACCCTATTTCAAGTGGCATACCGGCCCTCAGTATCATGCTTGGGACGGTCGTCATCAAAGGACTATGTTGGTTATGGTGTCGATTGGTCAAGAACTCGAGTGTTCAGGCTTTGTAAGTACTGTCGACGGCTGGTATCATCACACTTATATGCTAATAATATCTAGAGCCGATGACGCAATGACGGATGTGATTTTCAATACGGGATCCATCCTCTTCCCTATAGGTACGTCTCGTGAAGCTAACTTACCCACTAATCTTTTACTAACTATAGTAGTTGGATTTTACGCCAAAATATGGTGGCTAGACGCTCTAGGTGGTCTTGTTCTATCACTTGTCGTCATCTTCAATTGGTCTAGAACATCGTTGCAACATATTAAGAATCTAAGCGGGTTCTCCGCGACCGCCGATCAACGGAACATTTGTAAGTCCTCTACCTTTTCCTGTTCTCAACTAATATTCTAACTTGTCAATAGTACTTTACCTCACAATGCGTTTTGCGAAGACGATTAAACAGATCCAGGGCCTGAATGCCTACCACTCGGGCGATAAACTAAACGTAGAAGTTGATATTATCTTGGACGCATCTACCACGTTACGGGATTCCCATGATCTTAGTGAGAGTTTGGGCTACGTGCTAGAGTCAGTTCCAATTGTGGATAGGGCGTTCGTCCATGCCGATTACGCGAGTTACAACCTGCCTACACATATGGAACAGCAGAGCAGCTGAAGTCTTTAGGGGATGGTCTTGGTTAGGAGTAGGAAGTGTGTCTAATTTTGACAAGGAAATTTGTTGCATAGCTCGGTTCGTTTCATTTCAGGTTCGGTAAAAGAAAAAGGTCATAGTGATTTCCAACGGTGATACCATAGCATCTTGCTAGCATAGCAAATCCAAGATGTTTTACAATCACTTCGCATGCTGTTTACGTGTTCGCCTATCTGCTTTCTGACCGCGCAAACGTATCATGTTTAGTGACGTTTAGTCATGATCCAAGTGTATAACACTGTGTTTATTGGGTTTAAAAGAGACGTCTACTGTATACTATGAGCTCCCTTGAATAGGTGAATTTAGGTAATTATGTCAGGATTTATACCCTTTGATGGATGTCAGACACAGAGTGAGTGTCTAGGATAGGTATATCAAGTAGTAGATAGTATTGAACTTGTAACGCCTGGCCTTCTATCCTCTTACGAGGGCGCGCAGTGCCCCTTATATAGTAGATAGACCCCTGTAGCTACCCCTAACCTACTTATACCCTGACAAACCACCTCAATGATGTAATTCCGAATACACGATATTTTAAAGATGAGCCTGCTAAATTCATCTAATACCTAATCCTTGAAGTGGAAACTAAACTTTCTAAAAGTAAATTACCTAGTGTGTCGGCAAACTAATTTAGTTGGTAGCTATGCTTTTAAGGGGTCATAGACCGGAGATAGTGTGAATTCCAGGTAAACGCCGAAGATATACTGTATTCTACACAACTGTAAGAAGTTGCCTTGCTGTTAGTATTTACTCCTGCAAAGTCTTATCATGCTCAACAAACAACTTGTACATACCAATTTTAACTAGTGATCCATGTTTTACATCTATCTATGACTACCTACACAATAGTTGCACTTGAGCTTATTTTTAGGTCTTCACAGGAACGTATTGCTTAGTTATGCTATTATAATCTAAGCGTGTAGTCTCTGTTCTGGCCTGTTTGCTGATATTTTAAAATTATAGTTTTGTTTAATTAAAGACCTTAATTTAACACATTGTTAATTTTAACATTGATTTGTTAAGTTAAACGCTATACAATTGGAGACAACAAACTCAACTTTCAAAATGACCAAATAGTACCTAAAGGCTATACCAATGAGCTACTTTAGGTACTTAAGCATTTTTTTTATAATTTACATTCTTTTGAACTTTACTTGCATTAAAGACATGCACATGCGTAAAGTATATGTTGCAAATCTGGTCATATTAAAAAGGGAAGCAGGTTGTAAGGTAGTAGTTTCTTACAACTGCTCGACATAATTTTGGGCTTTCTAATTTGGAATATCTGTTGGTGTTAGGTTTTTACACCTATTTAAACGTAAGTGTTAGACACTTTGCCTGGAGAACTGTAAGTCAGTATATATTGCCATACAGCAAATGTGCATGCCTATACGAGACAGAAACCGGATAAGTTCCAAAAAGGCTTGGATAGAGAAACCCGTAGTGAAACATTCCACTTCACGCCTACTACATGGTATTGGATTAGGGCTACTCTGCAACACTCACCGTGGTAAAAAAATCTCATCATTGAAACTCCTTTGTAGCTTTTCTACTCTAAATAAAAGGAACCAGGGACATATGCTCCACGAAGCATTGTTCTTAAGTAATTACCTAAGGTCGTAAGGGGTAAAACGGAGCAGATGTACGTCAGTACATTGCTGCTGTGGAGATATCACTGAATTTCCTATTTAATGACAGTTCGTCCTGTTCTTTTACGTCAAGGCTACTTTGCCCCAGATACACAACTCCAAGTAAAAATAGACCACAGATGAACCACTCTCCCATTTTTATACATGAATAAGACAACTGTAAACTCATGCATTACTTATTTAACATCAAAAAAGCCTTTCCCGTTTACCACTCCGTAATGATTAACCGTCCAACCTATACTCATGCCGTAAGGTCAGGCCTATTGAGAGGTACTTTATAAACATGGCCTTTTATTTGCCTTATTTTAATAAACACTTACCTATCTTCAGTCATAATTGCACAGTAAACTATAATAGAGGATAACACGCTGTCAAATGCCTAATATATGTAACTTTGTAGCTTTGTAGCTTTGTACTTTGTAGCTCTGTTTCCGGGGTATCTAGAAGTGGTTTTGTACTCATAGGTCTCAATTGTTGCCTAATTTAAGACAAACTTGCCTACAATGCCATTCCTACTCCCGTGAGAAGGGACACGGAGTGAGTAAAGGGGGTACATCTCTGTTCTTTCCCTAGGCTTCAAATCATCTTCTTCTGGCAGTGTGTCCTACTGCCAACGTCTCCTCGTGTTCAGACCCCGGTGATGGAATGTGCATCAATTTCACTTACATCCGCCAACTGAGCACAAGTGGGCAACTCGCCGGGTCAGGGGATCGACGTCAAGATTCTGCCGCTTTACTTTGTCGTCTTGAACGGGGTTGGCCCATGGGCCTGTGGGCCTCATTGGATTCAATATTCCAACTTCTGCTCTCGCGTCTACCTTCCTAAAAACGCTCTCATATACCTCCTTCTCGAATCAACTTTTGCCTTTTCTTCTCAATTTGCTTCTAGCTTGATTCTCGACTTTTTCTACATTCGTTTTTCCTTTCAAATTTGATTTCTAGATATTCCCTTCACCATCTACATCATGGCATCCTCGCGAGATATTGAACTCTCGCAAATTCAGAGTGCTTATATATTCCTTGCACTCCCTGCCGAGCTTCTAGACAAGATCGTTTATGAGCTATCCCAGAATGATTTATACTACTGGTCCCTAACCTGCACTAAATTCTCAAAGAAGATCCTGCCAATCTTATACAAGCTAGACCTGGGAATAGACCCATACAAGAAAGATCGCGAGGAACCTTACGGGAGCTACAGATCTCTAGCATGGGCATGCCAATACGGACTAAGGGGTACCTTCGAAATGGCACGCAAATCGGGAGCAGATCTAAACCATTTCTTTAAGCTCCAGTCCGGCTTATTAGACCAATCATTCTTATCTCCTTTGCAAGTCGCGCTCGTCTATGGACATGAAGATCTCGCCGAGTGTCTTATTGAGGCTGGGGCAGACGTTACTGCTATCGCTTCCTGCAACGGCAATTATTCAGCTATGCACTTTGCAACATCCCTCTCGATGGTCAAGCGATTATACGCTGCCGGCTGGACTCCCGAAATTCATCGCCTTCATGTGCCTTACAGATCTGTGATATGGTGGATGCTTCAGAGAGGTGCGGGACTTGACGCTATGGAGGCTGCCCTCGATATTGGCGTCTCTGTTGACGATGAAGGCTGTGGTCTTTCGATGCTGCATGCTTGCGGGGACCATAGACTGGACGTGGTGCGTCTCCTACTAAGCCGAGGATTCCGCTTTGAGGAACAGTCTGTCCTTGAAGAAAACTTGGCAATCGGCATTCCAGGAGTATGCGAGCAACTCTGTCTAACACTCGCGCTCCAACGTGCTGTCCTTGGAACAAGCGATGCGTCCACCACGACAGAATTGATCCGACTGCTTTTCGAGGTGTACATGAACTCTGGAAAATTAGACTACCGCAGCGAGATTACCTGGCTGGTCTTGGCGACAGGTGCTGGTATGCCGCTTGCAGTGCGCTCTCTCCTTTGGGATTCCCTGGTAGTTCCATGTGGTCTACCGCAGAGCTCCGACCTTGCGGAAACTTGGGAGAAGGAGACCGTTGGTTATATTATGGATATGGTACACGACATCTTGACCGGTGATGACGGCGTTGTAGAGCTTCTGCATGGAAACCTCAGGTCTATCCTTCGGTCTATAGGACTCTGTCTTTGGGCCGAGGGAGGCTTTGACTGGGTCCGCGTCCAGCCTCTAGTCAAGACGTTGATACAGGAGAGCCACGAACACATCGATATTGTCTGTACGTATCCGACCCATTTCACGAACCTCCATCTCAGTAAGAATGACGAAGCCCTCACGCTCGAACTTATCGATATCCTACTCAAGAACGGCGCAGATGCGGAGGCTAAGCTCGGCGACGAGGAGTACGGCGCGGATCTGTTGCACCGCTCTGTTGGCATAGGGGCTTTCGGACGAGTAAAGGTGCTCACCGATTATGGCGCTAGAATCGACCCCCCTACTTTACAAGAGATGGAGTATCCGATCATGTTCGTACGAGACGATTTGGACGAGGAATTGCGGGCTAAAATGGTCAAGGCACAGAAAGAAATCGCTCATTTTCTGAATCTGAAGCGGAAGGGGTTGAGAAAGAAATCCGATGGTTCGTAACGTGGTATTGGCAGGCTACTTGAGTGGTGACATAGAAAAGGGCCTAGTTGTTGCATAGCACAACATAGATATAAGGCGAATGAGCACCATACTTGTATGTAGGTGGTTCAATTAGCACGAATAGAAATATGTGGTATGTTACAAACCGTCTCTGTGGTTACGTAGAGGAAACTTGTAGATGGTACCTGGATCAGCCATCGTATATCTAAATTGTGCGGTCGCTGACAGTCACAGTTTAGCACGGCTAAGGACGAATACCCAGGTGTACTCCTTGCTACGAAGCAAACCCAACGGCATGTAAGAAATTTTATTTTCGCGTGATGAGCCTTCCAATTATATACTTAGGTATGTTTGTGGGGATACATGCGAGACCCCGGACCACGAATATACCTAGGGCGAAGAACTTTCAGCCATATTGATGACAAAATCTCATACAGGCTTATAGTTTCCCGTGATCTAAAGAGTTATATTTCATTATCCTCACAATATATATAATAATTAACCATTTTGTATTCATTAACTACCTACGTATGGTTATGTTTTTCGTCTAGTTATTTAGTACTATGCTATGTTTTCTAACTTTCAAGTGAAGAACCATGAAGGATCGAACACAGTAAACCGCAAAGGCATAGTTAGAATGTATCTGTTGATGGTTAGATGGCCAGGTACCTAAGCAAATTCAAAGAGTTCGCGTAGCTATTACGGGAAGACGAGGACAGTAAGGAGACCTTAGAACGGCTCTGAATAGATGAAAACTCCTGGAGTGCTGTATGGGGTACATATGATAGTTTAACGAGTTCCTCGACAGTCGGGGCGGGGATGATCAGGAACGATGGAAAGACAGCTAACATCTAAATAGTAGGTAGTTTCGGGGCCCTAGTTATCAGCGCGATGCCGCAAATACCTTGGGGAGAAAATTACAGATACAGGGTAGAATTACAGTCGACGAGATTTAAATAATGAAAAGGGAGAGAGAGAAAGGAGACGTAAAAAAAAAACCTCTTCAACGCCCAGCCAACTGTTATTCTATTATCACCGACAGTTGCTACTGCGCGCCCTACTTTCGTTACGGGTATTTCTTTGCAGCCGTACCGATCCTCGCTAGGTAATGAGAGTTTTACCATATGCAGGGGTCATCTGGCCGTATCTGTACTCAGTTGAGGGTCGCTAAACCCCTCGGGTGTGAATCGAACTGTGGCCTCTAGGTCTTAACCCCCCTCAAATTAGGTGCCTAGCCAATTCGACCAACTGGTCTCCGGTGTAAAGGCCTACTTGTTTTTAGACATTATAAAGCTTCCAATGGGTGGGGGAGGGGGGGGTGGGTGAATTGTTGTTGTGCTGGGCAACTAGGTGACGTGTGTCAACTGGTCATGTGGTTGAGTGTTTGCCTGACAACCAAGGTACGTGCTTTTTACACCTCAGGAGTATGTTAACGCACAGATGGCTTGGGCTCTAACTAAATGGTATAACAACATTTCGTACATGATGCGTAGCCTTCTGTAAAAGCTTGACATCCGTTAGGTCACATGTACGGAAGCTATCTTCAATTGCCTATGATGATGCCCATACTCGTTTAAATAATCTTCCTAGATATCTATAAGGTATGCTAACAATCAACTTGTCTCGGGACAGTAGTCGAAATTCTATAGCCTTTGACTGCTGAACCTTATTATATTAGAACAAATGTTTGTTTAACCTTAAACATGTATACAATCATTCTTTAGCTTTTGAAAACACTACAGCCTCTTTAATCCTTTAAAGGGGTATTTTAGTGGAACGGAACCTGGACTCGTTCTTTATAAACTTCGCTTGTCGCGGTTAATACGAATACAATGCGCTTCAATACTAAGCTCTCCAAAAGTGAATGGTAGACCTGCAGAGCCTCCTAGAACTTTTAATTACTATAGAAGGATTCAAATAGTATCATCTGTACCTACCAGCCGATCAAATAGGGATCTGTTTAAAGAGACGTCGATTTTATAATTATCATACTCAGGCCTCTTTTATAATTACTATGATAGAGTAAGACTGATAGTAGTGGAAAGGTAAAAAGGGGGTGGGTTGTGCAACATGACTGGTATGTTTGTGACCCTATAATAGCTCAACCCCTATTGGCCAGTTTGCCAGTAGCTGGACGAATTCGGTAAGTTCTAGTAAACGACCTCCCACCCCCGACTTCGGATTAATTATTGGATAGACCGGGGTTCTATGTAAATAAACCTACTAAGCCGCTATATAGAATGATGTTCTAAAGCGAGCGTGAGGGAGGTTAGGGTTAAATAGGGGTAAATATGAACTAAACAAAGTTTTCAAGGCTCTTTTAATTCACAACTCACTATGCGACAAGACTATTTTTAATAAATGGCTACTGTATATAGTTCATATATAATAAATGTAAATTCAATTTAAGTCTAACATATGCGAGATTTATCATATCCATACTAAAAAAATACAACAAGGCTGGAAATGGTGAAAGCACTAACCTACATACTTTAGACCAACTTTACCTCGAGTCAAGGACAACGACTTACCAAGCAAAGGCTACCCACTCAGAGATTCGGATAATATTCAGCTTATAGGTATATACCTCCTCACCTGGGCGGGCCAAACTCCTCTTCTCGCTTCCGAATTAAAGCGGCATCACAGAACAACCCGATGTCCTCGAGCAAGTCGCAAACATCATACCTATCCTCTTCGTCGTGATCTGCAGGATCGTAAGTACCATTAGCCTTAGCCGCCTTTATAGCGACATCGCGGTCCTCTTGCTCCATAAGCTTGTCTAAGACAACTAGAAAATCAACGGGGCTCGCGCGTCGTGCGAACCGCACAAGCCCCGCCGTGATGCGCGCCCACGTCGAAATCCACTTCGCGTCGAGCGTCCCCGCCGCCTCGCGGAACTCGATCGTGCGCGGGTTCGCCGACCTGAACCTGTCTTCCCTTTCGTCTCTTAACACCGGCGCCGAGTAGTTCTTGAAGTTGTAATTGAGCCGGCGGCCGAAGGGGCCCTCGAGCAGCGTCGCGACGGCCATGGCCGAATCGCAGGCCGCGAGGTTGGCGATGCCTTGAATCCCCGAAGTAATAGGATGCGCCTTTATTGCTGGCGAGTCTTCGTACATGTACGCGTTGGAAAAAATAGGGTCCCTTTTTGCGTACTCGCCGGCTGGGTCCGGGAGGGGGTTTAATATTGACGGAACCCAGCCGATGCGGTCCCACATTGCGTCGGGGATGAAGGCGTACTTGTCGACTTCGGACTGGTAGAGGGCTGTGAGATTATTTACATCGTGGGGGCGCATCTTCTGTGGCCGGGACTCATCCTCAGGCTCGTGCTCGACGTAGGGGGGGAAAGGACTGGATGGTACGTCGATATCTAGATTATTGCGATAGGATATATCGGAAAACCCTCTTAGTAGCACAGGTGGCGAATCGTTAGATGACCCATCAGAAGATGGGCTTTTGGGTAGGGGCTCCGGGTTGGGATCGAGAGGGCTGGACCGTGGATCAGAGGCAATAGGGGAAGATGATAAAGAGATAGTGGTAGCAGACGATGTAGGGCTAAAATCAAGAAGGGGCGGTGACGGCATGTCGTGTTGATACTGGGAATCTGGCGAGTCGGCGCGGGGTCTAAATTTCTCGAAGAGATTCGAGATACCCTCGTTTGTTTGTATGGCTTCGTTGTATTCAGAGAAGCTAGGATGGTCGTCACTTTCATCCGGTTCCATTAGCTCGACTATATTTTGCCACTTTCTGAGGATATAGGGCGAGTCGATCCGCTCTTCCTTCTTCGGTCTCGGCTTCGAGAGTATGGGGCCAATGTTAGACGATGCTAGGGTGAAATTTTTAGCAATTGAATCGTATTGCCAACCGAAACGCGCAGCTTCGAAATATGGCGCGCTCGCTAGTATAACTTGGTAAAATTGCGCGTCATCTATCTCATTGATCCTCTTACCATACATAAAGGCAGATTGTGCGAGAACCACAAGCCGTATCTGGTCGATGGTGTCAAGTCCAGTGGGGTTTGTGGTTCCGAACTGGTCTTTACAGAGGGAATAAACATGTTCGATGACTTTAGTATCCTGCAACGCATCCCAACGAATCCAACCTATATTCCTATGTAGTGTATGATCCTCAGGGGGTACATCTTTCTGCCTTTCCTGTTCGCGTAGGTGACGCCCTATAGCCTCCACTGCTTCCCATGATGGTAGAAGGGAAGGTTCCGAGTCGCTGGGAGGTTGGTCTGATGAGTCTTCCGTCGGTGCACTACCGATATCGTCTCTTAATGTCATAAACGGACCTACACGATTGCGCCACTTTGCGTATGCCTCCCATCTCTCCGCGCTGCCGAATGCCACCTCCTCCCTAGTAGTATCTGAAAATTTAGTTATTGCTATGGGGTCATCGGTCGACAACCACGATTCGAACTCCTTTCGGACATCTTTTATCGTAATTCCTTCAGTGGCTAGCCGGCTATGGTAGCGAACACTCGCGGAATATGAGTGAACTCTGCGCCACGGGGGGTGCAGACGTGAGATAGTAGGATCAGCAGCCCAGAGGAACATACCTAGTCTCCTGATTGATTCACCTGTGAAGAAATCTGATCCGTTCCCGATGTGAACATGGAAACCACATGTCGGATTGACGCGGAGGCGGTAGTTATAAGTGAGGACGTTGGTAACGTACTCAATCTCCTTAAACGATTCGTCCGTTGCCCATAACGCTGGGCTTTGGATTTCGATAGCTTGCCACTTATAATTATCCATGAACGTTTCCCCGAGACTACCATCTAGGGCGACGTTCCATTTGTTTTTTCCACGAAGTCGATAAGCCGACTCATCCCTAGTCTCGCCTGTAAATGAAACGAAACCAGTCCCAGTTTCAGAAACAGGAACCCCATTTGCCCTAAGAGTAGCGCGAATACTTTCCCTGATTTCCGTCGTAGCTTTGTAGTTAGAAGTATCGACTCGTAGTAGAGGGGGAAGCAAGTGAGCTTCGGTTTCATTCGGATCGGGCGCATCATTTGGCAAATAAGCTACCAGGAATTCTAATTCTATACCGAATGAATGACAAGTGCCTACTGGTACGGTGAATTCATTGAAGCTCGCCATCTCTAAGTTTGATATGTTGAATACAATACCGCTCCAGGCGATCTATCCTATAAATATTCGGGTAACCTATTGACGCTTTTGTTGGGCCTTCGATGGGCCTTCGATATCATTTATGCTCGCTGCTCGGTATGAAATAGTTAACCATTACATCAAGTCACTCCCGAAAGGAGTTTGTAGATACGGGCCGGGTTGGGAACCAATATATTATTTTTCCATGAAAGAAAAAACAATACCGTTGTGTGTGTGCACCTTACCTTTTAGACCAAAACAAAGGGGGTGAAACAATCCATTAGACAAATATCAAATTTCATACTCGGGCCGGTCGGTTTGTCAAAGAGCCAATGGCACCATTTGATGGATTTTATTGTTCTGTCTCTGCTATAGCTACCAGCTCAAAGTTTTTATTAGCCTTACTAACCAGAGTCGCGGCGTGGCTAATGCCAGTACTATACTCTCAACAGCTTCCTCAAACATTAATTTCCATCGACGTATGCTTGCTCATCAATACTCGAATCGTCTCCTCGTGAATTAGGGTTGTCACGTGCAACATGACTTGGGTATAGGGGGGAGTGCTGCTAAATCAAAATGTACGGGAAAGGAACGGCGGCCACCAAAATAATTATTCCATATCAATAACTATGCATGCTGTCGAATTTGGCAACCTTGAAACTTGCGCCTATATTCGTTCCTAGAGCATGTAGGCGAACATGCCGAGAGCCACAGCGGCGGCACCATTTCCAAGATATTGAATATTGGTTGGGACGGCGGCAGCCTCGGAGGAAGATGAACTCGGAGCGGCAGAGCTGGCGGCAGTAGCGGTTCCACTAGGAGCTGCACTTGAACTGCTAGTTGTGCTCACGCTACCCTCTCCCTGGTGCTTGTCCACGTCTTCTGTGCCACATTTGTCACCAAACGTCGATGTACAGTTCTTTTGGCCGGCAGCGTTGTTCTCGGTTTGTGTGATGCAGTCACTCTGAAGTCTTTCGCAAACGAACTACGGAGAGGAACAGTCAGTATACCTTCTTAGGTAGCAGCAGTAAAAACTGCCCAAGTAAATGGAGGAAAACTCCTACCCAAGGCACCGTGTTCATGAAGTCGTTCATATCCGGCTCATTGCCGCCCTGGCAAACGCACTGGAAATCCAGAGTATCCTACACCTTTATTAGCTATGCGCTTAGCTGGATACTAACACTAGCTGCTAGAAACTCACCACCGAACATGCGTTCTGTACTACTGATCCGCAAAGCGTGCCGCAACTGTCTTGCTGCCCTTGACACCAATTGACTTCGGAGAATGATCAGTATCAGGCACCAACATCGCGACTTAACGAGAACTTACCGCGATCGGAGATGTCAACTTCAGTGGGATCGATCTTAAAGGTTGAGTTGGAATTTGCTTGGGCAGAGACGAGGGTGAGGGCGGAGAGCACCACAGCGGCGGCGCGTGTGTTGATCATGTTTGCGATTGGACGGCGTTTATAACTGATGGATGCCGAATTGACTGTTATTCGAACCAAAATCTGCAGATAAGTAAATATCTTATTGAGAGTAAAGTTTTGTGAAATGTGGATTGGATTAGGTAGGTAAGAAGGTAAGAAGAGATGATTTGACTATAGATTGAAGGAGAAGATGGAAGAAGAATTGGAGAGCTGTAGGATGAAGTGCGATACAAGTCGGGATGGGGTACGTAATAAGACGGAGATGGTGTGTTGATGTATGGGTTGTACCTGAATTTATTGGCCGGGGGGTGAACAGGGAAGTATTGTCCGTAGAATGTTAGGATGTTTAGTATTCGTTTGATGAGGTCCCTCTTCGGATAGCTGGGTAGGTATGAAGAAAAAAAAAGTCTGGACGGCCGGAAAGAAAAAAAGAGACCATAGAGACAAATGGAATACGCATTTGACCGATGAAGCTCACGATAACAGACCCTAATTTAACCAATCATCTTTCACTATTCGTACAAGGATATTTTCCTTTGGAACTCACTGGCGTTGCTGGAGCATTGGTGCCGCTTGCCGAGAGTACTTAGTGTCTTCGCTAGTGCCATATCAGGCCAGAAATTTGGAACGCCAAGAATCAAGTTTTACTGGTAAGCTTACCCTAGATAGGGAAGGTTGAAAAAATATTAAGCCAATTAGCAGTCCGCTAGCCTTCTAACTCTTTCTCTATCCGGCTAACCCACTTTAAATCATCGGCGTTGTTTCTTGCTATTACTTTTCATAACTGCGAAGATTTGTCCGACAGGCTCAGTCTCCAATTAAGAATTACGTGTGATAAATAATTCACGTCATCTTGCCGAAATTGACTTTATAATCCCCATCTTATTTCCTATCCAGAGTACTTCGTACGAAGCTATGTTTAATTCAGATCCATTACGAAGAAAGTAAGGTATCGGTCTATCCTTATGCGGTAAGCGTCTACGACAGCAATGCAGCTTCTTCTTCGTATCGCCGCGTTGAAATATTTGGAGTAAAGCATGCGGGGTTTATGCAGACGGGATTGGACAGGATCTCTACATGTAACTAGTAGGTACGCCTTAGGTGCCTCTTAAGGAGGTGCTTTGGAATGGAGGTTACTCCGAAGGTATTTAGTCAGGTACAACCCGTACAACCCATGTACAAATGAGGATGAGATAAGAACCATAAGCAAATAGTCTATTCCAACTTTTACAACTTTGCCATTTTATTTAGAAAGGTATTTGTACGCCTCGATGGAAGACATCCGTAATACACTCTTTTCCCGCCTCTCATTTTTCTTTGCTTAGTAAAACCACGCCAATGCCAATGCCAATGCCGAGCCGAGGATTATTGAAACCCAAGGACCTATGTAAATGCATACCTTATGTAGCTTGATATTATCCGCCAGCAAGGGTATCGATGCTCGGTTGCCACTCGGCTCATCCGTCGTCAATCCACCGTTAACATCCTATTTTGATTGACCCTCAGCACGTATCTCCTGGGTAAATATCTTGACGCGAAAGACTTTGGCATATTGGCTTCAGTTTTCTTCTTTAACTTATTAGTTCGGGGTGGTTTTTACTATGAAATTCCTATGAAGAAGCCTCACCCTCGAAGGCCACACGTTTTTATCGTCGCTAGAAGGGAATATGTTCCAAATCAATCGCGGCCATACGTGACCAATAGCTTGTCTCTTAATCCTACCTCTTGGAACAGACATGAAACGCTTCGTTGACCTTTTCTCCCGGCTATCCGCAATGCTCTGTGCTCGACGGCGCTAGATACTACTATTACTATCTTACATACTAATTGAGGGGATTTAGATCCGAAATTAAGTGGAATTGGCAACTCTCTTAGATGGTTCCATAATTGCCTGGTTAACCGATCAGAGCGTCAAGAATTTGCTGTCTGTAAACTTTGCCGGGTCTCGGCGTGCTAGCGAATTACTAGAGAAGTACGAACGGTACAAACGCCGACAGCCCGATTAAGCTTTTTGCTACGTCGGCCACCTAGTCAGCTAGCTCACCGTGCTTTGTCGATCCCAAGTGGTTTAGCGCCGAAGCTTCGATACGCGAGTAGAACCTAACGCCAATCATAGCGATCAATGGTCAGTGATCAAGTGATCAATGATCAGCGATCAACTGAAAGTGCAGATGAATGCCTACTTCAGAATCTCCACATGGGGCCGATATGGTCTGTGAGAGCGGATACATCCGCTATCCGTCGACTTTTACAAAACAAACAAAATAATCGGATACTACGACAGTACATAGTAGTATTCGTCATTGCGGTTGGCGCAAACCAGTTTGACGTGTCTATGACTTTTCGCTAAAGAGCAGTATATTTCTATCTTTCATCGCTCCGAAATTACTTACATTACGAACCAAGACCCGGATAAGTGTTCAGTGTCTAGTCTGTATTGGATACTCCGTGGCTGTCATCTCACCTATAAATTTTACTTAGGTAGATGATTAGCTTACCTCTTACTTAGAGTGTCTAAATCCTTGGCAGCCCGGTTCCTGGCGACAGCAGTCTGTAAGGTACCTACGATCATGTCTTGGCAATTATCATTCTAGAACCTTTCCCCAGATTTGACACCTGCATCTCTGTACTGTTTACTTCTACCATCACATAAGACAGCCATTGCTAGAACCCAACCAATCAGTTGAGTTGACCTCGGAAAAGATTCGTTCCGATTAGCTTGTTTAGTTCTCATCTCCGCACCTATCGTGGCTAGCTCAGCATCATGACGGAAAATTAGTGTACCATTCCCCCCGGGGGGATACTATCGCATAACTCAACAGCTTATAAGTCTTTTAGCATCCATTAGTTAGTGAATATCTATAGGGCACTTTCATATAGAGTAACGGCCTTATAGGCGTTCGGCATCTCAATCTCGGATTGGTCTTGATTCGGGTTAGATTCTACCGGACCCTGCTTATGGGTCTCCGTCTTGAATCGCCCATTAAGAGGGGCCTACATCACTGTGAGTTGACTGAAGCCACTTGTTAAAAAATATTAAGGGGAGCTGTTCCCATGAAAAACGCATAATCGTCTGCGAAGATAATTGTCTTAGCTGTCACCGCTATTTTATCTATTTTATGAGCAGAATGTTAGCTTCTCTCTTCCTAGCTTTCTCGTCGCTCACTTCAGTGCAAGCTGCACTCAAGTACAAAGGCGTCGACTGGTCTTCGGTTATAGTTGAGGAGAAAGCTGGGATATCTTATACCACTACAAGTGGAAGCACCCAGCCCCTCGAAAATATCTTAAAGGAATCTGGTGTCAACACCGTACGGCAGAGAGTCTGGGTTAATCCTCGCGATGGCAATTACAACGTAGACTACAATTTAAAATTGGCAAAGCGGGCAAAAGTCGCTGGACTCGGCGTTTACGTGGATTTTCATTATAGTGATACGTAAGTCAAATAGAGCACTCATTAGGCCGAGCCTCAATAAGGATGCTAAGACCCCAAAGCATCCACTCCAAATCCAGTATCAAGACCGCAAATTATTGACATCCTCCTTAATGCAGATGGACCGATCCAGGGCATCAAGCAATTCCTTCAGGATGGCCCACGAACATTGACGATCTTGCTTGGAAACTGTATAACTACACGTTGGATGTGTCGAACCAATTTGCTGCAGCGAGCATATCACCTACCATCATCTCGATCGGTAATGAGATCACGTCAGGTCTCCTGCTCCCAACGGGCTCCACAAAGAACTTTTACAACGTTGCTCAGCTACTACACTCGGCCGCATGGGGAGTCAAGGACAGCAAGCTGTCTCCTAAGCCCCGTATCATGATCCATCTCGACAATGGGTGGGATTCGAACACCCAGAAGAATTGGTACGAATCTACCTTAAAGGCCGGACCATTGAAGACATCGGACTTCGATATGATGGGAGTTTCCTATTATCCGTTCTAGTAGGTATCCCGTAACATAGGCAAATAGTACCTAGGATTATGGTCCCTAACCAACCAAATAGCAACCCGTCTGCAACGCTTTCGAACCTTAAGACAAGTCTTGATAACATGGCAAATACATGGGGTAAGGAGATTGTTGTGGCCGAGACCAACTGGCCTACCTCTTGCAAGTCTCCCGCCTACTCGTTCCCGAGCGACCTTGAGAGTATACCATTTTCAGCAGACGGCCAAACTACCTTCATGAAGAAAGTCGCAGCGGTGGTATCCGGAGTAAAGAATGGTAACGGAATCTTCTATTGGGAACCAGCCTGGATAGATAACGCGGGACTCGGATCTTCATGCGAATCCAACACAATGTTCTCGGTATGTTCTCTCAAGCCTTGAGACGAAAAACATCAGTCTCTGCCCTTCCTATGTTATATATATATATATGGTATTTGGTTCTAACATTCTATATATAGTGGCCGGGGAAGGAGTTAAGTAGTTTAGACGTATTTTCGTCGATATAGATAAAATCCAGTTCGCTAAGGGGTGGGTAGTTGTGGTGCCCTATGGGCATTTCTCGACTATCGGTGAAACGGAAACGTATCACCTCAGTCATTGTTAATGATACACGTAATTCTTTATTTTATACACGTGTCTTTGCGAAGTGATTTGATGTTTCGTAAAAGCAAACACAAAGAGCAGATGGTCGTGGGATACACCGCGGACATTCGCCCCTGTATTTGAGGACAATGAGGTTTGCTCGAAAGAAAGTTTCCCCTTATCGAGTCCGAGCCGTATCCCACATTCTTGCGGATATTCTAATTCTTAGAACTGCTTCGTTTCCTAATACTTCACTAGATATGAGTGATGAGTTCGATGATGACTACCATCAACTCTGGCAATCCGACATGCCGCTAATCAGCATCCCAACCCAGACTTTCAACCCTTATGGGGTACGGCCTGGGGGGCAGCCAGCGTCGCTCACCGCTGTGAGCGTTCCAGGCACGACCGATTTCGTGTTAGGGGTCGACACTTGCGGTTTCACCACCGCCAGCACGAGTGAGTTTCCCTTCCCCTCGATTGGCAACTAAACACCGAGCATCAAGAGATGATTGGGATCGCTAACCTAAATGATTGAAAGTCACTTGTGAATTCGGATATGAGTGTACCAACGTAGAGGGCTATCGTGGTTGTTGCTTTCCGGGCGCTGACGACTGTGCCTCTACGATCTACACGGACTGCATCGACTATGGGAAAGCCCTCCACGTAGCTGAATGTGGACCACAGACACTATGCTGGTTAGTTTGAAGCGAGCAATATTCCCACTTCATAACAATATTACTAGACCAATTGTACTGACCATTTCAATAATAGCCCAAGCACACATCCGTCCTGCTACACTTATTGGTTCGATAATGACGACAACCCTCAGGAAACATTTAGACACATTGAATGCCAAACATCGCAGGGATTCGGGATCCTATACCCTTTCCCACCAGAGTTAACCATGACATCGGATACATCGACAACAGAAACAGATTCCCCATCCGACACTTCTAATTCAACCCAAATCACGATCGAGTCCGAGGGCGACTCACTATCTCGTTCTTCGATATCCGCGGGTGCTATAGTAGGCGCTGTAGTCGGCTCTGTCGCCTTCGTTATCATATCCGCCATAATCGCCGCTCTAATATTCCGTCGGCGTCGGGCCAAAAAGAATGCTGCTACCGCTCCATCGGTCCCCGTGAAGAGTACAGATAGTTCGACCGATATCTTACCGTCGCCAGAAAAGGAACCAAGGCAGACAACAGCCGCAGCAGCAGTGAGATCAGAGAGGCCACCGACCCGAAGAAGCTTCCTACGACCCCTTTCCATGATCCAAGAGAACCCTATCTCCATCTCCAAGCCCATACCCCTATCCGCCACATCCTTCGCTCCAGGTATCAGGAGGTATAAATCAGCAGCAGCGCGCCAGAGCCCCAGGCCGAATTGGCCGCTTAGCCCGCTTGGTAACCCTCTGGGCTCGCATCCGGTCGACGCGAACTTGATGAAGCGCCTTAGCGATAGTCGGCTTGGAACCCGCGGCCTGGAAAGCGGAGGAATTAGCGACGGGCGGCAGAAAAGCCTGCCACGTATACCTGTCCTCCCGTTCCGCCCCCCGCCTCCCCCGCCTCCCCCCGGCACTAAACCCGTAACCCCCCTCCCGCCGCTCAAACCGTCGCGTGACTTCGAGAGCACAGGTACCACGCCTACCAGTGCCACAGCGGCACTACAAAGCCCGCGGCTAAGCCGCGTTCCCGTATCACCGATCATGAGTCGGGTTCTCGATGGAATCAGTCCGCATCGTGCCGTAAACAACCCTTCGACTTCGACTACAAGGCCTATTAGCGCCGTAGGCCCGGAGCCCGTGTCGCCGATCGGAAGTGACGGGGAAGGAGAAGGGGCAGATAATTTGCCACGGCTTAGCTACGTCTCGGCGCCTAGCGCGGCTGGTGAAGGCGGGCTGGAGCGCGATGACATGGTTTCGCCTATAGGTGTGGATGAGGTGGATAGTGATACGGAGGTGCCGGAAAGCCTGGTGACGGTTAGTCCGCTGGAGAGCCCGCGAGGGAGTATGGATTCTTAGAGGATGTGGTATTAATTTGGTGGTGCTATACATTGTGCTTGGTATAGTTCGTTTATATACATCTACTTTTGTAGTGGTTCGGTTCATTTAGGTGCGGCAGCATCTATGCTGTGTATCTCGGGATATATATCTCTTAGCTATGCGTTATATACATATATCTGAATGCGTGTCATCGGGTTTCACAGGTAGCTGCTGTAGAACGTCGGGTTATTAAAGCACGCGCTTTTACGGCTATGTACATGACTTCAACTCTGACTTGGGATACTGCAAGGTCTGGTTGTACATGTTGTATCTTCGGCGTTAAGAAGAACAACGCGTGGCTGTGTCAAGTTAAAGTTAAGATGCGCTGCTAGTTGAACACTTTCTCATTGGGAATGATACTAACAAAATAGGGGTCATTACGAAGTACATGACGCTCATAAAAGGGGGGAAGCCGGTGACCAAGCCCTTGGACTGTGCTAGTTCCGCGGCGGTGTCCAGCTCACCAACTGACGGCAGTCAATCAATTGCTACATCGGGAACTATTCGCGATGTCGCCCAATTGGAAGTTTTCGACCGTCTCTACCGGCGCACTCTAGCTCGCCTGGGCATCTCTTGGCCCTTTAAATACGAGCCTCACTCGTCGTCATCCCCAACTTGATTGCAAATAGGAATACTTCATTTTCATCTTGAATTGGAAGACTCGGGATATTACTGTATGGTCAGATTTTCACGTGTATTACGTGTATATGTAGAATATGTACCTAAGGTGTTTATGTTATACATATCGTCAGTTTAAATACCAGCGATCCCCTTTCTCTACACCATTCAAAATCTACAATCATAAGATCTTCGCCCTATAAATTGCACCATACCACATCTTGCTTAACTAGATTAAAGTGAAATAATTTCCATAAGAGTCGAAGATAAAACAGTATGCAGCTCCGACAGCATCTCGCTACCCTAGGCTTTGCCGCCACTGCTGCCGCACAAGCCTACCAGGGCTTCAACTACGGATCGACCAATAACGACGGGTCGTGCCGGGGATACGATGACTTCAGGGGCTTCTTCGAGCGTGCTAGGGGCTTGCCCGGCACGGAAGGCAAGTTTACCGCGGCGCGCCTTTACACGTCGATCCAGTGCGGTACGGCCGCGGACCCCATCTCGGCATTTCAAGCTGCCATCGACACCGACACCCATATCCTCGCCGGCCTATGGGCTAGCGCCGGCCGCGATGTTTATGAGAATGAACTAAACGCCCTTATTGCCGCTGCTAACCGGTTAGGCACGGCCTTCACCGACCGCATCATTGGCATTAGCGTCGGCTCTGAGGACTTGTACCGGAGCAGCCCCGATGGCAAAGCCAATAATGCCGGCGTCGGTGCTACCGGCGCGGAGATAGAAGGGTATATCGGCTGGATGCGAGACTGGCTGCGCGGTACCCCCTTAGAAGGCAAACCGATTGGCCATGTTGATACCTGGTCAGCTTCCCCCTTTCCCCGAGTATTAAGACTTAGTGTTTGAAGTTTTACTTTACATGGCCCCGTTCGATAAATTATGAGCAATTATTGCTAACCCACGACGCGAATCATTAGGACGGCTTGGGTTCTTCCTGAGAATGCGGGTGTGATCTCCTCTGTCGATTTCCTGGGGCACAACTCGTTCCCTTACTTCGAAACTACTAAGCCGAACGCCATCGGGCAGGCTGCGGATAACTTCTGGTCTGCTGTCCAACGGACAGAGGGCGTGGCGGGAGGTAAACCTGTATTTATCACCGAGACCGGTTGGCCAACCAGTAAGTCGCGCCCCCTTTCTCTTTTAGACAAATGGAAAATGGCAAAACCTTTCCGTCTTCACGTCCTACAAGCCACCTTTAATAAGCCCCTCATTTACTGATTCGCTGGGAATTGTAGTGGGCCCTCAGCAACGAGACGCCATCGCCTCTGTTGAGAACGCGAGGACCTATTACTCGCAGATTGGCTGTGCGCTTTTCGGACAACGCACCGCCTTCTGGTACACATTAGTGGATGCCAACACGGCACAGACTGATATTTCATTTGCTCTTACTCCAATTGACGACGGGACACCTAAGTTTGACTTAGCCTGCTAAATTTAATAGAGTATTTTATTTTTATATGTATAGCGCTAATGTAAACTGGAATGGGCTTTCAAGGATAAAATAAGACATTCATATATAAGTTCCTAACCTACGTTTTATATTACAAGTTCCGAAGTATCTTAAATTAAGTAGGTGCCTATTAATAGGTATCTTTCAGGGCGGATCAGTGATGGGGAAGAATTAACAGATACTTAATTGCTCTAAATGAAAGTGCGCGTAAAGGTAGAAAGGTCCATAGGCCATCACGGCTTTCCGTAGGTGGCTATGTGAGAGGTATAGCCACATTAGGCTATCCAGGTATCACCTAGAAAAGGTCGATGCAAGGTAACATATATCTACACGCGGTAGCCGACACGATCAATCTCTTAACGCAACTCATAATCTAAGCCATTCCACAGGGTATCACCTTTGACTATGGATCTCCAACTAGGCTCTGACAGTAATTCTACAGAAAATGGTACTTATTAAAGGGTTTAGAAAGTGTTACTAAGCCCAATATCACCACATTTACCCACATAGTCATACACAGGAGCCTTACTGACGAATCTGATGAGCAGACAATTCATACTCAAAACCTCGAATTGCCGAACAAGAAACCGAACCAGATCTCCAAAATAACGGTGTTCTATGTGCGAAGTGCGCTTCATTGGATATCGCCGCATTCGTTGCAGCGACAAAAGCGACTGAAATACACACTCCGATACGTGTATGCCATATAAGAAACGAGCACCTACAACCCAACAAGATATCCTGCCCACTCTGCCACATAATCATCTGGATGCTTGAAACAGTTCCCGTTTTAATACCATCAAATGACTTGGAGTTGGTTATGTATCTTGGTTATCGATCAACAACCCCCCTTGATCCATTTATCCCATTCCGGACTAATTATGTGCTCTTGAAACTCGATTCGAAGGAGTATAGCACATACCGAATTCTCAACAATAAAACTGGGCGGATTGCAGAGATCATGAGCACCAACTCGTTGGATTTCAATCTCAAAATTGGTCGTATACAAAAAGGTGGAATAAAAGTATCCGGAGTTCATGGGTATATTGATTATAGGTTGATTGAGGATCGTATCTCAACCTGTACCGGCTTACCTACTCACTCCGAAATCTGCAGGCCCCCGAGACGCAAGCTAAATTGGCCGAGTAAGCTGATCGATTGTCAGGCATTGACAGTCGTGGAAGCCCAACCATCGTACAACTATGTCGCACTTAGCTATGTTTGGGGCCAGCAGGAGCACGATCCATCTAAGGGTCTTTACGACTCCCCGGCCACTATTCGAGACGCAATTGAAGTTACGAAGAGACTTAGGCAACGATATCTATGGGTAGACAGATACTGTATCGACCAAAGTCGCTCGGCTGAGAAGCACGCCGAGATCGAGCAGATGGGTCTTATCTACAATCGAGCTGCTCTTACAATCATAGCAGTCGCTGGGCTGGACCCTAACTACGGTTTGCCGGGAGTTTCCAAGATCAGGAAGAATGCCATACCAAGGAGAGCCACTTCGGAATGGACAATTGTTGGTATTCCCGACAGCTTTCGTCGAATAATTACCCAAAGTACCTGGGCGACTAGGGGCTGGACCTATCAGGAAGTATTACTATCCAGACGTCGTCTATATTTTACGGACCAAGAAGCGTATTTCGAATGTCGGAATTATAATGTTGGAGAATCATGGTTCGATTATGAGAATATGGGCTTAAATGATGCCTTGTTCACTCTGAACCCTGTTCAAGATCACCCATATGAGATTTTTGAATACATATCAGATTACTCGCGGAGGAAACTAACCTATAGCCATGATTATCTCAACGGATTCTTAGGCATCCTTGGGTGCTTGGCCGAGGAAAAGTATCCCGTGCTCCACCTGTACGGAGTGCCAATTCCTCCTGCGGAATACAGTACACAGAAATATACACTTGTCCTGGGGAGTTTAACTGATCGACTGATGAATGGAATGGCCTGGAAAGTGACAAAAGGGAAGCGACGCCAAAATACCGACTTCCCTAGTTGGTCTTGGGTTGGTTGGTCAGGTCCTGTTGACTGGGCTTCTGGAGATGTTCTTTTGCTGCTAGCTTCGAGCAAAAATGAAGTTTGGGTCGAAGATGAGACAAAAACGCTTTTGCCATTAGAAAGTTTAGGCAAACGACAAGGCCTTTCGGCTAGAGACTACAACTTCGCACGGGTTATTCACATCAAAGCCGAGGTTTTCGAAGTCATCCTCAATAGTCCTCGTTCCTTTGGTGCTAATATACGAACTTCTCCAACCGACCGTAACGTTACCTGGAGAAGTCGGGATGGTGAAGACGTGGATGCATGCGCTGAGATATTTCAAGACGATGATATATCTGAAGACATCATTACCGATCCAGCTCAAGGAATCTTACACGAAGCCGAAAAGCTCAAGGCTCTTGTACTCGGCTTATATGAAGACGATAACAATATTTGTGCTTGGGTGTGTAAGCTATTGAGAAGCAATCCTGATGGGTACGAAGTGGTTGGGCAGATGGAATTTCAACTCCCCAGTTCTCATATTCGCTCAGCTAAGGAATCAGAAGAAAAACCAACTAAATCATCACTGCCGAATATGGTTCTAGAAAGAATTCGTTTAGTTTGAATACCTTAGGTAAGTATATCATATTCTTTCTTTTCTCTTGTGGTGATTACCTTGGGTTAGTTTAGGTTATCAGCCTCACCTTGATGCGAAATGAGTCACTCACACAATATTTTTAAGGGCATATCCTAATTTATATCAACGAAGTTCAATGCCTACGCAACTTACGGCATTATTTAGTAACAATATAATCTCGTTCATTTCTTCAAGTTGTACTAGAATAATTCGGATTGTACAGAAAGTATTTGCTTTGATACTAAAGAAAGAAGAGAGCTCCTAGTTTCTTGCTAGGATTGGCTTTTTGTCTTCTCGATATACTGCCTCGTTTAAGAGGCTATTTGCTAGGGCACCTAGTATGAACTATCAAGTGCCTCCTATTCTCACTCTTGAGTCTGATTCAGGGGCTAATCGTATCTCATGTGAGTCGTGACCGCTATGGCCTGTGGAACTAAAGCAGACATCCCTGTCCATCCGCAATTGTCCCCACATTCCCCAGTGCCCGTGAGAACGTTATTTTGTATTTAGACCTTACTTGTGCTGGCTTAGGTACGTATACTCGCCCATCGCACCCTAGTAATTCACTTTTAATTATTTGCCATTCTTTAACGACATATTGGTGAAGGAGCTTAGGTTCAAAGTCAGCATCCCCGGCGCCGAACGATGATTCATCTCGTTAAACAGACGACGCCGATCCGACCGGCCGGCAATGTAACGCCGGGCCGGGAACAGCCGGCAGATCTCCGATATGTGTACACGCTCACTGCCTTTGTGTCTATCGGAGGCTTCCTCTTCGGTTGGAACCAGGGGGTCATGGCTATGATCATTGCCGACGAGAGATGGCTGAAGCTGATGCAGCCTGCAAGCGATTGGAGTGTGGGCTTCGTTGTCAGCATATATAACATCGGTTGTGTTATTGGGGCCATGGCAACTAGCTTTTTTACAGATGCCTACGGTCGTGAGAGGACCATATCCTTGGCGAGCACGGTCTTTATCATCGGTGCGCTACTTCAGGCCGCATCCTACACCATCGCACAGATTGTATGCTACAGGCTCATGTCATATCGAATGCATTATTCCAAATTCTAAACTAATATTGTATTAGAGCATCGGACGTTTCATCCTCGGGCTGGGGGTTGGCGCATATTCTGCAGGTATTCCGCTCTACATTTCGGAGATATCCCCTCCAGAGCTCCGCGGGAGGATAGTCGGGATCGAATTAATGATCCTCTGTTTTGGCGAAATGGTCGTGTTTTGGATTGTCTACGCCTTCTACTTCCTTAACTCCGACGACTGGTGGCGAATCCCTTTAGCTATTCAAGTTGTGCCCGCTATCATTCTTGCCATTGGATGTTGGACATGGGTACCTCCTAGTCCTCGTTGGCTTGTAGCTGAAGAGAGATATGAATGTGCTCTCGAAGTTCTCTCAAGGCTACATGGTTCAGAAGCAGCAGAACTCGAAATCAGCGAGATCCGGAAGACCGTGTCCGAAGAGCAAGTCACTACGCAGGCATCTTGGTCAGACATGTTTAAGCGGCCAGTCCTAAGAATCACTCTATTAGGAACCAGCATCCAAATGTTCCAGCAAACCACAGGGACTAATGGGATCTTCTATTACGCGCCGTCGCTCTTCAAGAAGGGTGGAATAACAGACCCTACCATGGCCAATCTAGCGACTGGAGGGATTGGTGTGGTACTATTCCTTAGCTCGTGGATACCCATTTTCTATTTAGACCGCTTTGGACGAAAAACTTGGTTGCAATTCGGCTTAATAGGCATGATCTCTGCCCTTATTGGGATTTGTGTTCTACAGAAGCATGCCGCAGACTACCCCCACAGTCCGGCAAATAATGCTATTGTAATATTTACTTACATGTTCTTTACATTCTTCAATATGAGCTGGAGCTCCGGTTCGTGGACATACGTAGCTGAAATTTTTCCGATGTCCCTACGCGTGAGCCACCATCTCAGTTAATATAGACAAGTTTTCTTAGGGACCTCGCTAATCAACATCTCCAGGCTAAAGGAAATGCGCTTTGTACAGCCTCACTTTGGATCTCGAATTTTGTGGTAGCCCAGGTGTCTCCCCCTATCGAGACTGCCACAGGTTACGGTCTTTATATACTGTTTGCGATTATATGTATCGTTGCGTTCATCTTCGTACGATATGCCCTTGGTACGTGACCCTATTATGATACACCCAACGCATCTTCTAACCACTTGCAGTTGAAACAAGAGGCCGGTCACTTGAAGACGTGGCGGAGCTCTTCGGCATTGACGGTAGTAAACAGAGTCAAGACCCACGGGACTCAGTAAGACAAGGTAAAGTAGCATGGACCCACGCTTTCCAGAATAATATCTCCGTCGAGTACTCTATTTTCAGGTGCCTTGTAATTAAGTGTTAACGGAATATCTATCACAGGATTACTTCAATCTAATTTAAGGGATGAGGATGACACCCTAGTTGACGACGACTCAGAGAATATAGAGTAACATTTATCGTATCGAGGTACGCTCGGTAACCCTGCCGCAATATAGGCTTCCTACGAACTACTCCGACCTCTTGAATAACGTATAGAGTTCTATGAACCCATAGGGGTTTAACTACTTGTCAAATTGCCTTATTATTTAGTTACACTGCCTGGGTACCTTTAGGTAGGTGGGTAAAGTATAGAGTTTGCTATGTCCAACTTATACAACGAGCCCAGCTTTAATTACTTGCTGAGTTTTGCAGTGGGATTTTGTAGTCTTCGCCAGTTGAAATATGACTGGGCCGCTACTACTGAGCTCTCGCGTACCAATTGCCGTCGCTTACTTGACGAGATATTGCCGAACTATCAATTACAAATTCTCTACCAGAGTCTTGGGAAAACCGTGTATGGCCAAATTGCAGTATCTGTATTCGGCTATGGAGGCAAATGCCGCTCAGAAAGGCCTTGCTAATTCGAGAATTGATATAAGGCCCCCAATGAGCAAGCTGCGCCAAGCTAAATATACAAGGAAGGGTATATCTTAGAAATCGCTATCCAATGGAAACAAGTCAGAAGATTTAGAAAGCTAATCGAAATTTACGGCTTAGGCTGCGAAGTCCAGCCTCATTGGATGGGATATTGGCTGCAGTTGATGAACAGGTATAAATAAGTATACCAAGACGGTTAATATGCCCTGTATCTTTTGACAGCACGGAGAAGGCAACTTTCATCTACGGCAAGATATTTCATAGGTGCATCTAGTAAGAAAACCCGCCCGCTGTCTTAGCCGAGAAAAGCCTCCATTAAAGTCTTGAGCAAGCGCGATAACCGAAGTGCGACTCTGTTCTAATATAGGTAACCACAGCATGTGGTAGGAGGCCATGGCAGATCAAGAAGTACTACATTCCCCAGGTCTTGGACATCTATAAATACATAAGAGGCATCGCCTCAGACCGGTTGTGGAACGTGAAGACTCCAACCGATCGAACTCCCTGTACCCGTCCATAAGCCTCGACAATGAAGTCGGCTACGTTTACAGCCTTACTGGCTGCCACTTTGGCAGAAGGACCGTATCGAGTTCACCATCCCCAAGGAGATTCCCGCCGGCGAGTATCTCGTCCGTGTCGAGCACATCGGCCTTCACGAGGCGTTCAAGGACCGCGCGCAGTTCTACATGGAGTGCGCTCAGCTCAAGATTGCCAGCGATGGAACTGGAACCCCTAGCCCCCTAGTCAAGATGTAAGTTGCACTTGAAGCTACGTTTTCTTTCTACTTGAAACCAAAATCACTAATCTCACTTCTTTAGTCCTGGTATCTACAAGGCTACCGACCCGGGTATCAAATTCGACAAGTGGAACAGCCCCAAGGCCAACTCATACGTCATGCCCGGCCCTGCTATCTGGAAGCCATAGAATATATATCAAAGTAGATACGGCTCTTGATCGGTTTAGCTATTGGTACTGAGGAGATAGTTAGGATTACTTCAGGATAACCTAAGCTACGCTTCGTAAAGAGGTTTTGGCAAATTTCAAGTTGGTCCTAGATTAGCTATTATACAGTATCAAACCGCAAGTATGAACCTATTAGAACCTTCGTATTATAATCAATGAGACTCGTATATGGCATTATCATATACCGACATATAATTCAGCTTATACGCTCTTTCGATACCATTCCACGTAGAATCTCAAGAGGGTAGCGACATGGTGGGGGTTGAAGTGTTACTTAACATAGTAACACATACAATAGTAACTAGGAATAATAAGTTAGTTGTATAGAGACTCTCATAGTAATTTTCTATGCATCGAAATCACTCGACCGGCTATCATGTACAAGCCATTATTCAAGGTAGGTAACTAATGTGGCTGTCCACATGTAAGCTAAGAACGGTCTGTGTTACATAGGAGTTATTGGAATGAGTTGACTTAGAATAAATCCCTTCTAATTAGATAGGTAGGTAGTATGAATTTCGACTATTATCGTCGTGTCTTTAACCGCAATAAATCTAGCCGAACTATAATCAGCTGTAGTTTTTCCTAGAAGGATATATATATGCCTCCATGGTTACTTCGGGCATCGTCACCCGTTCTATAGCACTATTCGAACTATGTTTTAAAAAAAAGGTATCATGCATCCTAAAGCTTAAATAAACGCATTTCTCCGCTAATGAGTATTGAAATAAGACCAATTCCGAATATACCTAGGTACCTATAATCGAATGACTTCGCTAATACCATGAATCCCCCGGATCAAGATACAATAACAGAACTAACAACCTTATAAGACTGGGTATTGTACTCGCAAGCCCCCTACGGTAGCTCATATTCAATCTCAATAGTCGCTGCTCGAACCTTATTACACCAACATCTTAGCTACACGTGATACAAGTCAGCGATCAAGCTCAGCAACAATATCGTATCACAAGATTGGACTTACCCCTGTCCTGACCCAAAGCACGACGATGAACCCCGGCTCTAACAGCTCCAAAAACCCCTCGCCTTTCCCTATCGGCCCATCGTCCTCAGCCTCTGTCTGAATACCCCTTCTCCATTCAACCTTGTAGTCCTGGTACTCGCTGTATGCCTCGCTATTGTTGCACACTCGCCATTCAATACGCCCGTCCTTGGCCGCCACAAAGTCCCACCCTTTCTCCCTCAGAACGTCCGCGGCAGACATAGGATCCCACCAAGTATCCAGGAGGACGTCTTCAAGAGGCATATCCTGGCCCTTCCTCTCTACTTTCGGAGATAGGGGGCGTAGAATGCTGGCGTCGAACCGCGTGTGGCTGTTGAGAAAGCCATCCTTTCCGTCGTGAGCTATATATCCTTGGTACGCTGCGCTCGTCTGAAAGATGATGCGTTGTGGGATGGCTCTGCGTCCATCGTTGGGAACGCACTCGGTGGTGAGATATAAGCCCGCAACACAGTGTTCCGCATTAGGTTTCGTGTAGTCGGCGTAGTACTCCTGCTCGTGGACTTTCCATTTCACGAGCCATGGGTTGTACCCAAGGGATACTATCTGAATGGCAAGTTCCGGCGGTACTTTATGTTCTAGAATAGAGCGCACCTCCTCGGCGTCCTTGGGCGTGGGACGAAAGGGATGGGCAAACGACAAAGAGTCAGCTGCGCGGTGCTCCATATCGGAACGGTCTGACTGCATGATGGAATCGAATGTTAAAGTCATTTCTCCGAGGGGTCCTCTCGGAGTTTTATTACTTATAATACCCAAGGGCCGGGCACAAGAAGGAATTCGCGTTTACGCCTCATGACCGATATCTCGGTAGTATGAGACGATAGAACATCTCAAAGCAGAATAGCGGCGGACTTTTGTGCACATACTAGGGGGGATACTTTGTTGGGAGGCGAGAATAAACGATGCATCATTTTCGTTCAATATTAGACTAGCAGCCAAGGCCTCAGCTGAAAGCACTTAATGCATGTCATCCCCGCACGTGGCATAATATTTATATTAAGCCTCCTATCGGTGTTGAGGTAAATGGTCTTAAGATTTAGGTATGAGGCTTTATTCAGAACATCTTGGCATGTATATTAAATTATTGGCAGCTCTTGTAAAGGGGTAAGAAGTCTATAAGGACAGGACTCACAAATAGCTTCCAAGATACTCTAGTATTTAATTTTTCTAATAGAACTCCTCCATGTACAACTTATATTACCAACGGATCAACTCGGGATAATGTGTAACCATCCATCAATAAAGTGCTTACACTCCACGCCATCATTCATAATTCACTCCACTCCAAAGTCATCAAAAGATAACTATTTCACTAAGCATCTTAATTTAAGATAAGGATATTTCTTTTTTTTTTTTAATAAATTTTTATTAATGATATATTATCATCAATTATAACCCATAAGCCCAAGTACAATGCGACGCCTTCCTCCGCAGAAACAACTTATTAGCTCGATAGAAACGACCAAAAATCACAAATCCTCCGCGAACCACTTTTCCCCTGATTTCCCGAATGATTGTCAGACGCCAGACCGGCCCAATCGATTTTCATCTATCATCGCGCAATGCCGTGCAAGAACTCCGTGCTGATGACGTGATTACGTGATGTAGTATTCATGAAGAACTAGAGAAAGGAGCGTGTGTAGTAAGAAAAGAACGTGAGGAGAATTGAAGGCGGTAGTAATATAGTAGTGGTAGTTATAATAATAGGTATCAAGGAAAGGAATGGATCAGATTAGGTAAATCCGCTTAGTTGATGACTACGCGGCGGCCCTCGGGCTTCTTAGCCTTGGGGACTATGACGCTCAGGATGCCGTTGTTAAGCGAGGCGCTGACGTTGTCGGTGTCGACGCGGCTCGGGAACTGGAAGGTTCGCGAGAACTCACCGACGCTGCGCTCCGAGACCCAGTATTTAGCCTGGGGCTGCTTGGGCTGCTCGGCCGCCGCCTTATTCTTGTTGGCCTCGGCGACGGTGCTACCACCCTCAGGAGCATCTTCAACCGTGGGCTTTGGTGCCTTCTCGTGCTGTTCCTTAGGGGCGTCGGCGATAGCGCCCTTCGACTCACCCTTCTCGAGGAGACCGGCCGGGGGAGTGCCGGAGGTGTAAGAGCGCTCAACGCGGCCGCGGATAACAATGGTCTGCGGGTCGGTGAACTCAATGTTGACTTGGTCTTTCTCAATGCCAGGCAGTTCTCCCTGGAGTTCGTAGTGATTCTCGGTCTCCTTCAAGTCGAACTTGGGAGTGAAGGTCGGTAGGTGACGACCATGACGACCACCGGCTTGTTGAGCAGCTGCGCCGTTCTCGCTCTGTCCGGCGTAGCGGTCGAAGTCGTCAATTAGTCGGAAGAGGCCGGTGAAGTTGGGCTCGGCGGGAGAGTAGAATCGAGGTCCAAACACGGACATTTTGGATGCAGTAGTGTGGAAGTTGTTGGCAGGTGAGATTGTAGTGTTAATTGGTTTAAGGTATTTAGGCTTTATGATTCTTTGCGGCTTTACTCTTGTTGTAAGAGTGCGAGTGAAAGATTTCATAAAAGGCTCGTTTGTTTGCGTGTGATTGTTCTGATTTGTGTCTGATCTGAGGAACGAGAGAAGCTAGTATCACGATGTCTGAGGCTCCTTAAATAATTGAAAAGTCATGAGATAAGTATGTTCTACCATCTTCACGAAAGGCCTATAGAATTGCGATGGGATGATTTTTGGAATGATCTAAAACTATCTAGAAGAACACAGACGTTTCTACAAACAATCAATTACGTATGATAGTACGATGTATGATGTATGATGTAGATGATAGGTCTCACGATGGTGCGCGAAGTTGTGGGAATTGGCTAGAAGCTTCTATAATTTTCGTAGCTTTAACTACAACTTGAGCTACAACTTTAGCTACAACTTTACAGCTTTAATGACGCCACACCCGACATTCATCGGTCGATTCGTTATTATTCCTACGAATGAAAATGAATTTTACAAAAATCAATCTTCGATTATTCGCTCGGAATTATGTATCAAGACTATTCCACACACACATCGCTGTTTTACAATTTTCAACTAACAGGTGAACGAAGCGTGATAGGCACTTACAGTAGGAGGTAGGTTACAGGTAGGTACTGACTATTCCAATTCCATCTGTGACCCGAAAGCCTTCTGTAGCTTTCTGTGGCTCACCCTGTGGCTTAAAATCATGTGGCTGGGTCGAAACCTCCTAAGGTAAGGTTCCATATTTTGTAAAATACCGAATTAATGCACTTTACCATTTTAGGTAATAATGTGGCTTATACACTTACCTGCTTTAAAACGAATCCTCGCTATAGAGAATGTAGACTCGTAATTTTTTTAAATTCGTTATAGCGAGGTTTCATTGTATGCCTTACCTCATACATACATAATACGGCTGTGGTGGCTGGGTGGCGGTGCGATCTACATGCCTAGTACGGAACCTATGTATAAGGGGTAAGTTGGATGATTCAGCCCTAACCCGTCCTTTGTTCATAATGCGGTTCGCGCTTAGGTAATCATCAAAAGATTAGGTACTAAAAGTCTTGGCAGGGGTCCCATCTTGACCGGCCGGCACCCGTGTGCGAATCATGACGTCACCTCCGGCCAGGATCCAAACCCGGGCAAATGCCTAGGTTAGGTACTTTTTACTATGGTTTTTCGGTATTCTCCATCGCAACCCCATCCATCCCCCATCTCGTACCGAGCTTACGTAGTGAAAGGTAGATCTTAGCCCGTCGCCCCCCCCCGTATGAACGACCGAATTGGTAATTAGTCGAGTGAGCACGTGAATATGGGGATTGGCTATCCATGAAGAATGCTTGTTTACTTGCGATGACGTTGTTCTGTAATCCATATTTTGCAATACCATGGTTCTATTTTAGCGGATATGACGCCGGTGGCTCCCCTTCTCCGACGCCTGGCAGATTATTTTGACCCATTTGGCGTATACGGCATACATGTCATCTACACACTACATACCTAACTTGATGTATCCAACAGACTGAACAGGGATGGGTTGTGTCTCCTTATAGTCTCTTTCGGGCTAATGATGGTCATGAGGGTCTTGGGGGACCATCGGAACATCAATAACATATACTAAAAATGCTCAACGACGTTCCAAAAGATATGGTCAAAGTGCTTGGCAATCCCCCTAATCACGTACACGTGGTTCGATAATGACGATGCTTATGCAAATGGCGTTTCCATCGTGTTTCTCCTTCATTATACGTAATACTATAGAGCATACACTAGAACACTGCAATCGTCGGCTTGCTGTGGGGCGCTATCTATAGTACGATGCCATGAGGTGCCACTTTTTCGTCGAGACCTGTATATACAACAACATGATGTGGGTGTAGACCAGCATCACTTCCTTTTTTTCCCGCTTCGTTTGCTACGCTCAGCATAGCTAGCCGAGACTAGCTCGACCTTTTGCCACCTCTTTTGAATTTCGTGGCGCGCGCCCATCGCAATGGGACTCGCTGTCGTCATCGGTAAGGGGGAGGCATAGTCGGCGGCGGATATCCTGCAACCATCGGCATACCCGGTCGTGCGCCCATGGGTATAGATGCAGGGCTCTGGATACGGTTAAACAACCCAATTAGCCTCCTACCAACTGTCGGCTCTAGCTCCGTGCCGTCTCTTGCGATTTTAACCTCCCTGTTAGAGTTCCAGGGATTTCGTAGCCCGCGTGTTCGGTAGAACGGTAATCTCGTAGTCGATAGCCATTCAAGATTGAAGGGCTTGCCCCATGCCTTGCTAGGCCCCCCTTCGCCATCTTGGCCACTCCTCGCACTAGCCGAGTCTTCGGAATCTTCCCCGTCGACGATTGCGTCCACATCTTCTCGTTCTATCTCCCAAAATATTGTCCCTCGAGCCGAGTCGTCGATGATTCGTCCTCTCGGGCAAGTGTCTGTAGCTTCAGTTGGGATAGCTTTAGGAAGATCTAGATTGCTCGTAGTCTGTGCCTTAGGCGCAAACTCAATAGCGGCCGCTGGATCATCATTGATGGGCGAGGTCATCCTGGCATAACCGAAATATTCCCCTGACTTGTTTGCAGAGAACACCAAATAAACATTATCAACTGCCTGTTTGTAACCCTCATTAGATTAGGATACAATGAATTCAAGATAATTGTGAATAAAACTTACTTTAAAAGCATTATTTAATATTTCTTCATTATGGGATTGGGTTGCCCACAAGCCTGTCCGAACACTCAGTTCCAAATCTTCCACTGTGAGACTTTTAAGTATAAAAAACTTGTCTCTTTGTGCACTGGCGTCACTATTAAGCGCGTTTCTCTGCTCTGGTTGCGTATCAGTTACCGAAGTTGTAGGTTCTGGAAGATTGTCCTGTAAGCTCTTTATAGTCCCAGTAGATGTATTTTTTCCGCTTGGAGAAGTTGCTGCTGGTCCCGTAGGAGCCGTCTGCCCACCAGCTCCTTCGACTGTGCTCTTTCGTAGCCGGCTAACCAGTCGTACTGACTGGAATTTCGAATCGTGAAGCTTTTGCTGAGCTGCAACACAGCTTTGCTCATCTTTAAAATTGGCAAAGGCACAATTACTCTTCGAGATAAGGAAGAGTGACTCCAGCCCTATCGCTTCTTTGCAAACGTGATGTACCAGGCTCATTAAATCGGTCTGTGGAGGTAGATTCCCTATCCAGATGGCATGACCTAGCAAGGTTTAGTGTTACAAATATATTCAAGTAGCGGCAACGAGAAGACTTACCGCTCTGTCGAGGCTTCCTTGGAGGTCCTCGGACGATGTTGGACCGCGCCTCTGGAGACACTGAGAAAACACATCATTAGCGATTTCAGCACTCCTAATTTAAGACTAGACAGTCGTACTATCTCCCCGAGCAGAATTTATAATTACGCCTGCTTGATAGTTCCTGTGCAATGGTGACTGCCCTCGCGGATCACTCGACGTGCCGTCTGCCAAGAAATACTGTCCTGGTGCCACCTGGCCATGAAGAGCAGAATGTGGAGACGTATATTGGTTCGACGTAGGATAATAATAGCCAGCGGGAAGAGCATGTTGAGACTGATTCATCATAACTGGGTTCGAATAGTAGCTTAGGCTATGTCGTGGGGATAGGCTCGGTTGTTGGGATGTCTGGTGTTGTTGCTGCGACGACGATAAATGGGCATTGTAATACGGCGCCAACTGCGGATGTTGGGCAACATAGTAGGGCTGACCTCCTAGTTGGGCCATATTCGGAGGGCCAGCGAACTGCGCTACTTGTTGTATAGGAGGAATCATATTAGACGATTGACCGGCGTTGAATCGTTGCTGTAACTGTCCCGGATTATAGCTAGGTCTGTATCCAGGCTGGGGAAGTGCGCTGGCCATCGCAGTCATGTTGTAAGGTCCCTGACGGTCAGGCCCTTGGGGGTGAGACATGTCGAGTTGGCCTGAGAATACATTGGGAGATGGGCCGTAGAGTTGCTGATACTGGGCTTGGAAGGCAGGATCATTTGCGGGACTTTGGCCATGCGACAATAGCGGTCGTCCATCATTCTGGGTGCGCCCTTGATGGGCACCGACGCCCTCTCCTGTCGCAGACTCGCTGTTTGCCGCCAAAGGCGGTGGGACATCTTCCATTAGGTCTCACCAGAGGCCGAGGTATAATTTTGGCGGCCGGGCAGGGAGATCTAGTTCGTCAGGTGCTCGCGGTGTTGCTTTGAACCTGTAAACAACTCGAGCAGACTTAGTCTTCTAATACTGCCTTGACAGACAAGGTGTAATAAGGCGTCCGGCAAACCCTAAATTGTTTGAAGCCCAGGAATCTTGATGAGGCTAGGGAAAGAAGTGATAGGTAGTCTTGTGCGGTGTGGCGCAAATCAATGAAGGCTGAGCGGTAGTCGACCGGGGCGTGACCAAGATCCGAGCGGTTCTTGACAAGGTAGTAGATCGGTATGGAACAGAGGTCTCGCGTACCTTTCTAGTGGCACCACGAGTAGCGATTGGATGATTATATACTTGTGGGAAATTCGATGGATCTGCCTCCCCAAGTGTCCAATCCAACGATGAAAACAGACCGGACGCAGGGATAGCATACAAATCCATAGACCCGTAAGCTGGAAAACTATAGTAAAAAATTTCGACTACTAATGGAGAGCGACTACAGGTATTTGGTATCTCGTGCCTGTGCTTAACGTCTAGAAGGGAACTCGAAGAGCTTCGATGGTATGGAATTACCGAGAAGGCTAAAGGGACCGTGTTACGAGCTGGGCCCGAGTAGTTATCCTCTCAGTCCTGGCCGAGGGAGTTATGTCACATAGATAGGTACCTAGGTAGGTAGGTAGGTATACAGGTAGGCACATAGATAGGTAGGTAAATGGGGAGGATATCGACAAGAATATTTAGACGATGTGGCTAATTAGGATGCCCATGTGGCCCGACGTGACTTCTGACAATCCTGGTCATTAGGGCATTAAGCAAAGCGGTCATTATGTAACGACAATCTTTACCTTTTCCTTCGACAAGTATGCAGTATGGTATGAGGGAAAACATCATGAGACAACTTCAAGAAACATTACAAGGAAGTTGACGACTCGCGGCAATGCAGGTGGCCAAAAGTTAGTCTTGTCAAGCTTACCTAGACATGGCCGCGAAGTCTAAGTTAGTAGTACGAGAGTACTTGTAGGGCTTCACCAGGGGAGACCAGACGACGAACCAGATAGTAGAAGCAATGCAGGAGTATCCCGGCTTCGAGCCCCCCGGGGGTGGATGGGTTCACAGCGGATGGGCCCAGATAGAACAACGGAAGCCGAACGAAGCGTTGGGAGTAGAAGAAAGTAACAAGAGCAGCCAATAAGCTTAGACGAGTGCTAATACACTAGGAGGAAACGAAAATTGGGGACAGAGAGATGGGAATTTGCAGTAGGCTGGTGGTGTTTCGCCACCAGGCCCTTGGGTCTTCTTTTTTGGAGTGGGCCCATGGGGGGTCCCATGAAGCCTACCAGGTAGGTCAGGTTAGGTAGTTATTACTGATCCCATTTCGCAGGACATGTCCCATTCCTCGGCTCGCTACTCAGCCACAGAAGATCTAGCCGGGCCTTCAGCAAGGTGAGTCTCGTACGAATGTGAGCCTCCATGGGATTTTTGTCAGATCTGTAGTGCCGATCTCGTCACAAAACAATTCGGTACCAGGTGTGTTCAAAGTCTGAACGTAAATCTGCTCCTGGGTAAGGCCATTTAAACGGGTTGCGGCTGTCACTATGGCCGAACCAATCCTGCGCAAAGCCGAAACGATCCAGGAACCACAAAGTAATCGAACAACGCTTGTAGCGGAGCGGAACGGCACCTAATGATCTCGGACGCTACTCGAGACGACTAAATTTACCTTGGATATTTGGCTCTTTCTGAACTGAACGCCGTCTTCTAACGGATGTAGATGAATCCGAAGCATAGACGATTTCTTCTGAGTGTCTAACCGTTGTACCCCCCACGAAGGGTGCACCGGCGCATTCAGAGGGGTCTTGTAGCGTACGCTATTTACCTAGGGTACCTAGGCAGATAGCGAGTCCCGCTACAGTACAAAAAGCAATTCCAGAATAATTGGGACGCACCTCGGCATGGTGTAGAATGCATCAACGCTAGACCGACGGGGCCGCGTAGTAGATCTTTAATAAAGCTTCAGAACGAAATAGTACTGCAATGCAACTGTAACAGAAGCAGAAGCTACATAGTTCATCCATTACAACAATTAGTAGGTCAGCTTGGTATGCTGGTATGTAAGTAGCTTGATACGTACTAAGCTACATTCCTTGGCTACAATTGCTGTTCTGCTGTTCTGCTGTTCTGCTGTTGTGGTGCTGTTACATGTTGTGGCCCGTGTGATTGATGTTCCTTGCCAGGTTTAATGGTGGAGGATGAAGATCTGCGAATCTGATCGGCAAGCCTGGTAGCTAGAATGATGAAATGGGAACCCAGACCTCGGACTGAGCCGCAATCGACTTTCTGTCGGATTGTCGCAATTGGGATCGGGGAAATTGGTGTTTTCCCATCCCCCTCAACCTGGTCGATGTGGAGATTGCTGATCCCTGGACCTAGCGGGCAAATGATGTCGATGATGAAATTCTTAACTTGATCTTCATGAACTTTGCGACAGTGACGTCGTATCATACATATGAGCAGGAATTGGGAATTGGGATTTTTGGGCGCCAATGATTTGATGTTAAGGCGAACTTTTATTAGTAGTGTATACACCGATTTGATTTGACGGTTTTTTTTATTTTTATAGTTTTCAATGTCTATCATTGTCATAATTATAGTTACCTAGTTAACAGGTAGATGATACATGATGTATCTACTAGGCGAATTTATGTACGGATTGTACTTACGTCCGATGTACCTAGGTACTGCATAACATGTACATATAGCATGTATAGCATGTACCTATGCTCTATGCTAGGTAACATATCGGTAATACAAGGGATGTGTCTAGGCTGCCAGGTATATACGCACATACATTACTCCTTACTACATAAGTTAGCCAAAGTCGCATTAGACATTTCCAATGCGGAGAGGTGTCAGGCCATAAACCCGAACCATGATCGACAACTGTTCAAACTTTTACATTGTATATTAGAATACGTCTTATTGGGATATGATGACCATATGTATGCACGGCCAGACATATGACAATATACAGACACGTATGCATGTACGTGTGGCTTTTGTGTAACACGGAGCCGCCTTCGCATTAGACTTCCATTTTTTTTTAAAAGACGGTAAACCGGTCGTAGTAAAGTTTGCTATCCTCTAGTGTAAACTAACCTACCTACTTACACACTATTTTTACTTATCCTAACTATTTTGCCTTACCTTACCCTCTAGTTTAGATTTTATCGGATAGCACTTATACCACGCACCCGCCGTTCCCCCTCGGCCTTAATCCGTTTAGTCCTCTTCGTAAACTCGAACCATTTACGTACATCTACGGTATTTGCCACGCTTCCTGCTCTATACCATATTCCGCTAATTCTGATATCCATATATTTCCTTACACTACCTACAGTACCTCCTACATACATACATACATACATAGAAGGGTCACCGGCTACTACACGTAAGTAGCTTATCTTTAGTGATGAACATGTTATTAGTCCCTTATGCATCCTGCAGCCATGCGCGTTATTGCAAGCATCGGCTTATTAGCTGATACCTTAGGTAGTTAGGTATCCATTGAGGCACCTGCCACGTAAAGGATTGAACTGGGTTGGGTATGCCTCTGAATATCACTAGCAGCGCCACAGCCGTATGATCTATTCGACGCCGTTGCGAATGTTCCAGTTGTTCCCACCCGGGAATTGCTTACCTAGGGTACTCAATCCACAGTCGTAGTATAGCACTTGAGCTTTTCTAGGATCTCAACTCCTCACTTACACTGGGTAGTTGCTAAAAAGTAAAAGACTTAACCTGATTTCCCCCCTCGTGATAATTTAGAAGAGGTACTCTTACACCGAAACATGTAAGTGCCGTACATAAGACATAATTCATCTACGGAGGCTTTGCTCCGGGCGGAGATTACTCAGTGCTACCAGCCGGTTCCAGAACTTCGAAAGAGATATCTAAATCTAAAATGAGTTTTGTAGGTTTGTTTTACCTTGCTGCTGTAAGTGAAAATACAGAGTTGTACATAAGTACATAACATCTTTTATTAGTTATTCAATACCTACCGTAGGTTTGGTTTTACACGAACACCCGGTGGGTTGTGTTACCTAGTTACACGCCCAAGAGGTACGTACGTTACTTAAAGCGGTAAGGTTGCAGCAATGCTGCTGGACAGGCCGAACAGGTGCCCCCCCCCGGAGGAAGCTCACATGTGATCCGTTCCGTACAGTCCGTAAGATCTACAAGGGCGGTTACCAGAATAATATGCCGATGCCAGCCTGGTTGCCTTATTTCGTTACACAACTCAGCCTCACTTTCCCGCCTTGGTAGGTATATCTTTCCCTTTAATCCATTTGCCCTCATGGTACCTCTGGGCCTCTTCGTAAGTGATCGTCCTTGCCACTAGATTATGCAGTCCAAATACATACACCCAAAACATCCACACTCTCTAGTGACCAGCCGACTTGAACCCACGCACCTATTTGGTAGATCTTGGTGCTTAATTGTAGTAAAATACGAGCTCGATATGTCCAATTTTGGAAGTGATCTACAACATGTAAGTCTCCTGATACTTCACCATAATATCGCTTTTGAAGTTTGATGGATTGTCAACCTTCTGGCCAGGTTAATTAGATTCGTAAGCTCGCCCCGACGGATAAGATACCTTGGGAGGCCTCGGAATATTCCATGGCGTCTTCTACCTCACCTTAGGGTAAAAATAGATGGCCTTGCTGCTTCACTAGCCATCACTATTCGCCTCGCTTGCTCTGTTAGCTAGTGACTAGCTCTCCCCTCCGAAGCTTCGTAACCATTGTGGCGAGCTGTAGCGCAGATAGCTAAGTGCTATTAGTTTATTCCGGCAGTCCATCTTAGCAGCCTAAGTAGCTATTCAGGAACAGTTTTGATGGTGCGAGGCACGCTTTATTAGTGATTGATTAGGTAGGTACCTACCTATGTAGAACAACTTGCAGTGCCATTTTTTAGCTGTATTATCACTGGTAAGCAAAACACCATGATTTATCTTAACGTACTATGTATCTCTAAAGTCTACTTGGGTTGCTATTTTCGGATTCTATTTGA